GTATATGTGTTAATTAAAATAAATAAAAACGAAGTCGAATATAAAAAAACAGATAGAAGATTAGGTTTACTTTTGTTGTAATTCTTGATTAAACAAGCAAACACAGATCACTATCGATGCCCGATTATTTTCAAAAAAAGGAAACACCAAATACATGCATTTTAGCATGCCAAAAGACTATACAAAACCATATATATGCATATGGTTTGGGTTTGTCTTACAAAATGCATGAATCTTGTGATCTTAAAAGTTATGCTTCTTTTTCAAGAATGTAGGATTTGGTGGTTGAATCAGCCCCCAACGAATTGGTCAATTTTGGGTGATGGAAATTGGTCTGTTTTTGTTTCTAAATCTGATCAACATTGACATATTATTATTATTATTATTTTTATTATAATAAAGATCAAATAGTCAATTTTTATGTTTTATATGGGTTGGAAAAAGATAGATCGATATGATGATCTAAAGAAATTATAGGGACGAGAAATATGTGTTGGTCGGATCCGTCTTAATCAAACCCAATTCGAATATAATTACATGGGTATTAAGTAAAACTTCATCTTATAATACATAATAACTCATAATTTTTAAGTTATTTTTGAGTGTATTACTGCTTAAAACAGTATAATTAATCTGTTTTTATTTTGTGGAACATAATTTTAAAAGTCATGTTTAACAAACATATTTTTAAAGGAAAAAATTAAGGATTTATAGTTTAAAATAAAAATCAATTTTGAGAATATAGTTTCATAAAACACATTAATTTTCATATATGTCAAGTATTCAAACTATAAAACCTTAAATTTGTTCTTTGAAAATATGTTTGTTAAACTAGGAATTCTACAATAATCTATATGCATTATTACTATACACAAATGATCAAATATCTATTTATTCTACACATATATATACATATATATATATATATATACACACACATTATAAGGGTATTCACACAATGCAGTGAGATATATCCCGATTTTAATGTTTCGTTTTTTTTGTTTTCAGTCGATATTATAATACGGTTTTATGTGGTTTTGAGAAAGCGATAATGTTTTTATTTTTGAATAAAATATAAATATGAAGATATCATAAGAAATTGAAAAAAATTAGTGGTATTAGTATCAAACTAACTATTTAAAATTTTATGTTTTTTTGTGTATTTTTTTTTTTTATTTTTGGTTTAATAATATATTTTTTTATAAAGATAATAATTAAGTACTTTGTTAAAATTCAATGACTATCCTAATTATGTTTTAGATTTTTTTATGTTCAAAAATACTGAGATTTTATTCTATATTTGATTATGTTTATTTGTAGTTAATTATACAAATTCAAACATGAAGCTTTAATAAGTTGTATTTACGCACAGTTTACTTGTAATCTTGAATTCTAAGTAATATGCATTAATAAACAGTATTCATGCATAAAAAATGGTTTTTAAGAGTTTTTCTCAAATATTTTATAATATACAAGAAGGATACTCGCACAATGAAACAAGATAAATATCGATTTAATGTTTAATTTTTATTCTTTTTCTCTATCAATATAATACGAGTTTATGTGGTTCTGAGAAATTGAGAATGTTTTTATTTTTGAATAAAATATAAATTTGAAGATAGCATAAAATTTTGAAAAAAAATAAATCGATATTAGTATCAAATTAACTATTTAATAATTCTTTTTTTTTTTTTTTTGTAACTTCTTTAATTCAATTTTTATTATAATTTAATTTAGATTTAATAACAAAATAATTTATTTTTGGTTTAATAATATAACATTTTATAATATAATAATTAAGTATTCTGTTAGAACTCAATGATTATCATAATTATATTTTAGATTTTTTTATATTTAAAATGCGATGTTTATACTGTATTTGATTATGCTTATCTGCAGTTAGTTACATGAATTTAAAAATGGAGCTTTAATAAGTTGTACTTATGCAAAATTACTTGTAATTTTGAATTTTAAGTAATATGCATCAATAAATAGTATTTCATGCATAAAAAATAGTTTTTAAAAGTTTTTTCAAATGCTTTATAATATAGTGTGTATATATGTGTGTGTGTGTATAGGGAAGGGTTCAAACGAGAACTCTTGTAATTTACGAGAACGGGAGAATAGTCTCTAAGTCAAACATTATGTTTTAAATCACAATTTAAGAGATGTTATAGGATTTTTTAAATTTAAACTAATATCCAAAATATTCTAAAAATATTAAACACATTGAAGGGTAAAAATAGAAAAAGAAAACGCAAATCACATAACACGAACAACCATTGCTGATGATCGTGGAGTTGATAAGCTTAGTTGTTCGACATCATGATCACATGAGTCCATACAAGAAGAGTAGTAGGCAAAATCGACATTGGAGGCACCGAGAAAGAATACACATCGTCGGCTAAGAAGATGTATGACATATTTATCACATTTGTTAGATAGAATTATTAGGACAAAATCGAAGTATCACATCTTTATCACACAGCTTCCTATCAATGATTGTATTCAATAATTGATTTGGTGTGATATCACGTATTTATCACACTTATTAGATAGAAATATTAGGCCAAAATCGAATGTGAGAATACGTTAAATCGTCGATATTGTTGTAGTATGACATAGAGAGAAATATTATGGCAAAATCCAGTAACACATCTTTATCACACACCTCTATTTTGAATCACTGGTTGTATTGAATTACTGATTTAGTGTGATATCATGTATTTATCACACTTATTAGAAAGAATTATTAGGGCAAAATTTAAGGTGAAAATTTGTTAAACCGTCTCTATTGTTGTGGTATCACGTGTTTATCACATTGCTATCACGGTTAACACATCGAGTAGGAGAAGTTGAATGGCTATCACATTGATTCATAGTTAATAGATCGATTAGCAGAAGATGATCATTTGTTATAACACCATTCTTATCACAATTGTCACCACAATTATCACATTTGAATTACAAATATTTAATGTCCATTACATTGTTATTAGAGTTGATGAATCGATTAACAGAAGTTGATTGAGTATCACAAGTAATGTTTCGAATCGATATGTAGAAGTTGATTGATAATCACATTGCTAACACAGTTAACACCTCGAGTCGAGTAAGATGATTGGGTATCACATTGTTATCATAGTTGCCACTTCGAGTCAAGCAAGATGATTGAATCTATTAGATTAAAAGAACGAAGACATGATCAGATTCTGATCGAAAATCAGGGGATAATAACAATTAATCAAAACTATATTAAAACGATAGAAAATACATAATTACATAACCGCCCTTAATGATTTACTTTTATTTATTATAATTTGAATTATTAGTTAATAAAGTTTGAGGCTCACAACTGTTCTTGTGTTTTCGCAAAACATAGGGGTTCTCGTTTGAAATCAAACAATAATTTTCATAATTTCAAAAAAAAATCTTACACATAGAGGTTCACCACTTATGTTACCATTCTTCTGGGTTTCATATGGTGAATCACATAAGTTCCTAACTCTAAATCCAAAAATGGATTTCCACGACAACCACCCCCCTTATGCTACCATTCTTCTGGGTTTCGCTTCTTTTGTTTTCTCTCCTCTTGTTTTCCGTGAAACTACTTGACCGAAGTAACTGTGTGCATGAAATGAATCCTTTTGTGTCTCCCAAATCAAATCAACATTCATCGATAAAGCATTGCCATCACTAGGGTTTGCCAATATTACTCTGCTAAGACTTGTTCCGCTTTCACAAAATCACCTCGAATTTGTTCAGTATAATCGATCAAACCCGCAATTAGTTAAACAACCAACAACAATCATGAAATCTATCTAAGAGATTAGTGGATTGGGAGGATACCTCTTTCAAGTATTTGGCGTAATTGGCAAGATCAACGAGTTACCATTCGATCATTTTCTGATAATAAAAATACGTACCATCATTCCCATAATAATCCCCATTATCACCGTCGTTACCGCATATCTTCCAACCACTATCACGTCTGTCACTACCATCCACCATAGCTTGTACTCTACCTCCCCCATCACCATCCAACCTAGAACTCAAAAATAACAAACCTAATAACTCTCATTTTGAGTGTTATTTACAATTCATTAATGTGTATTTTTATTCCCTTTTAGTGTGTGTTTTTCTTTTATGTGCCTGTGTTGCCTCTTTTTATTTATTTATATTCATTTGGAGTTGTTGAGGATAAAAGTTTGTGTTTGACTATTATATGTGTTGAGAAATAGCCTAAAAGTCGAATTTTGACATTGTAAGTCATAGTGACGAGTCACCGCTATGGCAAGGAGTAGTTGCAGAAAATCTTTATTAAAGATTTATTACCAAAACTATGAAAGAAGATGCAAGTTTCAGGTTGAGTTAAGAGCTGAAGATTCATGAAAGTAAAGAGAAAAGAGGACAATGAAGATAAGACAAGCATGGAGAAACGGAGGTTGTCAGATCTTGTTGATGACTATAGTCGGTTTATCATTTTATTTATACTACAGAAATCGAAGTTATATTTTTATGCATAAAGTCAAAGAATCAAGAAATTAGGGACTCGACATAATGGAGGATGACACAACACAACCATGTCCCATGTCTAATTTGGACATCGAGTGCAAAAGAGCCACAACATGACACTGATAATGATCACAAGTTTGTTGATTCGTTGAATCAGCAAACCTCATCATTTGGATAACGATGACGTATTGTTAGGCAATAGTATCTACCTAGGTGTTTTGTTAGAATAAGGGACATTTTGGGGGTACATGTAAGACTCATGGTTTTTATCTCGCTCTTACCGGGTAAAATTCAAGATCCAGTTGAAACACAGACTAAAAAAGCCCGATAAACCCAACCTGAAAAAAAACACCTGGGCTAACTTTTGCTTTAAAATGGGCTTGGAATAATGGGGTTTGTTGGAGCCAAGTTGGCCACAAAGTAATGGAAAAATATCCAGTTGCATGAACCAGAGGAATCCAAAGCCAAACTCTATGGGGTTCATATTTTATGGTTTTCAAAGTTTAACTGCAAGATTTTGGGATCAAATTACACCAAAAGTTGACACAAACAACATACATATTCCTACAAGTTATGCAACCAACATCAAAATGCATACCTAGAACATTTTTTTAAACCAAAAAGGAGCATTAAAAATAATAATAAATATAAAGACCGACACCATCGAATCAAATACCCTACTATTTTTGGCCTTCCTCTGCTGCAGCTTCAAAAGTTTCGCCTGCCACAAGTTCCGGGACTTCATAATCATCCTCTTGTGCTGTTGTAGCAGCAGTGCCTTCACCGGCACCTGGTGCCTGCTTCTGGAACTGCTCTGCTAACTTTCTCAAGTTATCCAAGTTATCTGGCCCTGTAAAACACAACCCGTTACAATTTACTGTCTTTTTTTATGGTCATAATTCAAACACAGAATCAGATTGAAAATTTCGGACATACCCAGCTGGTTCAGAATGCCTGGGAGAATATCTTGCAATTCTAGAAAGAAAAAAGGTTGAGTCGTTAAAACGAAACAAATTCATATGAATAATCGAAGTCATCAGTTGATGTATGCTATACAGCACTCAGATAGTCATTGAAGTGAATTGACATAATCAAGATGTATTTGCAAATTATTTTCCTGAGGGACTAATTCGGTGAGAACCACAAAGAAGGTTGCAAACTATGAGGAGTGCATCATGTGTTTTTTAGCATGATTTTTTTCTATCTAAAGCTAGGGTTTAAATGTGAACTTTTATGTGTTGTGAAATATAAAATAATCATAAAAAATATTCACAATGTGAAACAAATATATGTTGATCAAATATCATGTGAAACAAAATACAAATGCGAAGACACATGCATATGAGTGAAAGGAACTTTCATGAAGAGGAGGGTAACATACTCTTTGTTTGTGGAGAACCGCTAACAACCCATGTGTTGGCAGCAATAGAGGCTTGAACTGAATGCGATACAAATGAAAATTGATTGTGTTAAAACAGTTGAAACCGAAGGGCAATAGAAGGGATTTAATTCTCAAAGTTTGTACCTTTGGGGTTTAAGAACTGGATGACTGTCTCATCCTTGAAAATATTAACTTCCTCAATTGCTGGTATAGCATTTACTCCTATTCTCTTCAAAGTGCTTTGCAGCCTCTTGTCATCTGTGGTGGTTGTTTTATGTACAGCCTTCTTCTTTCTGCAAGCACTCATGTTGAATATGTGAATACACAAATTATATGCACAAAAACAGATTTAGAGGCCAAAAAAGTCTTAAACGTCTTCTAATGGAGTCCTAGTTTCAAAAGCCATGCACAAAGATCATCAGGTTATCAGTATATTACACAAATCACAGGTCATATATATATATATAACCCTATGACAATCAACCAACCAATTCACCTGAGACCCAAATCTTAAGTTACAAAGAGTCAGAATTCTTTTATGCTACCGTCTACCAAGACGTTCAAATCTTGGAGCAACCTCTAAGGTCATTCACTTCATCACTTGTAGTGGGAAAGACACAGGTTCGAGTCATGAAGCCTGGTGCATGGGTCCCTCCTTCCCCCCTTGTGACTTGTAACATGATAGTCCATCGATCATTATTTCGGACTAAATCTAAAGGTTTCATCAAATCAACAAGGTAAGTTTACTAGTAAACCTAAGTTGATCTCTCAAGTAGTAAGTTAGAGACATCTTTGATCATTTTCGGTACAGACCAGTCTTCTTATCTGGTATCCCTGTGCAACTATTAGTATTCTGTAACTTCAACTTTTATCATACTTCCATATTATTTTATAGTTTCTTTTTAGCCCCCACTTTATGTAGTTTAATCATCATATCTCTCTCATAAAAGGAGAACTTTTTTTGTCCCACAAAAAGTCCTATTTCAAAATTTAACATCAAGACATTTGATATTCCAAAATTACCCCTAACTTCACTGACAAGTTTAGTAAAAAAAAATTAAACAAATGTTTTCAAGATCATATACATTAAGATTTTAAACATTTTTCATCTGTCATGCTCGAGACATATACCTCCTCGGTCAAGAAAAAAGTCCACTCGCACAATTCATACCCCAAAAGCATCTTGTCTGCAATTTCGACATTATGCTAGGCATGATGTTTCTAAACTATGCTTCTTATTGAAAGATTGAATCAAGAGTCATTTTGTTAACTTGCATTTAATCAAGTGTAATTGTGCGCAGAATTCCATTTTAAATTCCGTTTACATTTTAGAGCAAGCTCTTCTCATGAAACGGTATTTTTCTTTCCCGAGTGAACACATTTTTCGCCTCCCTCATAAGTTTTGATATAAAAATGGTGTCCTTTCTATGTAACAGGCATCCACCTAATCATAATCATTGCAGAGTACCAGCAATCCACTATATAGTAGTGAAACCATCTGAACTGCAAAATATTTTTTTAACTTCTAGCTTTTCCCAACCAGATTGGACAAGAAGATTCGATGATTGTCTTCAAGTGCATATTTATAATATAAATCCTTCCAAGATTTTATTTATCGAGTAACAAGACTCCCAATCACATGGCAAACAGAGTGGTCTATCGTAACCAAGCCATTTCAAGCTTAACTGCATATGCTACACAAATTAATCATATAATTTTCTTGCAATAAAATGCCAAAACAATATATTGAACTTTGAACTTCAAGGAACAATATCTCCTATGAGACTTCACTACATAAAAACACAACATAAACACACATAACAATCATAAGAGGCACAAACCTTCTCACGCTACCCTTCCCACCAGTGCGAACTGCACCTGCCATCTTCATTAGCTTTTCCACATTCATCTGCCACAAGTAGAAACAAATATATGTGAAATGATTACGAAAATCCAAATGCAAAGTTAATAATTTCAAAATCCAAAGTAACTTCCCAAGCATCTACAGCATTAACACAGGCCACATATACATCCCTAAAACATTCAAAAATCACTAAAACGAATCTTCACAACAATACTAAGCTGTATAAATCAAGCGACCTCAAAAATTGCACCTCCATGGATCTCTTTTAGTAAATCAAACTACAAAACCCGTATTCTTAAATTGCTAAAACTGTTATACATAAACAGATTTGCTACAAAACATATAGATATGATATTCATTTTAAAAAAACTAAAAAAGAGTACCAGAGTGTAAATAGCTCGAATTTCTTCACGAAATCAGGTATTAATTGAAAGAGATAACCCATTTACCTTGGCGTCGATAGATAAACGAGCGATGAACAGAAGCTGAAAGTGAGGACGACTGGGATAACAGATAAACCCTAGCGTCAATCTTTCGAGCATATATATAGCCCTAGATCTGGTAAGAAAATTTTCAGATAATCCCCCTGTACTATAGTGGAATTGCACAAATTTCTCTTGTTTTTATTTCTTTACAAATTTCAATTTGATCACATATCTATGAAGAAACTTCAAAATAAGTCCCCAATAGACAATAGCATCTACCTGGATGATAACATTCAAGTTTACCACAAGGGTGGTGTCTAATTGGTTTGAGTTTGGCGTCAAAGGTCAAAAGTATCAGGAAGTCTCAGGTTCAAATTCAAGCAGGAATAAAAATCCCCTTGTGGCCACGAAGATTCAAATGCGGTGACTTCAAGCTATCTGCAAAGCAGATGATCGTCCTGGGATTAGTCGTCTTGTATAGTGGGCTGAATATCTAGGTTAATCCAAAAAAAAAAAAAAAAAACATTCAAGTTTGCCATCAACTCATCGCCACTTAGCTTGTCTTGTTTAACTGGTGTTGGTTGAAATTTTTACGGCTTATAGCTGATCTTTGAAAAGTTCGTTGAAACTTAATTTAAATAAGAATTTGTTTTCATTGACTTATTGATTATGGATTTGTTTTCAAGTCATACTTGTAAGCCCATAAATGCAACAACTGAATGGCGGTGTCTAGAAACCGCTAAGGGTGTTCATAGTAGGTTAATTGAACAGAAACATAGTTTTGGTATGTTAACGGAATATATCTTGTGACGCTTTCTTGAATTTGAACATCAATAAGAAACCCAAAAATTTGGTTATTTGGTTTTGTTATTAATAGTTCGAAAAAAAACTGAAAACCAATTAACCTGAACTGAAAGATAAAACCACCCCCAAAAAAAACCTAGACTATTATATACTAGGGGTGCTCAAAAAAATAACCAACCTAATTAACCTGACCAACCTAGCTCAACGCGAAATAACCTAATCCGAAGCAATCTGACGTCTAATCGAGCTGTAAAATCTTCAAAAGCAGGTATTAGGTTGGAATAGATTATGGTCATTTGAACTCAACCCGATAAACCTGATATCCTTTTATTTTTTAGATTTAATATGATTGTTAAATCCATGTTAATATGTACATTAAATGATTATATTATCATATACTCTCTTCATATACATATATATTCAATCTCGTCTCCATCTTTATCTAACTCCTGTGTATATATGTTCAATAAATGTGAACATATATATTCAAATTGAGAAGAGTAGTTGAATCTGATATAATTGAGATTTAAAAAATATGAATAAGTTGTACCAAATGATTGATGATGAAAAATGATTATGAGTAAAGAAAACAACATATTTAAGATTAGGAGAAATTTTTGATGTACAAAAGTATCAACTTGACCAACCCGTATGGTTTAGGTTGGGTTGCGTTGCACTATGGTTTGGGTTAAATTGGGTTAAAAAATTTCAAACTATAAACATTGGGTTGGGTTGTTCAAATTCCTTTTACCCGATCAACTTAACCCATGAGCACGCCTATTATATAAGTCTACTTGTTGCCTTTGGATCGTCGATCCTTCATCACAGCCACCGCCATCCCGACCTTCTTCATTTAGCATGTGTGTACACATCCTAATTTTTTTCCCAGCTAAAGAAAGTGCCGAATTGAGTGAATCGGTGAAGGAAAAACCAAACGTGTATTATGGCTATAGTGTCATGTGATTGTGACATCTGTCACGATAGCACAAGTGATATCGAGTGCTTGGTCGTCCTGACAATTTTGTCATGCGATGGTGGCAATGGCACGATATCGAGCATAATATCATCAAATGTATCAAGAATTTGTGCATGTGAGCGGTTATGCCATGCAATTGTGAAAATGGCACGGTAACATATAGATAGCAACATCTGTCACGATTGTACCATGTAATTATGACACTGTCATAATCACGGGGCACAATAGTCTTCGGGGACTTGAAGTATAAAAAGTGGTTTTAGAGATAAAGTTTGTCACTTTTCTTTACCTTTTTCACTCCTCCAATTTGGGCGATTTTGGATCCCTAAGGTCGGACTTTTTAGGGTTTTTAGAGCAAATGGGCTGTTATCATAGAGATTGAAGATTTATGGTGGATAGTTTCAAAGATTCTTGAAGCAGTAAGCTTTTTTTTAAGTATTTTGGGATCTATAGTTGGTATCCTTGTGCGTTTGAATCTTGGGTTAACTCTTGGTATCTTTTAGCTTGGATGATAATCTTAAGATGATTTATTGGGGAGTTTGCTCGTGGATCTCAAAACCTTCATCAATGGAAGCTAGAGGTTGGGGGCTCGAAAACTAGGTTAACCTGATCTAACAAGGTGAGTATCAAGTTGTTTTGTGAAAACTTTGTACATGTCAAAAATGTGTGTTTTAGAGTCTTAGAACATCTTCAACAGTTATACTATATTTTTTTTTCTTTCTAAAATAAAGTATTAGAAGTCAAGATCTCTAAAAACAAATACATCCAACTCCAACAGCTACTTTATTTTAGCAATTATAACATTAACTATATTATTAATATCAGCAATACATCTATTTCAATATCTCTTATTAATGGGAAAGAATTAAATTACTATTTCTCTCTCTTATATATAGAGCTTTAGAGATTTTGATATTATCTCTGTTCTTTTTTCTATTTTACCATTCGGTATAGCATAACAGTTGGAGTACAAAACTCTTCTAAATCACCAAAATTATTATTACAACATAGCTGTTGAAGATGCTCTTAAAGTGTGTTCCTTAAGATTTATCGAATATCGTTGGCTATTTGGTGAAATTGCATCTTTTGCATATTTGGTTTTATAAAATCTTAAGAAATACATATATTTGAAGTTCTTAAGCATTTTAATAATAAATCATAAAGTGTTTGGATTTTAAAGATTTATTCCTTGTATGGAATATTTTGTATTATTGCACTTTTGGTATTTTGAGTTTATAAATCATTCGAAAATATATATGGTTGAGTTGCTGGGCACATTTTGGGTGTCATTACTTTTCAAGAAATGCTTCATTTACACCATGGTGTGTTTGTGGGATTTTGCCCAACCTTTGAATTGATAATAAAGATATTCACATCTTTTGAGTATCAGTTGTATAAATATTAATTATTTGTATTTTATTGGTTTATACTAATTTTTTATTGAATAGTCAATTGAGTTGTTGAGTTATTGTCTTGGTTTTGACTTAGATGAGTTCTACGGATATTTGTCTGGTTTAATTTGCTCAATGACGGGCTTGGGACGTGATATGTAGTTGACATATTTATTGAGAAATTATATGCTTGAGTATGTTGGTTATTCAATTGGAGTCATGTAGTTTAGACTGTAATGGAATGAATCCATAGGCATAAAAATCGATTTTATTGGTATGAATGGGATGATATTCCCTTGCTATAACTTAAAATAGACATCAAGTATTCATAGGCATTATGGTGTGGGATCTTGGAGTCGGATACCGGCTATTGACCAATATAATATGATTTTTAATGAACGAACTTAACTAGGATTATTGAAGATCTCAAGCTATATAGATGGAGTGGTTGAACTTGACGACTATACAAGCGATAGACCTGGAGTGGTTGAGCTTGATGACTATACAAGTGATAGATCTGGTTGAGTTTGATGACTCGTTAAACTATAGATCTGGAGTTATTGAACTTCATTTAGACAAAAAAAAAAGTTGATAACCGGCAACCAGAGTGGTTGAACTTGATGATGCTAATTAACATAGAGATGCGGCTTACTTTTGTGTTTTGTCACATCCAACAAAATTGAGTCTCCCCGTCACCGAAAGGTGTGTTTCGGATATTATGTTTTTAGTCATGTTTTCGGTATTGTTTTGGTGTATGGTATGTACCTACGACTTGATGTTCCAGATGTTGCCTATTATCCATATTTTGTTGCTTTGGATACTTGAATTTTATCCATGTTTTTTGGTATTTAAATATCAAGCTTTATTCATGTGTTGCGTTACGGTTTTGATTTCAAATGAAAATGTGTGTTTGGGTTATTGAGTTTTCATCATGAAAATGACGGGTTTTGGAAAGATATTGCTTTTTATGGTAAAGATGTTTCATTTTAGAAATGATGATTTAAATAAACAGTCATTCAGTGTTACCGTTTTATAATCATGATGAAAATTGTTTGAACTCACTAGGCGTTAAGCCTAACTCTTTCTATTTGTCGGCATATGCATCATCCTCGTTATGAAATGGTACTAGCAATACTGGGATAAGTTGAGTGCTAATTAGAGGCACGTGGAGGATTTAGCTATTCGGGGATGTCTTTTATATTTTGGCATTAGCGACCGTTGTTGGATTTTAGTAACACCATTCTTAATCTAGACTTTGTGTAATGTTTAGAATATTATGTATTGATGTTAAATCTTAGATTGCCATTATAGGTAAATAGGTAATCAAGTGTTGACATTTAGAAAGAGACTTATTCCTTATTTGATGTTTTATCGAAAACATTAAATTAATCGTTCTTTTCAAATTGGAAGATGTTACAATACGAGTCGGTCACATTTTGGCTAGAACCATAATTGAAACTAGGTTCCCACGTTTGGGCCATGGTGACCCAAATCTGTGTCCAACGGAGTGAGCCAAGAGAACCGAGTCGAGCACATTGGTAGGACGACATGTGAGATGAAGGCCCACACTAAATCGAATCCAAATCACACTAAGCTACTTGTTTTACATTCCCAAAAATTACAAAATGGCACCTATAGGAGTAGGGTTGTTCATCGGTTGACATTCATTGGATGTGAGGGGAAACGAACTGATCCAATCACCCATTGAATGTTGGATTTTGCCAACCGATCCGATTAACATTGGATAACCAATCCAATCCAGATGATGATTGGATCGATTCGGTTCCATCCATTGGATACTTTTATTGGATATCCATTGGATATCTAATGGATGATTCGTTGGGATTGGATCCATCAAATATGTTAATTCAATCCAATTCTGCAACAATGATACAAACTGATTAATCACTTTTAATATGTGTTAAAACCAACACAAAAAAAGTTAAAAATTCAAAGTCTCACATAAATCAAATTCCGATCTAAGCAATTTAAAAATAAATTAATTAGATAATAGTTGGATAATGGTTGAATGGATAACTGGATGGTCATCAGATGATTAATTGGATGTTGATCGGTTCGGTTCGGTTTTGGTCGGTTATGGACTGCTATCCGAGAACCGACCTATCCAAATTAGATGTTGAAATTTTCAATTCGATCCGATCCAATTACAATTGGATATTCAATTATGATCGGTCGGTTTCAATTGGATCGGTTGAATTTCTGCACACCCCTATATAAGAGTAATGTAATTAAGGAAGTACGAATAGAACTTTTGATAAGGTTCTTTGTGAATACATTCGGGTTATAGAAGTGATCAAAGTTGGTTGTGTTATAACTATGAATCGGCACAGTTAATAAGCACATCGAGGTCAAACTCACTTATCTAAGCTTGAGGTTAGTACTTCTTGAGCCAAATCGGTTTCAAATACAAAGATTAAGGATACAAAATAAAATTGGTAAATTACTAAATTACGTGCATAAAAAATAAAACCTTAAATCTCGATGAGTTTAATAGAACTTATAGCTTATTCAATCAACTATCATGACTGTTTGCTAGTGACTTAATAATACCAAAAAAATGGCTTATTCAGTAAGCCTAAAAGAAGTTTTATCGAATTCCTTTTCAAAACTCGTTCCCTCATCTACGAAAAAACTGTTCTAAATCTTATAGACAGATTAATCTACATAAACAACTTTAACCATATAAGTCTGAATAAAAAACCAACCAAAACATCCAATTGGCGAACACCCTTGCATATAGTTTGTCTATTTCTTGGTACGACTAAGATACAAAAGGATAAGTTATTTATACATCTTGACGAGAACATGACAAATATTACAAAATTACCCTCAAATAATATAAAAGATTTTTAGGATTATGAACACATAAAAAATAAGGACCCGTCCTATGCAATTTACTCCAAATCCCAGCCAAATATTTGGGTATGAAAAAAAGTGGGAATTTGGAAAAATAAAAATTAGAGCAGAAAATGACAAGAAAAAAGAACAAAAATTCCTACAAGTAGCAAAGCATCATCAAAATTGATTACTAAAATATTTGTTATGCAAAAAGAAGCATCAAAAGCAATGGTTCTATAAAAATCAACACAATGTTCTCTTTAAGATTTGTGTCCTTCCTCTGCAGCAGCTTCAAAAGTTTCACCTGCCACGAGCTCCGGGACTTCATCATCGTCCTCCTGGGCTGCTGCGGCAGCAGCGATGCCTTCACCCGCACCTGGTGCCTGCTTCTGGAACTGCTCGGCTAACTTTCTCAAGTTATCCAAGTTATCTGGCCCTGTAAAAAACAACCCGTTAGAAATTACTGTCCTTTTCCACGGTCCAAATCAAACACAGAACCGGACTGGAAGTTTCAGACATACCCAGCTGGTTCAGAATGCCTGGGAGAATATCTTGCAATTCTGAAACAAACCATGATACGAATTCAAGTCATAAATCAAAAACCCATTGTCAATTCAGAATTACATAATCATGACATATTCTTTATAAATTAATTTTTATAGACCAAAATACAAGCAAACACCAAACTGGAACAAAGAAATATTGGATATGAGCACACACACCGTTGGGGTGCATTTGGACCAGACTGGACAGACAAGAGTGAGGTGGATGGGTAAATGAATTCCGTAAGGTTTTAGGGTTTTTATTCGCAGGGGTAGCTTAGTAATTTACCAATTTTATATCTTCTCTCTGATTTTTGTTAATTGTTATCAATCTTGTACTGCCCTAGTCTATGTAACAGTCACACATGGCACAAGTTTCTGTCCCGTCCAGTCACACATATACCAAACACACCCTTATTGGTGCTTATCTTAGAAAAATGGATCCTGTATTTACACTAGAGAGAGATAATTTATATAGATATAGAAAGTAAGTTTCAGGAATAGGTAACATACGCTTTGTTTGAGGAGAACCACTAACCACCCACGTGTTGGCACCAATAGCGGCTTGAACTGAAAGATCAACACAGAAAAAAAATGTTAGCTAGTCAAGATATTAGAAAAAAAGAAGTGATTTAAAGCTCAAATTTGGCACCTTTGGGATTTAAGAACTGGATAACTGTTTCATCCTTAAAGATGTTAACTTCTTCAATTTGGGTTATTGCGGTTACCCCTATTCTCTTCAAAGTGCTCTGCAGCCTTTTGTCATCTGTGGTGGTTGTTTTATGTATAGCCTTCTTCTTTCTGCATGCAAACTCAAACCACAAGTTGATCAAATTAAAATGTCATACAAGTTCAGTTTAATAAAAAAACCAGCACCTATTACATAAAGATCTATTTACAGTTCACACAAGCAATACCACAGGTCACCACATCCAAAACCCTTGAGAGGAGTAATAACACAAAAGCAGACACAATCTCCTTGATGTTATTATTAAGAGGAAGATAAAGGATTCTAGGATTTTAAAACACATCCTAACCAGTAGAAGTTCATACCATGTTCTTCTACATCATCTACTTCTAGTTATGGTCCACGTCTAAAAATTTCTTGTGTTTGTATGTAAACCTCACATGTGATGGGCCTCTTTAATCAGCACTTCTTTTTTCTATTAATGACGATGACATGTAAAGCATCAACGTTACTCAATTCTCAAAAAACTTCCTTCATTGTAAGCTTATGAGTTATGAGAGTTCTTTCTCCTTTCTAATGCAAAAGAACAAGACAAATTGTGATCTCTCATTTACTTCCAAAAACAACAACACATCTATGTCATTGTTTTATTAACCCCCAACTACATATTCCATTACTTCAACCGTAACTAATATGGAGGTTACATAAAATCAATCAAATTTGTTTACTTGTGAAATTAAGTCACTCTTCCAAGTAGTGACCTTTAGATCAGCCTTCAACTTCAACTGTTCTTCACACTAGCCTTCTCCTTCTTAAATCTTGTATGTTACAGTTAGAATTCTGTAAATCCGATATATGATCTCCCTAAAACGCAGGGGCTATTTCTTTGTAATCTTTAAGAACTACTTACATGGTAGTTCATATATCTCGGTTTTTCGTACTATTTGATGATCATACAAATCCTATTCCCTCAGTCCAAAGCCCACATGATAAATTTCTATAGCCAACAAAAAACTGTTCAAAAATTTAGCATTTAGACAAACATGTTGGGTACAAAATAAAATCTCTTCTACATTATTAAATAAAGAATCAATTATAACTTGCATTTGATCAGGGGTAAAATTTCTCTGATAAATGGATTTAAAAATAAAGATTGCAGAAGAGTCACTTTACAAAAACAAAAATATAAACATACACACATCTAAGCCACGCAAGCATAAGGGAAACAAACCTTCTCATGCTACCCTTCCCACCGGTGCGAACAGCACCTGCCATCTTCATTAGCTTTTCCACATTCATCTGCCACAAGTATAGATAAAACGTGTGAAGCAATTACCAATATCAAAGTGCAAAGTTAAGAAATCACAACATCAACACAAATAATGATACAAATAAATTCCCTAAACATTCAACAATCAGAAACACAACTATTCACGCTGTATAACTTAAGCAGCTTCAAAATCGAAGCTAATGCCTGTCTATTAGTACACCAAACTACAACATTCACATACTTAATTTGCTAAAAAAAGTTGATGCATAAAAAAGATTTGCTACGAAACGCCATTAAAACAACACCTTTTGATCTCCAACGACACCACCCACTATTGGATGGATAGACTGCTACTCAGATCAAAAAGTTAATGCGACCTTAAATATCTAGATTCCATTAACGAAATCAAATACCAATGAAGATGGAATCCATTTACCTTGGCGTCGATCGGATGAATTGGAATCCGAGGGTGATGCAGGGGTGATGAGATAACAGATAAAACCCTAGAACCAGTCTTTCGGTTATTATATATACACAGCCCAAGGCGGCGAGGCCCGGTGAAAAGAAGTTTCATATAGATGCCTTGTACAACGTTGAAATTGCACAAAGTTCCCCTGTGTTTTAATTTTGTAAAGAATGCATATAAATGGAATGTATTTAAGGTTATAATTTTTGTAAGTGAATTTTATATCCTGCTTTATTTTGAAAAACTAGAAGGGTGCTCGTATAATATAGCGAGATAAATCTTTATTTTAATGTTTAATTTTTTTTATCTCTATCGATATATTATGATTTTATTTGGTTTTGAGAAACCGATAATATTTTATTTTTGAATGAAATATAAATTTGAAGATAGCATAAAAATTTGAAAAAAATAAAATTGATATTAATGTTAAATTAACTATTTGATAGTTCTCGTTTTTTGGTTTAATTTCTTTAATTTAATTTTTTATTATAATTTAATTTAGATTTAATAACAAAGTAATTTATTTTTGGTTTAATAATATACTTATTTATGAAGATAGTAATTAACATTCTGTTATAACTCAATGTTTATCTTAATTATATTTAAGATTTTCAATACTTAAAATGGATGTTTATTATGTATTTGATTATGTTTATTTGCAGTTAGTTATACGGATTTAAAAATTGAGCTTTAATAAATTGTACTTACGAAAATTACTTGTAATCTTGAATTTTATGTAACATTAATCAATAAACAATACTTCATGCATAAAAAAAGTTTTTAAGAGTTTTTGTCAAATGTTTTATAATATAACTAGAAAGGGTACTCACACAATGCAACGAGATATATCTCGATTTTAATGTTTAATTATATTTCGTCTCCCTCATGTTATAATACGATTTTATGTGGTACTGAAAAAAAGATATTGTTTTTTATTTTTTGAATAAAATATAAATTTAAAGGTATTATGAAATTTTAAAAAAATATATCAATTTTAGTATCAAATTAAAAAAAATCTTGTTTTTTTTTGTGTGTAAAGAAAATTAAATAATGAATTCATTTATTTTTTGTTTAATAATATAATTCTTTTATAAAGATAATATTTAGTATTTTGTTAGAATTCAATGATTATCTTAAATATATTTTAGATTTTTTATATTTAAAATGAGATATCTATCCAATATTCGATTATGTTTATCTGCAGTTAGTTACACGAATTCAAACATAGAGCTTTAATAAGTTATACATACGGACAATTTACTTGTAATCTTGAATTTTAAGTAATATGCATCAATAAACAGTACTTAACGCATAAAAAATGATTTTTAAGAGCTTTTGTCAAATGTTTTATAATATAGTATAGATATAGATTAATCAAACATATCTTTATGGTTGCAATTTTTAAAATAATTTAGTTTTTATAAATACCTCTTCTTGCCCCCTGTTTAAGCCCTCCAACCCTCTTTGATAGGTTCGGGCGGAAAAAATCCTCGATGGGATTAGGGGAACACGTTGGATACCCATTTGATAAAAAACAATGTATTTTAAAATTAAATTTATAATAAATCGTCAATGTATTAATTAACAATATTGAACATCAAATATATTTGTCATTTAATAATAAACTAGAAGGGTACTCGCACAATGCAGCGATATACATCTTGATTTTAATATTTTATTTTATTTTTTATCTCAGTCGATGTTATAATATGATTTTATGTGATTTTGAAAAAACGATAATGTTTTTATTTTTGAATAAAATATAAATTTGAAGATACCATAAAATTTGATAAAAATATATCGATATTACTATCAAATTAACTATTTAAAATTCCTTATTTTTTGTCTAATTTTTTAATTCAATTTTTTTATTATAATTTAATTTAGGTTCAATAACTAAGTAATTTATATTTAGTTTAATAATATAATTTTCTTATAAATATAATAATTAATTATTTTGTTAGAACCTCGTATTATAGATTTTTTATATTTTAAAATGAGATGTTTATCATTTATTTGATTATTTTTATCCGCAGTTAGTTACACGAATTCAAACATGGAGCTTTAATAAGTTGTACTTATGCATAATTTACTTGTAATATTGAATTTTAAGTAATATGCATCAATATATAGTACTTCATGCATTAAAAATGGGTTTTAAGAGTTTTTGTCAAATGCTTTATAATATAGTATAGATATACAGATATATACATACATACGTCAATCTCCACCATCTCGACCTCCTTTATAATCTACTTTGATCGAAGTCGATCTCTCCATCATGACAGAACCATCATTCCCTCATTCTTATCTGTACAACAACATGACCAACCCTTATCTCGTTTTTTCTTCCCCTTTCACCACCAATACTATCACCCTCCAGGATTTGAAAATATCAAATAAAAAAAATACTGATATTCTCCAAAATCTCAAGTTTTATTTCAAAAGATGATATTTGGTTACAAATATAAAGGAGAACAACATAGATATTGGAGTTCTACAACTTTTTCTCTAATTTTGATCAGATTTAAATATTAAATGTCAGAGTTTTTGTAATGCACTAAACTATTTAAAAATCAGATATAGCCTCAGAATGACATCCTTTCGAAAGCTTCTAAATAGTTGCTCAACACTTGGATTCCTCTAGAAACGTCACTACCATGACTTGATACGCATGTCGACAAGAAAAGTGTTAGACTTAAAACCTAGTGAGTTCAAGTAGCTTATATTACATGTGTAAAACAGAAAAGTGAAAGAATGATCTTTAAGTAACAGATCTCCTTATCAGAGCATCTATATTAACATAAAAGATATATTTCCTAAAACACCAATAACAGGGTAATTCAATACATCTTAGGATGATGGGGAGACTTGTTTCCACTGGATGTGGCGAGACACACAAAAGTAAGTCATATATCAATGTTATCGAGTTTAACTTCAAGTTCAATGGTCCCTGTGTTTGACTTCTTTGAGTTCACATCGTAAATACCCCCAACTTGACTCGGTGTCTATTCGTTCCATATATGAGATACGCCCCAAGAATCAACTGTCCAGGTGTATGATTTCAACGAGTTCTCATCGCAATACAATGGATGACTTAGTTCCCCGACTTATCTAGGTTTCAAGATGAAAACATAAAAACTTCTCACTTGACCAATCAATTAAAATCAACCCTCATGCACAATGGTTAAAGCAATAAAATCACACTCTTGGCAAATTATAACATGAAATTTCCAAGTGATTATACAGTATATGTGATTAATGTTCAAATAGAACAACTGAACAATCAAAGTTAGGCAAACACCCAAAACTCCATTGTACATGGTCCAATTCCTAAAAGTCCCCAGCTAATTATATTATCTCATGAATAGTCGAAATAAGTCAAATAAGATGCATTCTCCAATTGTTTATACGAACCATATATCAAAGTATGACTAAGTCAAATGAACCATCATTTGTTGCAATCGATCATCAGAAGGTCATAATCTTTTGATTTATATTTTCAAAATGTCTAATAAACCCAGTAGTAAGCATTTCCCAAAGTTTTAATGCAATCAAATGCACCAAAAGTGTAAGTATGCCAAATACTCAACAACTACTGTAATAAATCTTAAAAGACTGCAAAGCACATGGGTTGTGGCGTAGTGGTTGAGGTCATGGGGGTGTGATGGAATATCTCATTTACACATGGTTCGATTCCAGACATACGACAATTGTGCCCACTAGTTTCTCATGACTGATCTTTTGTAATCACAATTTGTCGGGATTGGTCCAGCCATAATCTAAGACGACTTTCCAAAAAAATGATAAAAAACTGTAATTACAGACTCAAAAATATATAATTTTTTACTTGTATATAGTTTTATCAAAACAACTGGAACACACATTTCCAGGTTTAGCTTCAATCTAGAATCCAACAAATCTTTTGCTTCTTTTTGATGAAGACACTGGCGATTCCAAACCAAAACTCCTCGATGAAGCTTTCCAACTTGCAAACCAAGCCTTGAAAAGCCTTAGAGTTGATCTCTAAACTTCCAAAGATTGCTTACAATGAGAAATGAAGAGGGTGAAGAATGAGAACGGGGGCTCAAAAGTCAAAACCCTAGCACCAAAAGAGCTTTAAAATCATCTCACATAGCCTTTTAGCCACGACCATACTCGTGGGAGTCGCATATGAGGTGTGACAATCCAGAGACATACACGACCTATACGGCGACCCTAGCCACATGGTAAGTCAAGTTTGATAACAAACTCGAATTCTAGAGAGATACACGACTCTTCTCACAACCTTACTCATGTGGTTCACCCCAAACTTAGGGTTAGCCCATATTAAGACGTTTCTCAAGACACTTCACTAGTCTTATTCTATATTGTAGAACAAAAGCATACAAATCAACCGAATAACGCATATATGAAACACTTAAATGCAAAAATGGAGAACACTCGAACATTTCACAAATGAGAGATTCATTCAAATATATTGCAGGGAAATAAAACTCAAACCTTATAATATGTAAACATTCAAACCTCATATAACAAATTACCACTTTAGAAAAAGATGAACAACCCTAATACAATAAGTAGGAAGTAGGCAGCGTTTAGCTCATACCATTTTTTTGTTAACCTGGATATCCAACCCACTATGCGAGCCGACTAATCCCAGGGCGACCACCTGCTTTGCAGATAGTCCGGAGTCATCGCATTTGAACCTCCATGGCCACAAAGGGGAGTTTTATTCCCCCTTGGATTTGAACTTTGGACCCCCTTGTACTTTTGACCTTTGGAGTCAAGCTCAAACCAATCAGGCACCACCCTTGTGGTTAGCTTACACCATTTACAGTATGATGAACATCAAATGAAGCTTTGAGTGGTATAAAAAATCTTTCTTAAAGAATGTTGAAATCAAAGTATGAATATAGAGAGAAGTAAAAAACTTCAACTCCTGAAGACTGTGTTATAAAAGTGAGAAGACACTTAAAATTGCTCAAATTGTTGTGTAAGTGAAATATTTGCAGTGCCTAACCGTTGAATACTTATAGCACACAAAATAATTTATGGACCATGTATGGATGTCCGCATGGGACATTAAGTGGACCCTCGCATTATGCAGATTCATAAATCTTGAATTTCTTTCTATAAAACGTAATGCAATTTTCCTATAAATGTTTTCGCAACCCACGAACAAAAATTCTCTTGAAAATATTAATTGGGACGAGAGAAAGTAACTATGAAAATGTGACATCTTGCTCGAAGAAATGGAAAGGGGGTTTTACCGTTTTCTCCCGTAGCAAATAGAATGTTCCTTTCCACTTATGGTCATTAGAAGATTCTTTGTGTAAACTATAATACAAGGTAACTTTAATTTTAACACAACTCACAGATAACAAACTCGATTAGAGATTTAATGAATATCACTAGAGGCTATTAAGATTTCATTTGTAAAAACGAAACCTTGAATAAGTGGTTGGCGCATTTCCGATGAAATATTTTTCAAGTTCGGCTTGACACACACTTCAAGACTATGACAAGAGTTATAAGATATCAATTTATTTAGTGTAATATTACATAAACTCAATACATCGTCTTTCGTAATTTCTTATATGGGCATGACTCCAAAAACGAATATCCGTATTGCACAAATTGGATTTAAATGACCACCACCAATGTCATACAATTTATTTACTTATCGGGTAAGATTTTAGTCCACCAAAACGACTTTGTATGCAACAATTTACCCGATAAGCACTTACCGTGGTAAGAATCGTCACCCTCACTTACCGGGTAAGACTTTTGGTCCTTATCTCGCTCTTACCAAGTAAGATTTTTGATCCTTATCATATTCATCTAATGAGGTAACGCGAATTGGTAAGCGCTTACCCAGATAAGCATTTGGTAAACGGCCCCTTAAGGGCCGGTTACTAAACACTTACTTGGTAAGTGTTTAACGCATAAATTTCTTCATTGGATGAACTTGAAAAGGGCCAAAAGTCTTACCAGGTAAGAGCAACGAGAATGATGAAGAGTCTTACCCGGTAAATAATGATAACGACTCTTACCCATGTAAGCATTTACCCAATAAATTGTTGTATTCGATATGTTTTGATATACTAAAATCTTACACATTAAAATAAATTACAATGTTGACTTCTATTAATAAATACTTGTCGAATAACCATTTAGGTAAACGGTCGAGCAATTTTAAATATTTTAATTGTTTGTAATCATTAAAATGAGATACGAGAATTTATTTTTATAATAAGCTATTATTTGTGTTCCAATCTGTCATATTCATCTTTTTGTAGCCACCTATTAAACCTGAATTTATTTCAATATTCCATAAAAAATAATTAATTAATATTTAATTACATTTTTGCCCTTTGCTCTATTATATATTCTTATTGCTTGCCTACCCTTTTGATCTAAAATACTGCATATAATTCCACATATTTTGGCAAAAAAAACTTGGATTTATATAAATACAATCCAAATGAATCGATTGGATCCTACTCAAAATAAGATTTGAATGTACATATAATTATAACCAAAATATTTTGATTCAAATATTTCCTATATTTATTATTTAATAATAATTAAAAATATATTAATAAACCGATAAAAATAACTCTACTTGTATACATATTTTTCAAATGAACGTATTATTTAAAAACATGTATTTAAAAGATAGAGTATACAGTCTATAGATTATACATATGTTCAAATCCAATGAGGAATAAAAATCTTTTTGGGGCCACAAAAGTTCAAATGCGATGACTCCGGGCTACTCGCAAAGCAAGTGGTCGTCCTAGGATTAGTCGGCTCGCATAGCGGGTTGAATATTCAGGTTAATAAAAAAATGTTAGTATTCAACGTTCACACTACATTTATGTTTTAGAGATGGAACTTGACGTGTTTTTAAAAAATACATTATCAAAAATAAATAAATTTTAAATTGTATATGCTTAAATAAATATTTATAAATTGTAAATCATGTATTTTGAATTTAATTACCCAAAATAAAATAAATTTTTATTTTTATTTTACTTTACAGATTTGTGTATAGAAGCATTATTATGACAACACACTCTTATGAGTTGTTTACCAAACACTTACTTGATAAGTGTTTATTGATAAAATTTAACATTATCATTTACTTACCGGTGAGATTTTAGTCCACCAAAACGACATCGTATGCAACAATTTTCCCGGTAAGCACTTACCGTGGTAAAAGTCGCCGCCTTCACTTATCAGATAAAACTCTTGGTCATTGTCTTGCTCTTACCAAACAAGATTCTTGGTCCTTATTATATATTCATCCGCTAAAGTAATGTGACTTGTTTACCTGAGTAAACGTTTAGTAAACAAGTCCTTATTTTTTCTAAATTGAAACAATAAAATATAAGTGATGCTTCAACTATTTCAAGATATCATTGTAACCAATAAAAAAGGAGGATGTGAAATCATTCTAAATATAGTAAGTAGAAGACATTGATGGTCATATGCTTTTTGTTATAAATATATTCTAAAAGTCACTTTCAAGTTTCAAACTAAACCTTCTATTTAAATATTTACATTTTAAATCATCTTAAAAAAAAGACATTTAATAATAAATTATTTAAATGGAGCATTAAATCTTAAGCCAAAATTTAATACAACATAATTCATTTACACCAAATGTTATATAAATCAAAATAGATGAAAATAAATATGGTTAAATGCATAAAATAATAATCTACTGTTTTTATAACTTTTTTTTATTATAACATTGTATTTTTTCCCTTTACAACAATATACTTTTAAACTATTTTTTATTGAAGTATTGTATATTATTGTAATAATCTGAGAGTATCTTATACGTGGACATCCTACCCCAACACGTCTTATATCTCAAATCAGTGCGCTTACGAATATGAATTTGATTCGTTTTTTTTATCATTAATACCATAAATAGTCAAATAAGACATTAAAAGAAGAGTTCCCAACTTATAAAACGAACGATAAAGATTTAAAAGAATCTTGTTTTATGGACTCAAGACCCGTATAATTTCCAATCAATAAAAAGACAATTTTGACCATTTATAGAATGTTCTAAGATTTTCTACAACATTCTTGTATCATCACAAGACAATGGAATCAATATCTTTATGAAATTATGCTTCTTTGATCTGTAAAGTAGTTTTTTATACTAATTAAAAGATATTTTAATAATGTTTAAATCTGTAACGATTTATATATACTGACTACATTGATCCAATGGTTTATCCCTCTTTATATGATTCCTACTACTAATTTCAACACTTTATGTGAAAATGTGACAACTTATGTTATGCTTTATAAATAAAAATAACAATTTAGGCCGGTAAAATTACAAAAACAATAACTATAAAGAAAACAAATTAAATGGTTTATAAGTCAATTAAAGTACACTAAAATGTATTTCCGCAGCTTCAGCCTAGAGGGTAAGGGATCGTTTACTAAACGCTTGCTTGGTAAGTGCTTACCGGATAAATTTCCTAATCGGATGAACATGACAAGAGCCAAAAATCTTACCGGGTAAGAGCAATGGGAAAGATGTAAAGTCTTACCTGGTAAGTGAAGATGACGACTCTTATCCAGGTAAGTGCTTGCCCGGTAAATTGTTGCATTCGATAGTTTTGATGTACTAAAATTTTACGCATCAAGGTAAATTATAGTGTTGACTCCTATAGGTAAGCACTTACTGGGTAAACAACCCCTAAGAAGGTGGACATTCTTGCAGAACGAGTAGAAAGTTATGGTTTGATTCTAAAACCATCAACTATCAAACGTACAATTTACTTTTCCAGGAGAGATGTGAGATTGGTACGATGGGGACATTACAAAAAGCCATACTCTTTAATAAAAATGCTAAAATGTTTACATCTTGCTTTATTTAAAGAACTCGAATCATCATTTCAATAAAGAAACGTTGATAAATTAATCAAACTCGTTTTGGTCTGGTGAACATCGAGAAAATACATTTTTAACATTTTCAAACGTAGGGGCAGACCTATCAAGGCCTGAGCGGGCTCCTTTGCTCCCGCTCACTCGGTTATTGTGAGGGAAAAAAAATTAGGCGTCTAAAAGATGCATCTGTTTGATTTTGAAGAGTGCTTTCAAATATCTTGAAATCAAATTTGTAACATATAACAAACATAAATGAGATTTTTTAAATAGTTAGATTAAGGGGTATTTGGGATTGCTTATATGAAACAACATATTCTTTTCTACAAAAGTAATTATCAATTTACTATAAATCAAAATAGTTTAACTTCTTTAAAAACTACTTATTACCGGTTTGACACTGATATAAGTTGTTTATCCAAACATTCAAAAGTGTTTATTACCGATGCTACATCGGAATAAGTCAATAAATTGTTTTTATAAGCAATCCAAACAACCCCTTAATAAAAAATGTGTTTTACTGTATGAACATTTGATCGTACATCCGGAAAAATTATGGTTTTATCCCAAATTAAGTGGAAAAGATTGATTTAAACAACATCCGAATTGATATTTCATAAAAATTACTGGTTTTGATTCGTAATCGAAAGTATTGTAGGCCATGATGAGTTGATCAATGGGTTTGTGTGGGCATGGTATAATTTGGAGTGATGATGGCCTTTGGTGTCAACATATGGTCAAGAGTAAATGTGTCCACCCTGCACAGCCATGAAGTAAACATCAACCAAGAACAAGTTTGGAAAAAAGGGAGATAGAGGCGCGGGTGGCTCCCAATTTTCCATCCATTTTATCTTCACATCTCTCCATTCTCCTCTCATTCTCCACACGATCTTTTCCCTCCCTCTTTGAAACACCTTCAACTACATGCTGTTCGTAACCCCTTGTTCTATCTCTTCCAAGTTTCAATAGCATGTCTCTTCAGTCTCTGGCTCATGTTAATGGCTACTATCATAAACCCACTTCTGTTTTTGCCACCAAAAGAGACTTATTGTTTCTAGATTTTGTGGGTTTGGGCGTTAAACGAAGTAATCGGAGATTACTGGGAACTGGTGTTAGTGTCAAGAGTGTTGGTGGTTTCTCGAAGAAAAGGAACTGGTCGTACTCGATCAAATCGGTTCTTGATTTTGATCACGTTGACTCCCAACAATCCTCTCATGTTAAACAGAAGGTGTGATTTTGGGTTTTCAGCTTCATTGATTGTTTCATTTGATAATTCAATGTTATTTCTTTTGTGTTCGTAGTTCCACGCAGATCATTCTTTTTTTATTGACAGAGGGGAAGTGAATTGGACGAACAAGATACCATTCTATGCAGATAAATTGAATCTCATGGTTTTTCAAAATGAAAGAGTTGAATAGATTGAGAATCTGAAATATTGTTTCTGAGCTATAACTTGCTTAAACATACAAACATGGGTAGAAGTTTGTGAATAGCCCATTGGTAGTGAAAATCTGTTCCAAGTGTATGAAGAAAAAGCTCTTTGAGAACCACTAACATGTGTTGAAGCTAAGATATAATATTTGGCTTATCGTATAAGAGCTTGACTTTTATTCTGAATGGTCAACACACACACACCCATGTGTAAAAGAGTAAAATTTGGGGTGAACGCTAACTAAAATGTAAAATTTTGGCTGAAACAACTGCTGAACAGGATAGGTGGTAAAAAGCGGTTATGATGTATAATGTCAGATTATTGAAGTCACTTGTAGTTTAGTAGTCAAATTACTCTTATAAGTCATAATACTTGAAGGGTTATAATCAATTTTTTCCCATTAAATTGGATAATGTGAAATTGTATATTCATGTGTCGTAACAAGCACCAGAGCCATTGCCTACCAGGAATCTAGACCTAATTTAGCAATGGTTATGATCTAGTGGTCTGGTAGTATCTAAATTTCTACAACCCTTTAGGTTGTGGGTTCAAGTCTCCTTTGAGATGTTAGTGTATTGGGTTGTGACCGTTTCAAGAAATTTAGCAAGCTTATGGACTACAGTGGACGTGGGCTAATATTATATGAATAGTCATGAGGGAATATATTAGTGTATTTGGTTTATTGCGCAGAGGAGAAAGGGTGACGAATTATGTGATGTGGGGGGAAATGGTAAGTAGCATATCAGTGCATGTAGACTTGATTATGAAGTTTATACAGGTTTTGATATTCAAAATCAGTTAGTCAAGTCTGTATTAAGAAGCTCATCACATATTGTTTAAGAAGTCGGGTGGAGGATAGATTGAGACCAGGTGTAAACCCCTGAAAATTTATCGGACACTAATATTAATCTGCGGTTTAGAATGGATGCTAACAGTAGTTTCTAGTTTCTACTATGAGAGGTTCAGTTTGTTTAACATTTTCTCTGTGATTTACCATTTCCGTGCTCAATGAAACAGGTGACATAATGTAACTGGATTTCACCTATTTGGGGTTTTCTGGAAACTTTCTGACAAGTGAGTTTAGGGCTCCATGTCTATGTTCAGCGTTCACTATTGTTGAATGCTCAAGTAAAAAGCTTGGGTTAACTGTGATTAACATACTCTTGTGATCTATGGGGAATGTAGTGTAAGATACAAATTGATCCTTTATATTAGTAAACATGCACTTGATGATAAATTCACAAGTAAGTGAAACCAAAGAAATAAATAGGAATTATGCTTGGAAACTAGAAGAGTTGCAATGAACTCTCAGTGGGATACTAAGAATAATGGGAAATCGTTATCGTGTTATGGATCGAGTTCTACTCCCTTTTTGTATATATGTATCGAAGGGCCATAACAAATTCTTACAAGCCTTGTTCTACTTCTTCCCTCTAGGTATAATCCGAACCACACTCGTAATTGAGAAAAGAATGCTCATCCTTGGGGACCTGGAGTATAAGGAAGATGGTTATCCATCTCCATGCCTTCTTGATATCATCATAAAAGTTGTTTTTCTGTAGATGTTTTTCCTTTTCATGCTTCTTTTCTTTCTGAAGTTATCTAGGATGGGATTCATTAAGGGAGCAAAGCAAGAAAGCTACTTCTAAGGGTTCTTTCCTGTTTTTTTTTCTTTTCGCCACTCTTATGTGTTACTGTTAGGAAGGTTTTCAAACAAAGCCCAAATGATTGATGATTCTCTTATCCTTACACCAGTTCATGGTCGCAATTCTGCCACAGATGGCATGTCTGCTATTTAACAGAGTGGGGTTAAGTAACTTGAGGTGGAAATGTTCTGTTGGTGTTCATATTTGCTATTGAGTTCTTGAGGCAGGAGTGAAGTAGACTGAAGGAGTTGTGAAAAAGTTGCAATGTTATCATTTGCTGCTAGGTGGCTGGTAGGGTGAACCAGGCCAATAAAAATATTCTAGACGAATCTTTATCTAGTTTGATACATGCAAAATCCAAGTCCTCCACTGGCCTTCATCTCTTTTTGATTCTTATTTCATTTTCCTTATCTATACAGATTATTTTTATACCTTGTGCACTTGAAATGATGTATTCACTGATATGATGTGTTATGTAGGTTGCGAAGTTGGAAGACATATTGGCAGAAAGAGGGGCATGTGGAGTTGGCTTTATTGCCAATTTAGACAACAAGGGTTCTCATCAGATAGTTGAGGATGCACTTACAGCTCTAGGCTGCATGGAACATCGGGGCGGTTGTGGGGCGGATAATGATTCTGGTGATGGTTCAGGGTTGATGACTTCAATTCCATGGGAATTTTTTAATGATTGGGCTGAAAAACAAGGGATTGCTTCCTTTGATAAATTGCATACAGGGGTTGGAATGGTTTTCCTTCCGAAGGATGAAGAGCTTATGGAACAGGCCAAATCTGGTTAGTCATGATCTTCTTATGAAGTAAATAGTACATGGATTGGTAGAAGTCTTTTATGTGATTTTCATAACCCATTTATGATTGTTAGCTATGATCTCAAACTATAGACAAACACTCCAAATGTCAATAACAGGAAAACATGGTTAGAATGCACCTTGATTGAGACACCTCTGATGTAGGACTGTATTCAGAAGGGTAGTGAGAAAAGCAAAGCATGGTGAAAAACAGGTGTAATAATGCATATCCTTGCAAGGCGAGCCAAAAGAGTCAAGCTCGGATATACAAGCAAAATTCAATCACTGGATATTGCCGATTGGGAGATTACACACACACGTAAATAAGTTTCACATTGTGAACCGAATACATTTGAAACAATCACATTCTGAAACAAATATATGTTAATGAATACATTAAATACTATACTTAGATGAAAAAAATCATGTGAAACATAACCTTAAGGTAGAAGTTCTCACGGATCTCACAAATTTTGGAATTCTCAAATGATTAAGCCCTTATATATATATGTGTGTGTGTGTGTGTGTGTGTATAAAGAGATCCTCTATAGATAGTAAGAGGGGATACCTCTTTTTTATCATACCAATCTTATGCCATCCATTTTCTCATCCCCCACCTTAGAGAAACATGCCTTGTCGGTAGAATTACCCTGCATGCAATCGTTATTTACCAAGTCACCATACTACTCCTGAGTCCTGACTGCTTTCTTTGAAAGTAATTTATTAAACTATGCTGGATGCTTTACCCAATACAGTGATTTTTTTACATGCAGCTACTATATGCCACTAATAACTTTCTTCGAATAAAGGAAGTTCATTTTAGGTTTTAAGATAGTTATTTATCAAAGTAAAACTGTAAAACACAAATGAAAATTAGTGCAAAAGATGAAACAAGACAATGAGGGCAATAACTAAACATGATGCAGACAACTATACCAGAAAACTGCTGAACAAGACACCTCAAAACTTCATGTTGGACCCAACTTTTCAAGTACAAAGCTGAAGTGCAATCAATTAATGATCTGACCGCAATAGTTCTTGACAAGAATGATAATGGATACTTGCTCTGTCCCAAAAAATGCAAACACTTTTTAAATTGAATTTTTTGCTTGAAAAACTAACCATAGAAGGGTATTATGGTCATAGCTTATCTCTAAAACCTATTTAAGTTATTATGTGCCTTATATGTGTTATGTGTAGCATTGGATGGAAAGCGAATGGTGTATGATTGGTAAGAGGAGAAGGCTGTGCCTTCCAATATTATCCATGGAGGGGTTCCTATATGTGGTGTGTATTAAATTAGGAAAGACAATCCTAATCACCGGTTATATGGATACATATGAATAAAAGAAAGGAAATATAAAATATAACTAAGGTGTCGTTTACCAAACACTAATGGGGTAAGCACCTGGCAGGTCACTTACCTTACCGGGTGAGCATGGCACGGACCAAGAATCTTCCCTAGTAAGTGAGAGTAGTGATTCTTACCCTGTTAGCGCTTAATGGGTAAGAGACGCTTACCAACAATCTTACTATGCCTTTTTTGCTGTCCGGAAAATCTTACTCGGTAAGCTAAATGGGGTAGTGACTCTTACTCGGTAAGCGCTTAACTGGTTAACGTTTGGTAAACGGCCCCTAAATCTTCAAAAGAGTTACCAACTTAACATAGAACATAGACCTAATCAACCACTATCTATAAACTTATATACAAAGAAAGGATATATAAAGAAATGCTTCCCTCATGACACTAAATCTTCTGAAGTGCTACCAACTTAAAAATATTAGAATCCACTATTATTCTTGCTGAATAGTTACAATGCAACTTGCTCCAGCTTTTAATACATGATATCTTGATATTTTCTAAAAAAATTCCGTTAGTGCACCTCCTTTTCTTTGAGTGGCCCACTTCATTACTCTGTTTGCACACATATTAGAGATGATGGTGCAGGATCTCTTGGAATTCTTGTTTGTTGCCAATGAGTATTCTATCTTAGATGTGAGAGAGGAGTATTAATTCGGGACATGGCTTCCGATACTTTCTTGGTTACCAGGAAGCTGCTTCTTATCCATTGTACCTTTGGCATAAGGTGATAAGAGAGATTTCAGAGTCAGCAGAGCTTAATGGAGCAGTAGGCTTTTACACAGCTCAGAAAATTGTCTATGTAGATCACTGCAAATAATTGGGAGTTGAGTATATTAATCAAGTGCTAAAGGTGTCAGCAAAATTGGCTTTCATACTTCAGACCAAGCATTAACCATCGTCACTCAGCGTGTTGAATTGCTTTATAACTCAGTGAAATGTGATTAGAACAATAAGTCACTCTTGCCTAAACAATCCAGGATAATCAAGATTATTTGAAGCATCTTAACACTTTTCCTGTAAATTTGTGCTTCTAAATTGGTTATTCACAAAGTATTAACTGATTTCGTTTGGGATGTTTTTGTAGTTATTGTTAATATCTTCAATCAAGAGGGTCTTGAGGTGCTTGCGTGGAGGTCTGTTCCCGTAAATACTTCTATAGTTGGTTACTATGCCAGAGAAACCATGCCCAACATACAGCAAGTTTTCGTTAGAATCATCAAGGAAGATGACGCTGATGATATTGAGAGAGAACTATATATATGTCGTAAACTGATTGAAAGAGCAGCTAGTTCGGAAACTTGGGGAACTGAACTTTATTTCTGTTCATTGTCAAATCAAACCATAGTCTATAAAGGAATGCTTCGCTCAGAGGTTCTTGGAAAATTTTACTATGATCTCCAGGACGATGTTTATAAGTCCCCTTTTGCCATTTACCACCGGAGGTACAGCACAAATACGAGTCCTAGGTGGCCACTTGCTCAACCAATGAGGCTTTTGGGTCACAATGGAGAGATCAATACCATACAGGTCACAATGCCTTGAAATGTCCTTTATTCTGAGATGGCAATTGCTCTACATTCTTTTCATGGGTTTTTCAAATTTCATGCAGGGAAACTTAAACTGGATGCAATCTCGAGAAAACTCGATGCAGTCACCTGTTTGGCGTGGTCGTGAAAATGAAATTCGGCCTTTTGGAAATTCCAAGGCCTCCGACTCTGCGAATCTTGACAGTGCAGCAGAAGTAAGGCACACCATGCCACCAGTTTTAATGTTTATCCAATTATATTGCTGCTGCATATTCTTCTATTTGTTTATTGTTTTTTTTCCCTTACATATGCTTGTAATTTTATTATTAATATCTATTCCACTGATAAAACTTCTTTCTGTTGATATTCCTAGTTGTTTATACGAAGTGGCCGTACTCCTGAGGAAGCTATGATGATTCTTGTCCCTGAGGCATACAAGAATCATCCAACCTTGTCAATCAAATATCCCGAGGTATGGATGCTGAACATGTAGTTTGAATTGATCGAAATCATCAACTTCATATTGCTTTTCTTGTTCTTGAAATCATCTGTAGTAGTACGTTTTGAAATTGTGAATGATAAGATGATATCTCTCATCTTTGAGAATTTACATTCTGAACAAGAAGTCAAGAATGCTATGCTAACTATTATGTCAGAACGAGCTTATCCAGCATTTGCTAAATATTCCTGGGGGATGATAGTAGTTTCTCTCTCTTTAGGTTATTGATTTCTACAACTATTACAAGGGTCAAATGGAGGCTTGGGATGGACCTGCTTTACTTCTTTTCAGGTGGAATTTCTATTTTCAGTTTATTACCAACTCCTTTTTTTGATCATTTGACAAGTTCAAAGCTTTGTCGTATTGTTTGAAATATACGGCCATGCATAGTGCATTATACAACAAATAACCTTTCATGGTAACTGGTAAGCACAGTTTTTTGTTTATTGTAATAAACTTTAGGCATGCCCTGCGAAATAAATATTTCTTCTAACATTTGGTAACTAGTTGTAAACTTCTCAGGATTTCCAACTACTTGTTTAATTATTTTCTCAATTGTCTACATGGAACCCATTATTTAGATGTAAATTTTATTTTTATTTGACATAATGCTTATATATTACTCAAACAAAAACTTGTCTTGGAAAATCTCGATACACTTAAATGTCTGTAAACCTTCCTTCTTTTACACCCAACTTGTCTGTGCCTTGATAACCAGATGTAGAAAAACCGCATAACAAATGAAGTGGAAGAAAGGACCAAATTAATTAAAATAACCAATTCAAGGAGGGTTTCGTTATTATCAAGGTGGTGGCCAGGGGGTGGGGGAGGGAGGTGAAACTTGGCACTAGATTATCACCGTGGTCTCATCAACTTGGAGATTAATTCCTTCATTAATCTCTCTGAATATGCTCTACTTGGACTGCCTATTTTGTGTTTAACATGCAGAAATTTTAATTTGTAGAAGAAATAAAATTTCAGTTGTTGTTGGTTATTTTCTCTAGTTTGCTACTTATGAGTTTGCTCTTATTTTCTTGCTTGCAATAATGTGACAGCGATGGGAAGACAGTTGGAGCTTGTCTTGATCGTAATGGACTTCGGCCTGCTAGATATTGGCGGACTTCAGACAATGTTGTCTATGTTGCATCCGAGGTGCGTGTCTATTTTGAATCTTCACTTTAAAATATTTACATGCAGTTCAGACACAGAATTTGGACACAATCCAGATAGGTGATTATGAAGATTGGGATGGCACATTCTACAAAAATTGAGTTAAAATTGAACCACATCCCAATGCTTATGCATGCATATAAATAATTTTGGTGAGTTTTCGACATTAAAGGTATTTGTAAGTGTTTTTGAAAGCAAACCCGACAATATATCTTTCAACTTTCTCTCTGAGTTGACTTGTCCTCCATTCCCATGGAGAGACAAAATGTATACAACACATACTGCCTGGCGAAGGTTTCAATCTATTGATTTCATTAACGTTTTAAGACTTGCTTCATAATGCTCCTACTAGTGTATTGTCTAGCTGTTTGTAAATTGTAAATATCAACTTCATGTGTCATAGTTACTGTCTCCATTCTGATGTTTGCATCACAGTCATGACCTTGGGTGCTATCCCTCTCTTGTCTAGCTTTGTCATTGCTCAGTCCTCAACTCTGTTCTGCTTTTTCAATCTTTGTCTGCAGCTCCTACCAGCACCCACTATCCATTTCAGCTTTAACCAGTTCCTGTGGTTGGCAGTTGGTTCCTTTTTTGGCTGGTTCATGTATCTGTTCTGACCTGCTAGGGAGAAGGGGTGTTTTAAGTTGCTAAATCGCCATTTCGGGTGGGTGTGCACCCCATGGGGCGTTGACCGTACCCCTGAATTATTGAATATGAATTCACAGGGACAAGAATGGCAATGTGCATGAGGAGATTTTGATCTTTCTTTTTACTAAAAAGAGATGCAATTTCACAATTTTCAAAATTAGACGAGGCTAAAAACAAAAATAGAAGAGACGAAATTTTATCATATTTTTCTTTCATTGATTTGGCTTTAGAGTTTATACTTGTATATACACACACTCGAATGAATGTGCACCTCCATATCCTTAATCTTATATAATCTCTGAATCCCGGTATCCATTATCACACACCCGTATTCTGGTACCACATCCTTGCAACACTGCTGACCTGCAATATCCTCTTCCAGGGTGGTCAATTACCTATTTCAGGGTTAGACACCTCAAACCAGATCCTGTAATTGTTTCCTGAATCTTTCACCCAGTTGTCCTTGTCCCAATCCCTTTTGTTTTCAATTCTCTTTCTTATTCAGCATCTGGTTATATTGCTGCTGAGAAGATGTGAAGGGAGTCTTTTCTCTGCCTTCATTTAATTTTCTGCTATGTTCAAGATTTTGATAGAACTCTATGATTCCAATTAGTTCAATGGTGGAAACCTGTCTAAAGGTGGCCATTGTCTGATTAATGATCATCTGAACTCCACGATAATGATTGGGATGTCGATGATAGTGGTATCCGTATGAAATTTTGGAACACTTTGGACTCATCATGTACCATCCACCGTTCTGAATTATTCTACCACTGAAAATCTCTTGTACATTCCAACATATTAGAGACTTCACATCTTGACAATCATTGCTTACTCCTAATGCATTTTCACTTTTTAGCATAGCATCTCTTATTTCTAATTCTTATTTTCTTTCAAAAAATTGAGCTCTTTCTTTTCGTACATTTTGCACAAGCCAAGGGTCTTCACAGAAATAGCCGCTCTACTCCTCAAGTTAGAGGTCAGGTCTAGTAACCATAGTAACCACAATTTCACATAAGACCATATGATATACTACATATTCAAGGTTCTACCCCACTAATAATGGTTCTTTCTATCCTAATTTTTGACAATATGCACTTTTACCACCGGATGACGTATTTAGACAAATGCTTCACCCGTGTTTTCTTTTTGTTTCTTTTTGATTCTTCATATTGTTCTTTTCCCCTAGCTTTTTTTAATTTATCGGATCTTGTTTCTCAATGTAGGTCGGAGTTCTACCAATTGATGATTCAAAAGTTACAATGAAAGGCCGTCTAGGTCCAGGGATGATGATAACTGTTGATCTTGTTGGTGGTCAGGTTTGTACAAAGATTGTGTCTTTAATTTGTGTCTCAGTTGGGACTGCTGATGAAATCACATTTTCAAAATCACATGTGTGTTTAAAAAGTATGTAGCCTGAAAAATGAAGCTTCTTAAACGTATCTATCAAAGTTATATGGTTGGGTATGTTGTATTACAATCTTTGCTTCTTTTGTTACAGAGCACTTCTGCTAAATGTGTCATTACGTTAATATTAGAGCCACCTCATTACTTTTCAGACTTAAAAGCATATTTTCTGGAACTCAATTGAAATGAAGGACAATAAGTATTCACTCGTCGTTTTTCAGTTGTAGTATCGTCAGCCCTTCTTTTTTCAGTGTAAAATAGAGGAAACTTGTGTGAATCATGTTCATCGATGCAGATACGTAACATTTTGAAATGATCTATTAAGTGAATTTTTGATAATACTGAAACAGGTTTATGAGAATACCGAGGTTAAGAAAAGAGTTGCTTTATCAAGTCCTTATGGAAAGTGGCTGGCTGAAAAGATGCGAGCATTGGAGCCTGCAAGTTATCTCTCATCCCCAACTATGGAGAACGAAACAACATTACGTTACCAACAGTAAGACCTTTTTCCTTTTCCCAGTGACAGCTCTTTACTCCTGTTCCGTGTATTTTTTCTCTTGGGCACAACAGGAAGGGAATAATTCCTACCGTCGATTTCTGAAATTTGTTGGCATCATTCTTGCTTTCTGATTGAAACTCGTATTACAACATAGTTTTTATGTAAAAGCTACCATAAAAAATATGGTCTGCACAAAGATACATATTGCAAATTGCACTGTAGCATCCGGAGGCAACAAATGCAAGTGGTGATAATTAAGCGACTATAAGTCAACAAACTTGTTGATAAGCTTAATTTAGCAGACAGAATGTTCAATATCAATTTCACACGATTAGCTTCCATTCTGATGTATGTGGCCATGGCTACTTGTATCTTCAAGCTTGAACTGATTATAAGATCACAACCAGGCTAAATAGCTTGAATCTAACCTCACGAGCTTGTTTGGAGAAGGCAGTTCGCTGATCACTACACCACTGAGCTACACCAGTGACTCAGTGAGCCGTGACATAAAAAGCAGTAAGATCCTCATGCTATGATGTCATAACCAAACAGTAATAATACCTCAAACATTAATGACTCTAATTGCTGTTCTTACTGTAACCTAAGAATCAAGAGATGATATGAACTTGTGAAGTAACATAAGCTGAAACCAATTTCTGCAAAAGGTGATATGCGTCAAACTAGGCTGCCATAAACATGTAGAGGTAGAGCAGCTCAAGGCTGATGTAGAAAAAGAACATTAGATGGACCAAATAGCTATGATGATCCCATCATGCTGATTGTCAACCTTGAACTTTAATCGATCGAAAGTTGGTATTAAAAACTATCTACTACACTATGAAGTAATGTATTGCTCGAAATAAAGTATTGGGCTGCCCTTCTTTCTTGATTGCACCAATGGACATGTCAGCTATGAATGACTCTACTGCTATGTTGTATGTCAACTATGTTGGCATACTGTCATTCTTGGCTTTAATCAATTAAAGGTATTGGGATTCTGAACGATCCAGAAGTCCTAAAATGTGTTCGGCAAATATGGAAGCATAGAATGATATTGCAAATGGATGTTGACAATCATAGAGATCTTGGAGCTTGTGCACCATGTTAGAAGTCTCATGTTCACCAAGATATTGAAATGTTCAACTTTTTATGCGTAGCATCCCAAATTTACTTTTTAAAACATTAAATATTCGTCATTCCTTATTCCAATAACATTGATAGACAAGAGGCTACTGGTAGCATATCACCAACTCATATATGACTTTGATCTCAACTTTTGCAATCAAGGTGGTTCTTGCTGCACTATCATTTGTGCTATGTTATGATAAATGTTTCCCTTATAACTCAAGTTTTTTAGAACAAGAGATCTAACCAATTGATTTTATATAATGATAAACATAGCAAGTGGAAAATCATATTGGGCCTGTCTCAACTGAATTGAGTGGATACTGATTACTAGATCTGATGAAAGTAGTTACCTTTTAACACTAATACAAAGTAATCATACATATTGTTTGTGAGCGAAGGTTTACACTATGTTGTATTATTGCATCCAATTTGGATGGCTTATGATTGATTTTGATATCAACAGGGCCTATGGTTACTCCAGTGAGGATGTCCAAATGATTATTGAGACCATGGCTTCAGAAGGGAAGGAACCTACATTTTGCATGGGAGATGATATTCCTTTGGCTGTATTATCTCAGAAGTCACATATGCTTTATGATTATTTCAAACAACGGTTTGCTCAGGTTTCTAACATCATCTTTTTTTCGTCTATCTTAGTTGATTCTTTTCTATTTGTGATAATTTAAAAAAAACATACAGAAATTCATCCATTTGAAGATTGGTAGAACTAGACATGAAACATTTGAATGGTTGTCAATGTCTGGACAGAGGTAAAAAGATTTCAGTGATATTCTTTTTTTTTTCCAAACAGCACCATGAAAGGAACATTTCATTGCATTGCACCCATGTGCAATATCCATTTATAACCCATAAACCATGAACTAGAATAATGGGTCTTTCTTCTAGTGGGGGTACCTTGGCTTACCTATTGAACCATTTTCACGGGCAATGTCAAGTAATGTATTTTGCAACTTAGCAGGATCAATCTTACAAAACCAGATGTAAATTTTGGATTTAGTTCGTTTCTGCTGCTGTTCACTGAATTAATCTTGAAGTAGAATCAGTTGACAAAATTTATCATGCATGCTGAGTGTGCCCAATTTTATTAGTTCGTATGTATTTGGTTTCATTATGAATTATTTCCAGGTCACAAATCCTGCGATTGATCCACTTAGAGAAGGATTGGTGATGTCTCTTGAAGTCAATCTCGGTAAGCGTGGGAACATATTAGAGGCTGGACCTGAGAATGCTTCTCAGGTAAATTGTCCATTCATGACATGGCTAATCTTTGTTTCAATAAAAAGATCTTCGTTTCAATAAATATAATTTCCATCAAAGTTTTCCACACAATGTTCTTTTCTTAAAGTTATTTCCTCTGTTATCCTTTTCCATAAAAATAGTATGGATATTATTCTTTGACTGAAGTTATATGGTTAATATCTTTGGCCCAGGTGACCTTGTCCAGCCCTGTACTTAATGAAAACGAGCTCGAAGCATTATTTAAGGATCCACATTTGAAACCGCAAATTATACCAACATTTTTTGACATACGGAAGGGGCTTGATGGTTCCTTGGAGAAGACATTGGCTAAGCTCTGTGAAGCAGCTGATGAAGCTGTTAGAAATGGTTGCCAGCTACTTGTTCTCTCTGACAGATCTGATGAACTAGTAAGCACTGTATATATATGTTCATATGATTTAGTAATTTGTGTTATACTAGAGGACTGTTGTACATTTTCATCATTTTTCTCTCCTAATGTGCGTGTATGAATGCATATCTTCCTTCCTATAACATCTTTCAAATTCACTTGGATACATTTACTTTCCATATACCTTTTTGTGTCACAAATGGTTTAGAAAATCTTGGCAACTGTTAATGTAATTGCTATTCTGGTGCCATGCCAACCTGATTGTGTATTATTCACTATTTATTCAGGTCCTAATGTTATCCTTTGAATCTTTGTTGGTTCTTTTCCAGGAACCCACTCGTCCTGCTGTTCCGATACTTCTTGCTGTAGGTGCCGTCCACCAGCATTTGATACAGAATGGACTGCGGATGTCTGCTTCAATTGTTGCCGACACTGCTCAATGCTTCAGTACACATCACTTTGCTTGTTTGATTGGATATGGTGCAAGGTATTTTGAAATCCTCTAAAACACCATCAAAATGTGCTGTTTCCTTTACTCTTTATTGCTTAGAAATTCCTTCTTTGTTTTTAGCATTTCATTGCAACCCAAATGATAAATTCATGTGTTGTTGAATTACTATTTGTAGTGCTGTCTGTCCTTACTTGGCATTGGAGACATGTCGACAATGGCGCTTGAGCAAGAAAACATTAAACCTTATGCGAAATGGGAAGATGCAAATGGTTTCAATCGAAAAGGGTCAAAATAACTTCCGCAAGGTTTGGACTTGATAATTGTGTGCCAGAGAGATCATTATTGCTATTTATCTAAGCTGCTTCCTTTGATTATATGCTTCTTTAAGACACATCTAATCTGGAAAATTTCTTGTCACTTGCTTCATTTTGGTTGATCTCAAAGCAGTCGCGTTCATTTGGTGAAGGGATTCAATCAGCTATTTTATTACCATTTTGAGAAGTCGCCTTTCCCTTGGTCTCAGTTTCTAATCGTCATTCAATTAGGAACATCCTTTTTGTATCTATATCATGTAATGATATGCTTGAATTAACCACATCTATCGTTCATTCACTTCAATTCTCAACCATTGTTTAATTATTGTCAATTTCATAAATTCAATATGGAACATGGTCATTCCTTTATATCATGCAATCTCATAAGTTCAATATGGAACATGGCCGTTCCTTAACAGATGACATCACATGCATGCCTTGAAATGAGCAGTAGTTTGCCAATGTGCCTTTTCAGATATTCCTTTTTTGTAGTTTTTGGACGTCATTCATGTGTTACTATTCTAATATATCCTTGTATCATGTATCTATTCTCAAGTTGCGATCAGCGTTTCGTGACTATTGGCCAAAAGTTAGATGCCTTACATTTTTGGGAATTTTATCCTCCTTTAGCAGGGAGGTATGCATGTGTTTAACTGCTTATGACCACATGAAATAAATTAAAAGCTCATTGACTATATAATGTTATTACTAAAGTAGTCAACTACGAGTAGTAATTTTATTTTCTTCCAATAATCTATTATATAGTCCATCTTTAACTTGCCTTGGCACCCTGGTGGTGATTTTACTTTTTGCAGTGTGAAAGTTGTTTGTTGTTTTATATCATATGGTAACAGAACTTATTTGCTGATATTCAGGCGGTTAATGCTGGTCTAATGAAGATTTTATCCAAAATGGGAATATCATTGCTGTCAAGGTATTTGCTCACTTCCAGCTATTTTACTTGTTACAGTCTATATTCCCTATAGTTCACATGTGCATTGCCTGATCAAATTTTTGTTTTACTCAAACTTGTGAAATCTAACAAGCTCTTGGATATAGTTATTGTGGTGCACAGATATTTGAGATTTATGGATTGGGAAAAGAGGTGGTTGATCTTGCATTTACTGGGAGTGTCTCAAAAATTGGTGGATTGACATTTGATGAGGTAATATAATGCCCAAGAGCAAACCTTTTCTTCAATTCAGCTTAAGTTTGACTGTACTTGCTTGCAATCATGCAAGTGTTTGACTTACTCCATTTCTTGTTCTTCCCTGTCCACTGTTTCTCTAATCTCTGAAGTGCAGAAATTTTCATTCTATAATACCCAAATATCTCAACTGTTGTAGAAATTGTCAGCATTTCAGAGTTTTTATCATCTTTTCATGTTCAATTAGTTTATGTTAGTTACATTTCCTTGTGCAAGTATTTGAGAGGCTAATTGATATACTGTCCAACATAAATTTGTTGGACAAGTATTCCTTAAAAGAGCACGTCTTTCAACTTCTATAAGTTTTTAGTAAGGCATTATTGTCCATTAAGTACACTGAGATATTGGTATTGATGTTACTGCACTTTGAAGCATAATCACAATTGGTGGTTCATACTGCATGATGATATATTAGATAATTATCTAGGGATTATTGTACTGAAGTTTGGTATCTTTTTCGCAGCTTGCAAGGGAGAGTTTGTCATTTTGGGTGAAGGCTTTCTCTGAGGATACGGCTAAAAGACTTGAAAACTTTGGATTTATACAAATGAGACCAGGAGGTATATATAAAAATGTTGATATCTCGTATGGTTTATTTTGATAAAAAGCATACTTAAAACCTAAGTAATAATATGACTTGTGCAAAATAAGTTGTGCACTCCCTAGCTAAAGATATTGTTACGATTCCCTAACTTAACCTTCAGTTCCCTGTTTAAATGTTTATACAACCCTCACCATTAAGGACACTCTACCTATTGGATACTTATGTATGGGGCTTGTTTCTTCTCATGTGTAAACATCGGAAAATTATGTGAGTGACAAGTTAGGTGGTGGCTTATTGACTTCCTGAAGGTCCCCTGAGTAGCTCACATGGGAAACATATGATTTACTGATTAATACAATGGCATGAAAAAGAAATATGCCAGAATTGCTAATTTACATTAATCTAGGCCATCTTTTGTGTACCGTAACTTTTTTGGACTGTTGAGGAAGTGTGACAGGTTTGAGAATATATTTTTCCTTTGTGAAGTGGTTTTATTGCTTTATATGATCATTCTTTAGGGAGAAGAGGGGATCAGGTTGGCATTGGTCTTTTGTGAATTTAAGAGCATATTTTATAACACCTTTTGTAAGGTGTATTTGCTGAACTATTCTAAAGATCCTTTCTTTCTCACTCTGTGTATGCACCCAAAGATAAAAAAAATTGAACAAAAAAATTTAAAAGACAAGCTAGAAAAAGCAGATGTTGGCGTGAAGACAACGTAGGAGTTTTCAGATACAAAAAATGCAAGTAAAAATTACACAAGCAAGAAAAAGCATGAGGGTGCATAAAATAGAGACACTGCTACAAGTTCCCATGAAGACAATGTTGGAGTTACGAGATTTAGAGTTGTAACTTGTGTTTCTTTGTCTAATAAACAGGGGAATATCATGGGAACAACCCTGAGATGTCAAAACTGCTTCATAAAGCTGTTCGTGAAAAGCGTGAGAGTGCATATTCAGTTTACCAACAGCATTTGGCCAACCGACCTGTCAATGTAAGTAATATTCATAATTTCAACCGGATTATTGTTGTTTCTTTTATCACCTGTATTCTTCTTATTATTCACCTATGCATGTTATTCCAGTGTCTTGTTTGAGTTTCTACCAAATGAATGGCACAAATTGATATATCGACCTTAATTTGGTTTTTACAATATGGGGAGAAGTTCCAAAGATTAACATCATTCAGCATGTATGTATGACTGATATACCTTAGTTAAAAATAGGTGATATTCTTTACAACATTATTTAAGCCCGATAACAGTGAACCATACTGATCTCAGCTGTTTTGTCAATTCTAAACCATAGGTACTTCGGGATCTGTTTGAATTTAAGAGTGAGCGTTCCCCGATTCCAGTGGGAAAGGTGGAATCTGCTGCATCTATTGTTGAGCGTTTCTGTACTGGTGGTATGTCTCTAGGGGCTATTTCCAGGGAAACCCATGAAGCAATTGCCATTGCAATGAATAGGATAGGAGGGAAGTCTAATTCTGGAGAAGGTGGTGAGGTATCCTTCTCTACATGTTCTGTACATACATGAATATCATTGATCTATTTTACCTCTTACAATGGGTCATTTGATATATATGTATATATATTTGATAACTATCACCAGGACCCCATTCGCTGGACCCCACTTTCTGACGTTGTTGATGGATACTCTCCCACACTGCCACATCTTAAAGGTCTTCAAAACGGTGATACTGCTACAAGTGCCATCAAGCAGGTAAGAAGTTTATTGGGTCTCCTTTCAACTTCATACAAAATTTTCGTCATATGTATGGGGTTTTGTTTTCCTTGCGGATATGAATACCATTGTTGTTTTATTTTAAATTTACAAGGTTACACATTATGCACAAGTTCTTTTTGGTGCTTAACCAAACCAAACGAACCAATATATCCCACACAGAGGTAGACTTGTGGGTAGATGTATGCACCCCAAAGGGTAGAGTTTGGATCATCATAGTATTATGGACATTCCATCTAAAAGCCACTCTCTTGTTTCCTTGAATATAAAGAACATTTATGTTTTTTTTAAAGAGGTGCTGAAGTGTGAAGTCTTATTTCATTTATTATTAATAAGGGTGGTGCTGAAGTATGAAAGCAGAATAAAAAAAAGACTATTTGTTTTGTAAATTGAGAAACTTCTGAATGGGTGTTATTATTTATTTTACCCCTCAGAATTTTATAATGTTGAATGTATGTAAGCTCTTATCCAATAAGAGGTGGGTTAACCTCTTGTCTAATAAGAATAAGGTAAGAGGGAAAAAAACAAGTGGTTTTGTATCTGTAACCTCTCATTCGGTAAGACATAAGCGTTAAATAAGAGGTAAAACTCCAAAAACAAACAACTAATTTAATATTTGTGTCTTTCAGGTTGCATCAGGGCGTTTTGGTGTCACACCAACATTTTTGGTGAATGCTGATCAGATAGAAATCAAGATTGCTCAAGGTGCAAAACCAGGTGAAGGTGGTCAATTGCCAGGGAAGAAAGTCAGTGCATATATTGCAAGATTGAGAAATTCAAAACCTGGAGTCCCTCTTATTTCTCCACCTCCACACCATGACATTTACTCTATTGAGGATCTTGCGCAGTTAATCTTTGACCTTCATCAGGTGAAGATGTGAAACATTGCAGAATAAATTATTACATCTATAAAAGATGAGAATAGTGAGTTCTGAGATTTTATGCGATGAACAGATCAACCCCAAGGCTAAGGTATCTGTCAAGCTCGTGGCTGAAGCTGGAATTGGCACGGTGGCTTCTGGAGTTGCAAAGGGTAATGCTGACGTCATACAGGTACTCAACTTTTTTCTGTCAAGTTTAGCTCTAATGGTATCCTATAGTTAGAAACATAAGGCAATTCCATGGAAGTTAAAAAATCAGTCTTCTGCAATATGTTAAAATCAGTGAACTTAACCTGTTCTTATTGTCCCCGCTGCTTTAGCCTGGCATGTAAGGAGGTGGGAGGCCTGGGGTTCGACTCCAGGCCCCACCGACCTGCCCCTGGCACATGCAATTTACCTTCCCCATGATGGCCATGGGACCGGTTCGGTGGGGCCGCTCTAGAGGGTGAAGGCATAGAACATAACTTGTTCTATTTTGTTCTTATTATATAAATTCCTTTCTAGATTATTTTGGTTTTGTCGTTAATTGGCTAATTAAGTTTGTTGTAGGGTTTCCATTTGGTGTCATCAATCAATCGGTCGATTAGGTTCCGGTTTATGTTTATGTCGTCGGGTTGCAACATGTTTTTATAGGGTTTATTTTTGGTTCAGGATTTTGGTGAGACAGCAATGTGGAGTAGTTAATCTAGTGGTTATTGTTCATTTATATGACCATTTCCAATTCTTTAAGGTGTATAGAAAAGCATCGGAAGTACCAGCATTCTGTTGCTGAAAAAATCTATTACTACTTTATTTTAAGTTGGCTTTAATTTACAAGTAATATGAATTTCTTTTCTTTTATATTATAATGTTAATAGAGTGAATTTTAACATTAAAATATAAAATAAAAGAAATTCATAGTACTTGTAAATCGAAGTTAACATAAAATAAAGTATTAATAGATTTTTCTAGCAACAGGGTGCTCGTAAGTCCAATGCTTTTATATACACCTTAAGAGAATTGGAAATGGTCATATAAAGGAACCATACCCACTTACATGAACTACTCCACATTGTTGTCTCGCCAAAATCCTAAACCTATAAAACTCATGTTGCAAGCAACTGACATAAACATAAACCAGAACCTAATCGACCGATTGATTGATGACACCAAATGAAAACCCTACAACAAACTTATTTGGCCAATTAACGTGTCATTATTTTTATTTACCAAAAATGATGTCTTTTCCTCTGATATCAATGATATTCTAATCAACCAGCTTTGTGCCTATGGGAAACAGAGGAACACGGGAATAATCATTGCTGACAATCTTACCCTGCTTTGCAGATATCAGGGCATGACGGTGGAACTGGAGCCAGTCCCATAAGTTCAATTAAGCATGCTGGTGGTCCTTGGGAACTTGGAGTCACCGAGACACACCAGGTTTGTTTTGATCCTTTTTCCAAATTTAATCATTGGATTAATCTTTGTTATGTCACTTAAATTTAGTTTCTATAAACCATCTTTTGCAGACTCTCATTGCAAATGGTCTTAGAGAAAGGGTGATTCTTAGAGTCGATGGTGGCTTTAAAAGTGGAGTTGATGTCCTTATGGCTGCTGCAATGGGTGCTGATGAGTATGGATTTGGATCAATTGCTATGATTGCTACTGGATGTGTCATGGCTCGTATTTGCCACACAAATAACTGTCCAGTTGGTGTTGCCAGTCAGGTAATGGCCTACAATGTTCAATGTATCAGATTGCATTTAAAAAACCGGACTTAATATATTGTCTTTAACCGTATTTACTTCTCAGCGAGAAGAACTACGAGCTCGTTTTCCTGGTGTCCCCGGTGACCTTGTGAACTACTTTTTGTATGTTGCTGAAGAGGTAATTTCTGCCTTCTAAGAGTCTCAGAAGCTATAATCTGGCGATGTTTTTTTTCTGTGTTTATAGCTATTGAAATTCTGCTACTATCAAGCTGTTAGTATTTGATTTCCATTCAAGTATTCAAGTTTGAATTTTTATCCTACAATCCATCACTAAGATAATAAATATTATATTTACAGGTTAGAAGCACGTTGGCTCAGCTGGGGTACGAAAAGCTTGACGACATTATTGGACACACAGAGCTATTAAGACCTCGAGATATTTCATTAGTGAAAACTCAGCATCTCGATCTTAGCTATCTTCTTTCTGTATGTATGCTGTGGATCCTCTACAATCTCAAAACTGCATTTTTGTCCTCAAGAGAAAAACGCTAACATCTCGTTTTTCGTTTTCAGAATGTTGGTTTCCCAAAATGGAGCAGCAGTACTATTCGGAAGCAGGAGGTTCATAGTAACGGTCCTGTTCTGGATGACATTTTGCTTTCTGACGCAGAGGTAATTCTTTAAAAACAACGATGTTTGCCAAATTACTTTTTAATTGAGTCCAGATTATGTGACTGTATCCAATATAAGATCTAGTTGGAAGTACTGACGTTATATGTGTGTTTCCTTTTGTCTACAGATATCAGATGCGATTGAAAATGAAAAGGTGGTGAATAAAACCTTCAAGATTTTCAATGTAGATCGTGCTGTTTGTGGCCGTGTAGCGGGTGCTGTTGCAAAGAAGTATGGAGATACTGGTTTTGCTGGGCAACTGAACATCACGTAAGACCCTGCTTCTGATAGGAAGTATTTATAATTACTAGTTATGTATGCGTGCGATGCAATATGTTATTGTAAACCGAGAATGGAAAATTAATAGAATTTCTCTTTAAAAAAGAAAATTCGAAATTAATGTTAATAAAATAGAAATTACAAGTGGTGGTTGAACATGCCTTACTAAAATTGAAGGGCCGGTAAAAGAACTCAAAGAAAATATATTGATATTGATGTCAAATTAAAAATGAAATTTTTTTGGTACAATTTATTTAGTTCAAAATTTTATAATAATTTAAATATTTTAAGTTTAAAAATAAATATGTAATTAGTTTTAATATGAGAACTTTTATACTATGAAATGCATCTCGTTTAGCATCATCTATAATTTTTTTTTTGTCTAGGTTTGAAGGGAGCGCTGGACAATCATTTGCTTGTTTCCTTACACCTGGAATGAACATACGACTAGTAGGAGAAGCCAATGACTACGTGGGAAAGGTTTGATTACCAATTAGTATTCCAATAATTACATTGCCTTTGTTATATCATATTTTAGCCATTAAACTATGATGGGGACCAAGGCCGACTTTGGAGAGAAATAGGTGATGAATCGAAGTCTAGAATAAACTGCTTTGACATTAGTTACTTTGTAGCAACAATGTTTTCTTGTACCTGCTTCTGTTGTATGTTGCTACTTACTCATAACCAGCTATCCAAAAGTTATCATATCCACTTTTCTTATCTCAAGTTTATCTTTTTCGTAGTCTTTGTTTTTTAATGTCAAACGCTCTACTCTTTGGGTAGAGGTCGAGTCTGCGTATATCTTAACCCCCAGTACCCACGTTCAGGTGGGTATATTGGATTCTTTTGGTTGGAAATATTGGGAAATGGTCATTCATGCATAACGTTGAGAATCTTTTTCTGTTAGGGTATGGCTGGTGGTGAATTGGTTGTGACCCCCGTTGAAAAGACTGGGTTTATCCCGGAGGAAGCTGCCATTGTTGGGAACACGTGCTTATATGGAGCAACTGGAGGTCAACTTTTTGTTAGAGGCAAGACCGGGGAGCGTTTCGCTGTCAGAAACTCTCTTGCTCAAGCAGTGGTGGAAGGCACCGGAGATCATTGTTGCGAGTACATGACAGGAGGTTGTGTCATCGTCCTCGGGAAGTAAGCATCTCTACCGCTCCCTTAAGAAATTTATCTCCTAATTCACCCAAAACAGTTAAACATGTTCTTCGCAACTTGAACTGCAGTTGTCATTACTACTCCATCCTCCCAAAATAAATGTCCACAATGCCTTCGGCGTGTAGCTCAGTTGGCAAAGGGGCGTGATACAAGATAGGTCCCCCAACATTAGTGTCCTTGGAGGCGGGTTTTGCCTTTAATCAACTATTTTGCCAAATAAATGTACACAATGAAAAAGATAGAGTTTTAGAAATTTATAATTATCACACTTTTTAATTTACTAAATGATAATTTTGCCTTTATGATAGAGGGAGTAATTAGTTTCTGCATCTCATAGTTAAGGGTAGAATTGGAGAGTACTAGTAGGCGCTTATTTTAGAAAGTTAGCGTTTATTTTGGGACAAGCTAAACTAGAAATGTAGACACTTATTCTGGGGTAAAAGGAGTATTATGAAGTGATGGAAACTAGAATTTGATTTGATTGGTTTCGCCTTTTGTAGAGTCGGTAGAAATGTGGCAGCTGGTATGACTGGTGGTTTGGCGTATATTCTTGATGATGATGATACTCTCATTCCAAAGGTTTCTATGCAACACTTTTGTTACACTGCTGATCTTTTACTCATACCAGAACTCACAATTTGCCTTTAGTTTCTAAAACTCGAATCTTCCGTTGTATAACTACGACAGATAAATAAAGAAATTGTGAAGATCCAAAGAGTAGTTGCACCCGTGGGGCAGATGCAGCTCAAGAGCCTTATAGAAGCACATGTTGTAAGTACAAAATGCATATATGCTCTGAAACCATTTTATTGCATATAATATTGAAGTGTTGTTAACCCGTGTTACACCAAATAGACGCAAAAGCACATGAAGTTGTCGTTTATTCCAAGGAAGTTTGAATGTTTTTCTATCGAACTTGTATATATGTAGGAACCCCCCCTCTATAATGGCTTTTTCAGAGAGAGATATAAAGGGGGTTTTACATATCCTCACATGGTATCAGAGCCAGTATCTAGCACCACCTAGCCTCGTTTGAGGAGGCATTTTGGAGTCCTACATCAGCTAGACATGAACCATTGAACTAGTATATATGTAGGAACCTCCCCCATTGTACAAGAGCTCTTTTAGAGACGGATAGAAAAGGGTGTTTGCATATTTGACTCGGGATTGTTTGTTAGCAATTTAATGAGCTTAATGTGACTCACAACTTATTTCATCAGCTATATATGACTGTTTGGTAGTGACTTAATTATACAAAAAGTGGCTTATTCAATAAGCTTCTAGAGGGGAACTTTATGCAGAAAACCAAGTTTTTTCAAATATGCCTCTCCCAATTAAAAAACACGCTTTTTCAATCTATGAAAAAACCCTCCCAAACAAAAACCTCCCCTCAATATAGACAAATTAATCTACTGAGACAACTTTATCCATATAGGACTTGATGGAAAACCAACCAAACAACCCCTTCAACTTAGTTTGAAGGGAGTATCTGATTACTAGCCAAAACTATAAACACCATTCATAAGAACATAAAAGGAGAATCTTGATGTGACTTCCCAATATTGAAATCATTGCAAGTTTCATGTTTTCATTTTTCTTTTGAATGGTTTCAAGTTTATAAGATTAACGTGTGCATCTTGACGTATGAGTTGTTTACTACATCCAGGAAAAAACTGGGAGCACCAAAGGCGCTGCTATCTTGAAAGAATGGGACAAGTATTTGCCTCTCTTTTGGCAGCTGGTTCCACCAAGTGAGGAAGACACGCCCGAGGCTTGTGCTGAGTACGAGCAAACCACCACAGGCCAGGTGACTGTGCAGTCTGCATAACACGCCAACTTTTCTACTCCCTTGAAGCCATTGTTATGATACCAAAAAACAGATTCTTTCTGCTCATTGGAAAGTAAATTCAGTCGACTAGATGCCACAAGCTTCACTTTGAGAAGAAGATCAAGAAGGAAGAAGTCATGGTTCGGTCTGGTCTGGTCTTTTTGGTTGAAAAAAACATACCCTCTTAAGGTGAGAATGTATAGGCCATAGAGATGGTGCAGGAAGTGTAAATGCTTAGGGTACCATATCTGAATAAATGTACTTTTTCTGCATGGACAGGAACACCATAATCCTTATTTGGTACCATCTCTCCTTTAACCATCCTCGGTAAACTGGCAGGTCTGCATGCATCTCACTCAGATTCTACTTTTGAGTAGGATATACTGAGTTTGTTTTGTCTAGCTTGGTTTGGTTTATATACGTCTCACATTCCATGCCAAATTTATTGTTTAACACCACATTTTTCTTTATTGTGTGTTAAACACACTTAGTTATAGCTTTAAGTAACAATAATTGGCACGTCTCTTGTATGATACTTTGCAGGTTACGGTTTCAATATGCGTATGTATAAAACGTGATTGAAAGTTGTAACCAAAGATGCATAATTCTCGGCTAAAGATATAGAAAACTGACACGTCTTTGGTTTTCTATTAACGTGGATTTCATTTAACCTATAACATCCATCCTTCCTCTTTTGATCGAAAGACTAACATAAAAAAAGGTATATGTCACACTTTAGTGCATAGTGCATTGCTCCCATGGTCGTCACATAGATCACTTGATCATCACATTTATCTTTTGTCCAAGTTAACATGGAAGTAACGAAAAAATTCATGTAAGCAAAAAATCTCAAATATTCATGATCACGAGACATAATTATCATTATAAATAAGAATCAAAATTCCAATTGCAATTATTGATATGAACATAATGGATCGATCATCAAGTATCCGAATTATAAAGAAAAATCATTATTTATAATCCAAGATTAACAGAAGAGCTGTTTATTTGATGAATAGACAGATTCATGGAAAAATCATGACTATACTTAACAACAAAACGCTCTGAAAAACCCACATACAACAAAGACTTTTTGTTGCCATTAAGAAAGAAAGAAGTCCCGACCCTATCAACATAGGAACTTGAAGTGGAAGGAAAGGTATTATCCATGCATATTGATATGTCTGTTCCATAAAAGAAATATTTCGTAGAATCGAGAATTATTGTCCAACGTCGTCGCGCAATCAGTAGGTATTGTCAGATGCTCCTATTTCCTAGGGTTGTGATGACATTTCATAATTTAAACTGAACCGACTTGTAAACATTTAAATAAAACAATGGAAGACTTATAACATTCATGCAAACTTAAACAACTTGACTTACACGTGTTACTTGAAATACTGACATAGTTCAACTTAACAAAATATAACAAAGTCTCATGACAGCTGCTAATGCATCACATTATGTCTTATGCTTGGCCTTTGATCGTCCTCCCGATACACAACACCATTATGTTTTTACGATTAGTGACTTTACTGTTTCCATGTTAAATAGTTAACAAAAAAACATTTCATGGTTTTTAAATTAAATAGTAACATTTAGAAACTTCTAACATATAATTGAGAACATAAATCCATAAACATTATATATATATATATATATATATATCATAAACTAAACTTGTACAAATACAACATGAATATAAACATTTGAAATATCATACTAGGGTCAAAGTTTTGTCAACCAAGCGGTTCTCTAGCTCAAAGGTAACCTGGAGGTACATACCTTGACCATACTTGTACCAATATAATACAGAGTACCCTTATAATATATGTACTGTAATTTCTCATGCCAACCGTACCCGATATTCTTCGTTTTGTCTACAAACCTGAACTCATGGTTTTTGAAACACGTCTGGTACAGGAGGTATCCAGTTCCTTATAAAGCAACATTTAATTCCCCTTCTCAACCAATGTGGGATCTACAATCCACCCCCTGGGAGCCCAACATTCTAGCTGACACCAGTCCGGTTCCAGGTCCAAATACCATCTATAACATCCAAGGCCAATCGTACCAGATATTGTCCGTTTTATCCGCAAAAACTAGAGGAGATATCTAATTCCTTATAAGATAATATTTATTCCCTTCTCCAACCAATGCTGGATCTCACATGTACTGACCCTTGCATCATTTGCTCGTCTTGCCACTATGCCATGTCACTACTGACATTTTTGGTATATGATCCGACACACATAGCAAAATGTTTTTTTTTCATGTGTTACAATGTTTAATACATATGGTATGCTTAAAGATATAAAACATGAAAGCATAGACACACTTACAATTATCATAAATTACTTGTAACCAGTACTTATACGGGTGCATCCTAGTTTACATAAATGTTTTATGAAAACTCACCTCAATTATGTACATGCTAGTTCATCATTTCTTGCACACTATCGAGACACATCATAATGGGGTGCATGTGTACCGCTCTATTATGACGATATAGTGGAACTTCTTTTAGGGGTCTCAAAGTTGTACCCGGTGAAGTTGACTTGATTATTTTGATTTTCACAAGCTTAAAACACTTATCCTTGTGGACGATTGCCGTTATTTTACCATCGTATTACTTGTTAAGGGCGATAATGTTAACACATGTATACTTGTATAAGTTTCCACTCAATTTTGTTTTATATGTATTATATCTCGCAACACCTATGCTTGCACGAATTGACGAACTACTAATTTGCGTAGATATGTGTTTATGAAACTTCACAAGTTGCGTAAAAGGTCGTTTACAATTAGTGGATATTGTATGTGCCACCTGTGCACATAAACATGTAGTTTAAGGCCACTTCTATTTCGTTTTTCTCCATTCTTTTTGTATTGCGACACCTGTAACACGCAATTCTACTCCATAGCACATTTAAACGACGTCTAAGCATCATATCCCGCCTTTAAACGTGCATACGTTAATTGATCATATGACAACCACGTAAATGGCCATTTAACCATCAATCGACATTTTATTAGTTGTGATGGTCTTATGCATAAAGTACTGTTTATTGATGCATATTACTTAGAATTCAAAATTACAAGTAAATTGTGCGTAAGTACAACTTATTAAAGATTCATGTTTGAATTCGTGTAACTAACTGCACATAAATATAATCAAATAGAGGATAAACACCTCATTTTAAATATAAAAAATCTAAAATATAATTAAGATAATCATTGAGTTCTAACAAAATACTCAATTATTATTTTTATAGTAATTTATATTATTAAACCAAAAATAAAAAAAATGAATTAAAGAAATACACAGAAAAAAGAGAAATTTTAAATAGTTAGTTTGATACCAATACCAATATTTTTTTTTTCAAATTTTTATGATATATATCTTCATATTTATATTTTATTAAAAAATAAAACTATTATCATTTTCTCAAAACCGTATTATAACATTGACTAAGACAAAAAAATATAATAAATATTAAAATTAAGATGCATTTTGCTGCATTGTGAGGTACTTTTCTAGAATTTAACTATTAAAACCTATTAGGTTTTCTTTTCTTGTAAATTTTGCAATTAATTTTGATTATTTATAAAATAAATATTGATATTAATTTAATTTTTTAGTAATAAAAATCACGAATTTTGTTGTGGATATAGATTTGGGGAATAAAAATATTAAATTCAACGTTTCTAAAATTCCTTTTATTAGGAGAAAAAAACTGAATTATTTTGAATTTTAAATTTTTTTAGATAAAATCAATGAACATAAATAAAAAAACAGATAAAAATGGAGTCACGGCCGACTAGACCGAACCCAACCAGGAAACGACCGCATCAACCACCACCGATATGATATATCTCCTGCTATTTGCCATTTCCTCCACCTCCTCCGCCGCCGTCGTTAACATTTTAAACACAACCATCGAATCAATTCCAACCTTTGCAAATTTATAAGCCTTTCACAATCAAGCCTTTTTACCTCTGATATAAGGCGATCTGTTTGACGATTGCATCGAGCGATTTTCTTTGGTCAAGATTTATGCGATTTCTCCAGATCTGATTCCGTATAGGTATGTTGTTAACTTTGTAATCATCGGTAGTAAAGCGATTAATCATGTATGTAGTTTTCATTTTCATTTGTGTTTTTCGTACAATTAGGGTTTTTTTTTTCTTGTTCGATTTTGGTGGAGGGGTGCATCTGGGTATTTTGCATTTTAACGTGATGATTGAGGAAGTTTTGTACTGGATGGTTTTTCTCTTTGCTTTTTGGATCTTTATGTGTTTCTGTGTGGATTTGTTTGGATTTCATGAGTTTTGGGAATGGGTATCGTTATCTATGCATGTTCAGAGATGATCTCATCGTATTTGGAAGCGTGAATATGTGATTCTTTTTGGTGTTTGCTTTCATACTTTTGGTGATCAGCCATGCCTAGGGTGTTATGTAATGTTCTGCATGTTTGTAGGTGCTTGTCCGCATCTTGATGGCTGCAATTGATAAATCATAAAAGTTTTGGGGATGGATTTTTGAGAAGTTGATGATAGCAAGTAAAGAGATTGAGAACTTTTAATATGATATATTTAAATAGAGGTTTCTTAGAAACCATGGAGGGGGGCACCTAACATACGTCTTGTTATTGCCAGTCTAGCTCATGCCAGATGGTTAGCAGAGATACAGCAGGTTACAGAATAAAAAATTAAGATTTTCATGCAGAACACCACCATTTAAACTATCATCTGGCTGGTTATCTCTTCATGATAGTTTCCAACAAAAGATGCATTAAGAAGTACAATTGTCTGCTTAATAAGTACAGCTCTGTCCATGTTAAGGTTATGGCCCATGATTGTTGTCAACCAATATGCATCAGAAAGTTCTTTCCTAATAGATCTTTTCATAGACAAACAAGAAAATTGTACAATTTTGTGTTAAAAAAGTTGTTGTAGGATTCAGGTTATTCAGTTGTTCACTACCTTTGCCTAAATCAATGATTACATTTAATTCGTTGATGTTTCTTCTTCTATGAAAAGTATACATAGAAGCCACTTTTATTGCAGTTCTTCCTTATGCATCATATACCGTTATTGCATGCTTAAGTCATTGAAATTGGCTATTAGTAGTCATAATTAACTGGTACATTAGCACTTTCTCATCATTTTCAATTTCAAAGGAGTTGTCAAAGTAAAAAATGTGATATACACACTTTGGAAACTGCTATCATTTGAAACATTTTCTGAGAAGCAAGTAGGTTGGTATAGGACCACTCTTAACAAAGTATTTGGGGAGTAACAGTGTGTATAACTAGGGTTTGTAGGTATCTAATTATAATCAACGTAGGATGTGCTAGACAGCTCCTAAATACCCTATTCTTCAAATCAAAGGAGCGATTGTGTCGCATGATTAAATGCTGTTTGGAGAAATAGCATCAACTCGGTAACTAAGTTTGCAAGACATACATCCTATTCTATAATAGTATGTTGGTGATTGTATCTCTATACAAGAGAATGAAAATAGTTAGATGTAAGGAGCAATAGACTTAATAAAAAACTAAACTATGCTTGGGCAAGAATAAAGAATAACTAAATGTATCCCCAAAATCTGTATTGCAGTAATTCCAACCCACATACATAAATGTAGAATATAACCATCGAGTAAACAAAATTATGTTGCCAGGTCATTGCAGTTCCGATCGACATCTTATAGTTTTGGCATCATTCTATTGAGATTCTGATGAATCTTTCAGTCTACACAATATCTACTTGAAATCTATAACCAGAGGCCAGGTTATGCAAGTCCTTAAATGGCTTAAAAATACAAGTGGCCAGTAGATCCTAATCATCATCCTAGTGGTAGCATGGTGTTTGATGGCTGTAAATGGACAGATGCTATTCTGAGATACTTGTTTATTTTGTTGGGCAAGTCTATTATATACACCAAAGGGCCTTTGGCCTAGCGGTATCGTAGCCCTTGGCCTTCTAGGAGGTCAGGGGTTCAAATCTCACCATAGGTGAGGAGGGTGTGTGAGTTTATTTGTTGCATTTGCCGTATAAAAATATTATATACTTGAAAAAAAAAAGTCTATTATATAAATGGATAGTGCTATTCTGAGATACTTATTTATTTTGTTGGATAAGTGTATTATATAGTGGTAATTTCATAGCTTTGTCTATTGAGTGCAGTTGGCATTTGATTTGATCAAGATTTTGTGTGCGATGCAGTTGATTGCTGAGTAAATGTTGAATGGTGCTATTCAAATCAGATCTTTTGTAGCCAACTTTTCTCACACTTGCTTGATGGACAATGACCGTTCCAATGAATAACACTTTGGGTAATTCGTCGAGGGAGCGTGCTCAACTTCTTTACAACAAGGTATTGATGAGAATTTTATTTGAGTTAGAAGGATGCTTGTTGGTGTAGTTATTATCGTGTACTGTATGTATAACAGTAAAACTTAAGTAGTGTATGAGAAACTGGATGAATATGCAAAATGGGTAGTTCTAAATGAGCTCTCTATAGAACTGGTGCTGAATAAAAAACATTATATGGCGGGCATCCTGTATAATATATTTGATTAACAAAAACAGAGCACTTCTACCCTACAGATTGAATTTCACATTTTGTCTGTGCTTTATTTTTTTTAACGCCTAGAGCCCCTGAATGATAACAATCAAGGAAAAATCCCTGTGGTATGCGTTTTGTTAAAGAACTGTGCCTTGCCCTAACTTTGTTAAAAAGTCACTCAATCCAGGGAACAAATCTGTAATTCACTCTACATTATCTTATGATACGAAGCCGCAAATTTTTGAATGTTGGTAATATAAACCATTACAAGGATAAGATTTATTTGCATTAACCATGAATAATTGTTACTCCATGTCTATTTTCATAGTCTTGACTGTTTTACTTTGAGTAGCCATGCTAGCAGTAACTCTTATACTGATTTCTTTACGTATGTGTGAACAGCATCACATGCACTCAACATACAAAATCACTGCATACCTTTTCACTGCATGCAGTAACTAAAGTATAATTATCATTTAACTTTCCACTTCATTTGGAAGTTGCACATATATCGTGTGTAACATGTTGATGAGAGAGTGGCGTGTATATCAACACTAGGAAATATTTTCTTTGATGTTTGTTGATCTTCTAGCAAGGAGGATAATATTTACGAAGTAACTTTATTTTCTATTTGAATCTTGACTGGTATCTAATGTGTTTTTTTCTTCTAGAATGTTGAGTTGGAAAGTAAGCGTAGAAAAGCAGCACAAGTGAAAATTCCATCGGATCCAAATGCTTGGCAGCAGATGCGGGAGAATTATGAGTCAATTCTCCTTGAAGACCATGCCTTCTCTGAACAACATGACATCGAATATGCTCTGTGGCAGTTGCATTACAAGCGCATTGAAGAGTTGCGTGCACACTATAGTGCTGCTCAAGCTTCTGCAGCACAGAATGGGAAAGGTCCTGCACGACCTGGACCTGACCGAATCACCAAAATCCGTTCCCAATTTAAGACCTTCCTTTCAGAAGCCACAGGATTTTATCATGATTTGATGGTAAAAATTAGGGCGAAGTATGGCTTATCTCTGGGTTATATGTCGGATGATCCACAAAATGATATTGCTTTGTCTAGCGATGGAAACAAATCTGTTGACATGAAGAAAGGTTTGATATCATGCCATCGCTGTTTTATATACCTAGGGGACCTTGCTCGCTACAAAGGGCTGTATGGAGAGGGTGATTCAAAAACACGAGATTTTGCTGCAGCATCGAGCTATTATAAGCAAGCTGCTACACTTTGGCCTTCAAGTGGCAACCCTCATCATCAGGTCTGTCCTTCCCTTTGTAGTTATTCGTATTTTTTCTACCTTGTATTTACATTTCATTGGGAGTCCGTTCTTTCAAGTTACATATATTTTCATTTAGTTCTTTATATTAACTAATCTTTGCATTCTCAGCTTGCTATCCTGGCTTCCTACTCTGGAGATGAACTGTTGGCTGTTTATCGTTATTTTCGAAGTTTAGTAGTTGATACCCCCTTTACCACCGCAAGAGACAATTTGATCATTGCGTTTGAGAAGGTATCTGATCATTTTTCATTCCATTAAACATTTTCAACCCCATTAATAATCGTGCCATTTTCATTAGTGCCTTGAACATATGTGTATTAGTTATAATCTCGTCAACGATCCTCTATATTAATGTATCCAAGTTCAAATTAAAAGGGGTGGCTTGTCGCCATATGATGTGATTTGGACTTCAAGTTTCCTTCAGTGCACTAGAGCTACCTATATTTCTGAATTTGATTGGTTTTCAAGGTGTTTAATCTGTGAAGATATCATAGTTATCAAGGTGCCGATCTCACATGGTCGCGAGTTGTCTGAAGGTTGGGATGTGTTCGCTGAGGTGACAAGATGATAAGCCTGGGCCATTATGACTAGTCTGAACTCAATCGTACTTAAATTAAAGTCGAGTTTTTTTAGTCTATACAGTCTTTACAACATGTAACTAGATTGATTTAAGCAAGTTAAGTGTTGCTATTGCATTTGGCTTGCAGCTTAGGAAAATATAGTCATTTCAAAAATTGAGCTCGATGACACTATAGTAAATCGACATTCTTATGCAGGTAGGTGCATACTCTCTGTTGTTTGGTGGTAAAGTCACCTGAGACTTAGAATCTGCTATTCGTCTCTTTTCTGATGACCTAAGCTTGTCCTACTGCTCATATAACAGAAAATGTTTCTGGTTTTGTTTTTATGTTGTTCATTGACTAGATTGCAAGTGCTTATATACCAAAAAGTGGTCCTTATTTGAAACATAAAAGTAAAAGTCGTGCTATATGGAGTCTCGCATGACAGTTTTGTGTTTTCTTGTGTGTTGTTAATATGTTGTATTTCTAATTTGAAGGAAAATGTAGGTGCATTAAAATTTAAAATTGAGGTCTCCAGATATGGTTTTCTAATTGATGGCCATCTCATACTGTCCATGCTCAAATGGAATCTTCAAACAATCATATGGGACATCAGTGAGAGGATCATTCCTGAATTATTTTAATTTGGAGAGAATGACCTAAATCAATCATCTTTGACATGTTAAAAACGGGATCATTTGGAATTTTTTTTAAAGAAGAAACAGATTTAGTCCATCTTATTGCGGTTTTTGGAGAGGAAACAGAGTGATAAGAAGAAATCTGCTTACCAATTAAATGGATGTGCTAGTTTAGAAAAGATAAGAAGCATGTGAGCTTTTTTGTTACATGCCATAGCTTGATGCCAAATTTGTACCACATCAGAGTATGGTTACAAGGGAATATGATGTGTTTTGTTGTATATAAATAACTTAAAGTAGTAACCGAAGTTCTACGCATTTTGGGCAGAATCGTCAAAGTTACTGTCAGCTGCTTGGGGATACAAAAGCTGCTCCAACCAAAAAGGCACCTGCCCGGATGACTGGGAAAGGAAGAAACAAAGGTGAAACACGGGTGTCTCTAAAAGATAGGAAAACAGAACCGAGTCTTGTTGAGGAAAGAGAACCTACCGTGCCTGATGCTCTTAAAGCCTTCAGCATTCGATTTGTAAGACTAAACGGCATTCTTTTTACTCGCACAAGGTATGCTTCTGGGTGTAGTGATTTCAGTAATAATTTTTTGTGAAGCTTAACTAACTTGCTTCCATATTACTACCATCTGTAGCTTGGAGACTTTTGGGGAAGTCTTCTCTCTGGCACGTAACGATTTTCTTCAGCTACTATCTTCTGGAAGGGATGAGGTGTTCAGCTTTGGTTCAGATTTTGGCGACTGTAAACTCTTCATAACTAGGTTCATAGCAATCATGATATTCACCGTCTACAATGTGAATAAGGATGCGGAGAATCAGTCATATGCAGAGATTCTTCAACGTTCTGTTGTGCTTCAGAATGCGTTTGCTGCTATATTTGATTTCATGGCACTCATAGTGGAGAGGTGCTTCCAACTGAATGATCCTTCTGCAAGCTTTTTGCTGCCTGGCATCATGATTTTTGTTGAATGGTTGGCCTGTTGTCAGGATATTGCCTTTACCAATGAAATGGAGGAGAAACAGGCGACAGCTAGATCCCTGTTTTGGAACCATTTTGTTTCTTTCCTTAACAAGATATTGTCAAGTGGGTCTGAGATGGTTAATGAGAGTGAAGATGAAATCTGTTTTTACAACATGAGTAGGTACGATGAAAGTGAAACAGCCAATCGTCTTGCATTGCCTGAGGACATTGAATTGAGGGGATTTCTTCCTCTTGTCCCTGCTCATCTCATTCTCGATTTTTCGAGGACACATTTTGGAGGTGATGGCGGAAATAAAGAAAAGAAAGCACGAGTTCAACGGATAGTAGCAGCTGGAAAGGCTCTTACAATTGGAGTCCGGGTTGGACAGCAAGGAATCTGCTTTGATTCAAAATCGAAGAGATTTTTCTTTGGTGTTGAGCAGCACAATGCCGATAATGTTTTACTCGGTAGCTCAAAGGAAATTTCAGCTACAAACAGTATGGGGCAAGAAAATCATCTGCGGAGTCCCTTGCAGCCACATGGAGAAGGAGAAGAGGAAGATGAGGTTATTGTCTTCAAGCCGTCTGTGACTGAGAAGCATATGGATGGGTTTCCTTCCAAACTGATGTCCTCTGAGGTCATTGGCAATGGTGCTAATTCCTCTAAGGTTGCTTCTAGAAGCAATGGTGTTTCTGTCCCAATATCACATGGTGGTTTTCCTTTGGAGCAACCTGCATCTTCTGTCAATGGAAATATGCAATATTTGCAACTTGCACAAACAAACACGTCAACATGGATGGCAGGAGGGGAAGAATTCATTGAAAATGGCCTTTCCAGCCTCAACTTGTTGGGGACAGGATTTCCCACAAGATCCGAGAAGGAAAGAAGTTCAGGAATGTTGCAGTCTACGTCTCTTTCAGTTGCTCCACCGCAGTCCGTTGGTTTTGGTTCTTGCCTTGAACATTCGTTTCAGGATCCTGCAACTGTGATACCATCCAAGTTTGATTCCGTTATGACTTCAGCACCTAGTTTTGACAGCATTCCTTCAAAGACAAAATCCATTAAGCCAGGAGGCTGGAATAAGAGTCCAGTGAGCCGACCTATCAGGCACTTTGGTCCCCCGCCTGGCTTCAACACTTCTGCTCCTAAATATACAGATGAGTCATTAAGGCATGAAAATCCACCTATGGATGATTATAGCTGGCTAGATGGCTACCAGTTACCTTATTCGGCATATGGTGATGGATTTGGTAATTCTTTTAATTGCTTGCCACAACCAAACAAGCTTTTGAACACAAACAAGGCCTCGTTGGGGATGGAATGCTTTCCATTCCCTGGTAAACAAGTTTCCACAGTGCAGGTTGACATCGGAAAGCAGAATGGATGGCTTGATTATCAGATTCCTGAGCATTCGAGTCTTTACCAAGAACCACTACAGCAACTTAAAAAAGGTAATGAACAGTTTGTTGCACTGCCTCAGCAATATCAAGGACAATCACTGTGGGAAAGTCGTTTCTTTGTGTGAGATGATTATGAAGCATAGATGGTAAGATGTCCTCCCCTTTTTATTATTCTATTCTGATTAAAAAGAATGAAAGCTGTTATTTGCTTCTCTGGTGTTAGATTATGCGTAGATGGTAAGGGTTTTCATCAACACTTGCTTCCTTATACAATCTTGTGGTAGGTTTTGAACAATCTACTAAGGTGGATGTCCAGTGGCCTGGTACGACCAGTTCAGCCATCACATATGCCATGTGGCTGATGTTTAAAGCTTTTAATGGAGCATGGATGGTATTGGATTATTGCAGGCACCTGCTGCTGAATAGGTCTCTCTCTCTCTCTCTCTCCCTCTTTTAACATGTTTACTAGAAAGGAACTTATATATTTTTGATTTTCTGAAATAGTAAGTAAATACAATTATTTGAGAGCAAAGAAAAAGGTAGAAGTCCATAACTTCATATTGCATCCTACGATAGGCTTTACTTCATTTATATTGTCACAAGTTGTCAAGTTGTGTTCCTAGTGGTATGAATCAATGGTTTGGTTGGAAGGAATTGATAATAGGAGTAGAGCATTTGACGTCATTTTCTTCCCAAGTTAGATTTAAGAAATGAAAGGCATTATCCTTGATGAATTTTGACAAAATAAGAGTTGGTAACTCTGTTTTTGGTCTAAACTTGAAAAGTGATGGAGGACAATGAGAACGGATGGGGGTGTTTATACAGTTTGTTTGCAATGAATTCATAGGGTAAGAAGCAGTAATTGGGGATGTTAATGGAAGGGGAATTTTAGATGAAAATTTGGTAGCACTGAAGAGGGTCTAGAAACATTGTTTTGGGCAACTATGCTTATGCGCACTGACTAACCCCCTGAGCCATCACGAATGGCCACAACCTTGACCCGGGTGCCACAACCTAAGTGGGTTAGGTCTAGAAACAAGGAGAAAATGGTTGCAAGTATTTATATAATATACACAGAGTTTGTTTGTTAATTCTAATATAGGGCAGGGTGTTTGTTTGTTGATGCAGGTGCCGAGTTTTCCAGATTGGATGAAAGTGAGAAAAAAGGCAGGAAATGAATCCTGGTGTGTTTTGGGTTTGGGAGATGAATGAGCAAGGGAAAGGGTAAGGGTGGTTGAACAATACATTACTACTAGTAGTGTAGCTTTTTAAGGTATATGTATGTGAGTGAGTCTGATGGAAAAGAAGGGAATGTTAGAAATCAAGGTGTGTGGTGTTGCTGCTGCTGCAAGTGTTGCTTTTTCTTTTTCTTTTTTATGTGGGTTACTATTTACTCTTACTGTTTTAGTTTAAAAAAAAGAGATTTTATTTGATGGGAAATGAATAAATAAATAAATAAATAAAGGCAGCTGTGAGACTATTATATGCTGTTTGTTTATCCTCTTTGTTTTTCTTCTTTTATGTAGTTGGATCATGGAATGATAAGAGAAAGGTGATTGAATCCTTTATCACTTTTAATCTGAATTGCATTTATCACGGGTATTGATCCGACGCATCTGGTGTTGATTTTCAATTAGGATTGATCCAAAGATGGAGATCCTTTATCTCTTCTCACCATAACTTTTATTTTCATAGAAACTCAATTCATGTTTCCACTTTTAATAAATTAAATAATTAAAACTAGGTTGCATATTTACAACTAAGAAGTAGAATAATAAGGGGTCATTTACGTAACGTATACTTGGTATTGGTCTTAGTGAGAGTCAACACTTTAACTTAACTTACTAAGTAAGATTTTAGTTCATGACGTAGTATGCAACAATTTATTAGGTAAGAGTCGTTACTCTCACTTGATGAGACTCGATTCTTATCATCGTTCTTACCGAGTAAGATTCTTAATTCTTGTCATGTTCATTCGATAAGGCAAAGTGATCCGGTAAGCAATTACCTATTAGTAAACGGCCCCTAAAAATATATAAAAAATCAAATATCGTTTTAAAAGACCGCACATTGGGTCAACGTTTCATGAACTTCACATGGTGTTAGACACGAGTGTTGGGTGCACCATGGTGGTTGTCACGTTGAACCTTTTAAAACATTGGTTCCTAATCAATTTTAGGTTCCTAACGAACTTGTATGTGTATATATATATATGTATATATATTGTATCAACGTTGTATTTTTTTTGAAGTATATAATATTTATATACGGTAAAGACCCTTTGGTATCAATGTTGTATCTTATAAGTCATTAAATTTTAAAAATTTACAGCATACCTGATTTAATTGAATAATTATTTGATTTTGATTAGGATTTATAAACCAGTTGATTTAGGTTCAACTTGAATTTAATTGGATGGTTTGACGAGCCACGAGCCCTTTTCAAATAGATCTGAGCCAAACTTAAGAAAACGAATATATTATTCTCTTTTATTTGGTATTCATATTGATTTTTAATTTTTTTTTTCTAATTCTTTTGACGCAATTTTCTAAAATTTCAATTACGAGTATATTCACATTCAAGTATATACATACAATCTTTTTAATTATATTATACAACATTTACAACTTATTAATGTTTAAACTTTATAAATCAAGCTCGTATAAATCGATAAATATGCTGAAATATAAAATAAGAGTTGAGTCTTATTAATATTCCATACAAGTGATATACAAATTTATATAAATTCTCTTAAAACCACATAAATTTGTAAAATAAAAATGGAGAGAATTGCATTGTATTTCCTATTTGATAAAAACAACTTCCATTGAGTTCCGAATTACTCAACTCGTTTGCACCGTGAAAAAAGGCAATAAAAACATCAAACATTAATTGAGGGAGAGATTCCTCCTTCCTTCAAACATGATTCTGGATTCTAACCTCCCTTCGAAGCGCCGTCTATATGATGGTATGAAATGGATTGAATCTAGAAACAAATTGCATTGTCATGTCGCCTCCCTTCAACTTGGTAGTAATATACTAACAACTTCATGGTGGGAAGATAGTTGATGAAGTTATCGATCTTGTTCAAATCATATTGTTGATTTAAACATATGGTCAAAACGGACGCTCTTTCATGTACAAGTTTGGCCATCAGTTTGGTACGTATAGTGCTCTTGTTCATGCCGGTCATATGTTTGATGAAATGCCTAACAAAGATGTTATTTCTTGGACCGCAACAGTTGTGTCAAAAATGCATTCTTAGGCTTTTGGTGGAGAAATGGTCTCTTTATGGTTTATAATACGATTGTTGAATTATCTGTAAAAAATGAGTTTTTTTTATCAAAAACCTGTATGAAAATGGCTTTTTTGTTCTTGTTATATATGTCTCCAAGCAAATATGAAACCAGTATGATAATCCAATTGTTATTTGTAAAAATGGGTTTTTTTTTTGAAAAAACCCCCTTCTAGAAAGGGGTCTTTCTTGTTTGTACCCATTTTATATTATTAACTACATACATACAATTATTCAATTAATAACTTGCATGGTCTTTAGCTGTCTTATAATTTCCAAAAATGGCAAGTTCTTGAAGCTGTTTTTCTTCCCATCCCTCCACATGTCATGAGAATGCATCTATTGCATGAACAAGTCAATTGATCAATTGCTCTTCCTATGCTTTATTAATTATTAATTAATAATTAAACTTATTGTTTAATAAATCTGCTTTCTACATCTTACTGTATATGGGTCTATTGCTCCCTCCACTATTCATCCTCCTCTATTTTTATTTTCCTTTTTGCCAAATCCAAAACTCCCATGGCCAAAAGGTGACAGAAAAACAGGAGCTCAATCCCCTTAACGTTGGTTGTCCTTTGATTTGCTTACCAGAAACATAGGAAGAATAAACCAGAGAGAGAGAGAGAGAGAGAGAGGGAGAGAATCTTGAATGTTGTTTGGAGGATTGATGCAAATCATGGCCATTGTTTGCTTCATATGATCTATGCTGATGATGATGGTGCTGTGTTTCATGATATTTTGTTTCAATGAGAAAGATCCATCCATTCCTGATAAGCTAGAATTAGGATTAATGCCCGAAAGAAGAGAAGGCGATCGACAAAATTAATTGATGATCAAATTCTAGATCGTCATGAAGGCATGGGAGGCAACAATCCGGAAAACACAACAGGCAAAGAAACAAGCCAGCAACATTTTTGGTTCGGCCCATGTAGACGATGAATACATGGATCAAGACGAGACTCCTCGTGCCGCGGGTGAGGTCTACCATGCTGAAAGATACCTATCCAACGGAGACTACTATACCGGCAACTGGTCCGACAACTTCCCTCACGGTTTCGGCAAATATTGGTGGACCGATGGCTGCATGTACGTGGGTGACTGGTTCCGTGGCAAAACCATGGGCCGTGGCACCTTCAGCTGGCCGTCAGGAGCCACCTATGATGGGGAGTTCAAAAGCGGATATATGGATGGAGAAGGCACTTATACTGGGCCCAACGGGGACACCTATAAAGGGCAATGGATCATGAATTTGAAACATGGATATGGAGTTAAGGAATACACCAATGGAGATGTATACGATGGCGAGTGGTGTCGAGGGTTTCAAGAAGGGAACGGTAAGTACCAATGGAAAGACGGAAGCTTTTATATTGGAGAATGGAAAAATGGAAGCATGTGTGGTGAGGGTAAGCTGGTTTGGCCTAATGGGAACACATATGAAGGGCAATGGGAAGATGGTCTACCCAAAGGATATGGTGAGTTTAAATGGGCTGATGGATGTTGTTATGTTGGTAATTGGAGTAAAGATCCAGGAGAACAAAACCTGACATTTCATTCATCCGCGGATGATGATGGGAAAAGAGATCCACAGCAAGTTTTTCATGTTTATCTTCAAGACTGTGTAATTTGTCCTCCCGATAAGGTTCCCATCTTACCGTCTCAGAAGAAACTAGCACTTTGGCGATCTTCCAAAGATCACGAACCAACGGTGCGGCCACGCAGGATGTCGGTTGATGGGAGATTGGATGCTAGTGTTGATAAGGAACTTAGTAGAATGAGGATGTTGGAGGATTCAGAAAGGAATATCAAGGCTAGAGATGATGCATCATTGTTATCATCCAGTAATAGTAATAGTAATACATTAACTGAAGGAAGTCCAATTCGGATTCCGAAAGTGGTCAAGCAACAAGGCCAGACCATCTCTAAAGGGCATAAGAATTATGAACTCATGCTCAATTTGCAACTTGGAATCAGGTTATATGCAACTCTAATTCAAATCTTGCTGCTTTAGATTGTTGTCATGAGTTAAGTTACAACACAAATAATCCAGTTATATATGTATCTGTGTAGGCATTCTGTAGGAAGACCAGGGCCAATGCCCTCCTTAGACTTGAAGGCTTCAGCTTTTAATCCAAAAGAGAAAGTGTGGACAAGATTCCCACCAGAGGGATCTAAATACACCCCTCCACACCAATCTTGTGAGTTCAGATGGAAGGATTATTGCCCCTTAGTTTTCAGGTATATCACATTTTTCATTCAGCTTTATCTATGAAAACTAGAAATATATATATATATATATATATATATATATCATGATTTCATAATTAAGCCTGTATGTATGTATGTATGTATATGTAGGACATTAAGGATGTTGTTCAAGGTGGATGCAGCTGATTACATGCTATCAATATGTGGGAACGACGCCCTTCGAGAGCTCTCTTCGCCTGGAAAGAGCGGAAGCTTCTTTTACCTCACGCACGATGATCGTTACATGATCAAAACCATCAAAAAGGCTGAAGTCAAGGTGAGATTCGAGTCACATTTGCATAAATTTGTTAAGACGTCTTATGAAGCTGATTTTGTTGTATTGTTTGCATGTATATATAATTGGATTTGTGGGGCGGGTCCATTAATTATATGTGTTTGAATTGATGTTAACAGGCTATATTAAGGATGCTGTCTGCATACTACAACCATTTTCGTGTGTTTGAGAATACCCTACTCACCAAATTCTTCGGACTACATTGTGTGAAGCTAACTGGCCCTGCACAAAAGAAGGTTTGATCCGGTTGTAATGCATCCGCGGATGAAAGGAGTTCCTTTTTTGTTATTGATGAATTTGATTGATATAGGTACGTTTTATCATCATGGGGAACCTTTTCTGCACCGATTACCTCATTCACAGACGATTCGATTTGAAAGGATCGTCCCTTGGCCGCCTCACGGATAAACCCGAGTCCGAAATCCAAACCACCACCATACTTAAAGACCTCGATCTTAACTTCATGTTTCGACTGCACAAGACTTGGATCCAAGAATTCAGACGGTAAGACTTGAGATTCAGAAAGATTTGTTCCTTCCGCTACAATAAAATCGGTTTTACATGTACATATGTCTTAATAGACTGTTTTATAGAACTTAAGTTTATACGACCAAACAATTGTGCGTCCTATGTAAGTTAATAGGACATTTTAGGCATATTTAGCATCTTATAAACATCCTGTAACGTAACACATAGGATGCACTATTGTTTGTTCTAAAAAACTTGTTTGGTTACTCTTTTAGGACATTTAGACGTATTTGACATCCTATAAAGTAGTCTATTAGGACATATTTGACATCATATAAAGTAGTTTGTTAGAACATTTGGTCGTATTTGACGCCCTATAAAGCCGATTTTGTTGTAGGGTTTTTTATTTATTCATAATGAATGTTGCTAAATAATTCTTTTGTAAATGATGATCAGGCAAATCGATAGGGATTGTGATTTTCTGGAGCAAGAGAGAATCATGGATTACAGCCTCTTGGTCGGCCTTCACTTCAAAGACACGAATGACTTCATCTCCACCGGTACTTACATCAATTAGTTGCTAATCACACTTCTTTTCCTAAATCTTCACATGTGAATCAAAACCTCCATCTTGAAAACACTCTTTTTTCGCAGACAACGGTGGCCCAATTGATTATGCTTCAGACCCCGGAGGGTAACTTAACGAAAACCGCTGGCTTTGATTTTATGTGATGGTTTAGGGTTCGATCGATCGAGATTTGTGTATGATTTGCAGGTCGACTTTGGGAATCAACATGCACGCACGAGTCGAAAGGATGGAACGGAAGAACGAAATGGAGCTAATCGGGGAACCAACGGGCGTGTGTTATGATGTCATGATGTTTTTCGGCATCATCGACATACTTCAAGACTACGATATCACCAAGAAACTCGAGCACGCGTATAAGTCGTTCCAATACGACCCCACGTCCATATCCGCGGTCGATCCTCGACAATATTCTAAACGTTTCCGTGATTTCATACTCAAAATTTTCATAGAAGATGCATAAGAAAATGTGATTTTGATGGGTTTTTGGTGTTTCCAGAATTGTATCAAATGTTGCTTTTTGTTCATAATTGTATTCATGTTTTAAAAAATGCAATATTTAATTGTTAGGCTTAAAAAGTTGAAAAAAAACAAAAAGGGCCCAACCGGGTTCGAACCGGTGACCTATTGATCTGCAGTCAATTGCTCTACCACTGAGCTATGGACCCATTTGTGTTAACATCGAGTTTATATATTCTTTTACCTATATGTTTTTTAAAATATATTAATATATTTTTTGGAGGTTATTATGTATTTCTAACTTGTCCCCTCATTTAGGGGTGCTCATGGGTTGGGTTGATCGGATTGAAGATATTTGATCAACCCAACCTAATGCTTGCAGTTTGAAAAATCTTAGCCCAACCCAACCCAAACGAAAGTGCAACCCAAATCGTACGGGTTGGTCGGGTTAGTTGAGTTGGTCGGGTTGACACTTTGGTACATTAAGATATTCTTCTAATCTTGAATATGTTATATCTCTACTCATTATTTATTTTTCATCATCAACCATTTGTTACAACTTATCCATACTTCTCACGTATATCACATTCAGTTAATTTTATCAATTTACGTATATATGTTTAAAATTACTGAACATATATGTGAATGAGTTATATAGATATGTGAATAGATTGAAAAGATGTGTATATGAAGAGCGTACGTGATAGTATTGTTGTCTAATGCATATATTAATAGAAATTCAACAATCATATTAAATTCAAGAAATAAAAGGATATCGGGTTCATCGGGTTGGGTTGGGTTGGGTTTAAATAATAGTAACTCAATATCAACCCAATACCTAAGGTTTGAAAATTTTACAACTCGATTAGACAGCGGGTTGCTTCGGATTGAGTTATTTTGCGTTGGATTGGGTTGGGTTTATCGGGTTGGTCGGGTTTTTGAGCACTCCTACTTTCATTGTATTTTTTGAGTTTTATTATTAGTGTTGTATTTTAATTGAATATATTATTGTGTTTTATATTATTTAAAATATATTTAATTTTTAAAACAAGTCGAATATATAACCATTCAGTTAACCAAAGCTTAATCTTGAATTTGATACGATATCTAATAAATAAAAACTATTTAAATTTAAGGAAATATTTGCTTTTTTAGTTTTACCTCTTAACGACCACTTATCACTTATCACTTATTCGATGAGATGTTCTCAAATTAAAACCTTTTTGTTTTGTTTATTTGTTCAAACCCTTTTGTCTGTTAGGGTACGTTTGATGTCCAGACATGATAAGATAGGACATGACAAGACAAGACAAGATATAATAGAACAATTGTTCAACGTTTGGTAAGATACATATTTTCATTATGTTAAGGCTTGATTCTTACATACTTCCATTCATGTAAGGCTTGATTGATATATACTTCCGTATTCTGTTAAGCTAATGAATCTGTGTTTTCTTTTTGGTTTACTTGATTTATAGGTTTTGATTTCTGCTCAAAAGGACAGATTTTTGCATCAGTTTTGATTCACCATAAAAGTTTATTTATAATTTTATTTATGTTTTTAACAGGTTCATCAAAAAACTATACTTTGTATACATTCTACTTACGATAAAGGCATTGAAAAGGAAAAGAGATAATACGTCTACAATAACTGGACGCCAATTTACAGATGAGTTATTTGAAGGTAATGTTGATAATGTATTGACTTGTTAAGAATGTCCGTGCTACTTTTGTTCGACTATGTGATCACTTCAAAGAAAAAGGTTGGTTAACGAATAACTAACATATATTGGTCAAAGAAAAAATGGTTATCTTCCTGATGATTATAGGTCACAAGTTCCAACACAAAACGCAAACAATTCATACAAGTTTCATGAAGTGTTGGATAAAATGATTGAGTTTGCTAAAGAGATCATAGTTCTTGTATCATTCAATCCTAATCCAGACATCTCAGGAATAATAGGAGGTTACGACGAATATTTAAGGTAAATAATAATAATTGTATAAATTTTCTTGCTAAAATTATTTTGATTACTAGGTTTAATGTAAGGAGTAATTGGCGTCCTTGATGGAACTTTGATACATGTTATCGTCCCTATTCAAGAACTACATTTTTATATAAGATGAGGAAAGGGTGAATATTATCAAAATGTTTGGCAATTTGTGACTTCAACATGATTTTTACATTTTTTGTTGCCAGGTGGGTAGGGGTTACACATGATTTGAGAGTTTTGTCTGAAGTTTTAACAGATGATGCTATTGGATTTTCATTTCCTCCTTCAGGTATACTAACGATTTAGCAGAAATATATTTACTATATTCATATTAATAACTATTTTCTTTATTGTTTTCAAATAAATATTATCTATGTGATGTTGCGTATATGAATACTCGAGGATTTATGGCACCATATCATGATGTTATATATTAGCTTGGAGATTTTCGCCGTAGACGTGCAATGAACAAGTATAAAAGGTTCAATCATTCTCATGCAAAATTTAGAAATGTTATTGAATGTACTTATGTTGTCATGAAAGCAAGTTTTCCAATATTAAAAAGAATGACACCGTTTTCACTTGAGGTTCAAAGAGATGTTATTGCATGTTTTGCGGTTCATAACTTCATACGAAACGAAGATTTAAGTGATGGGTTATTTTCTGTATATGATCAAACCAATGAGCAAGGAGACGATAACAAAGATGAGGTTGAAGAGGGTCAATCACATGGGAGTACCACTGACGGAACATATATGACTAGTTTAAGAGAAGAAATTGCAACACAATTAATGTAGAATGAAAATTGATTTTAGTTGTTATGAGACTTTGTTCATGTTTTCTATTATGTTCGAAACAATTGATGTATTCAGTAGTCACTATACTTAATTTGATTTCTTTTGTTGGCTAATTGTGAGTATATGTTGATTCTCAAGCTTTCAATTGTTTTATTGATTTCTTTTATTGTTGTTTATATTCATTAACCACTTAAAACTTGTTTTTCTATAATTAATCATTATGTATAACTGTTTAACAGATATTTCCGTTGATGGCAGATTACAAATTAAAAGTTTGGAATACAGTTATCAAATTCGAGATGACATTCCCATCCCTACGTACAAGATCTCTATTTTGTACCTACTAGAAGGGAACTCGCGCAATAGATACATCTAGATTTTAATATTTTGTTTTATTCTTTGTCCCTGTCCATGAGATAATATGGTTGGTTTTAAGAAACGATAATGTTTTATATTTGAATAAAATATAAATTTGAAGATCTCATAAAATTTGAAAAAAAAATATAGATATTATTATCAAATTAACTATTTACAAGTTCTCTACTTTTCAATTTTTATATTTCAATTATTAAAAAAGGAAAAACAAATCTCTAACTCAAGTATTGAACTCAATGCCTTAGCTATAAAATATCAATGATTTCCCAAATTCAAATCCAAGGAGGAATAAAAATTCCCTTGTGACCATAGAGGTTCAAATGCGATGACTCCGGGCTATCTGCAAAACAGGTGGTCGTCCTAGGATTAGTCGACTCACATAACGGGTTGGATATCCAGGTTAATAAAATAAATAAATAAATAAATAACAATGACTTACCAATCAACTACTACTATTTTTGATTTGTAATTGTCCACATCTTACTTTTATTTATTTATTTCTGAATCTTTATTCTTCCGGTTTATCCATTATTCTTTAAGTTATTTTTGTCTCATATCAATAACGACACATGTTTATCTGCAATAAATTGGAAAAAAAAGTAATTAATCACATTTAACAATCAATACTTTGTACGAGTTTTTATTTCTAAAAGTCTTGATAATACTTGAAAATCAATTATTATTGATCTGGATATGATATAATTAAACATGTTTATATAAGAAATTGATAAAATTATATATTGTTGTTGCATCTTATCACGAATCAATCAAAGACCAGAAAAGTCCGCAAAGGTGGAATTTGGCCCGAACACATGTCAAACGTAAAATGGGTCTTGCGTTTTGCTTAAAAGTCAAGGTTGATTTAATTTGTAAAAATGTATTGTATGAAATCAACACAATTGAATTTTTTCCGGGTCAAACGTTGTTGACTTTTTTTTAGGTTAAAACGTGACTTTACAAACCTTTGTTCAACCTTAAAGGTACGTCTGCTCATAAAAATTTCTGGAACCACCTTATAACATGAGAAAAACATAACCATTAGATAATGTTTTTTTTTACTAATAAATATCATAACAAATTGTTCAAGCATACAATAATAAATTATTAGTTTATTCAATTTAGGTTTGATAGAATAATCTTAAACAACATCTTCAATAAATTTTTTATAATTATAAACAAAATGTTAAAATGTTTAAAAGAAATTATATTTAATTTCAACAAATTCTTAACTTTAGAGATTTCAATATTAATTATACTAGAAGGGTACTAAAAAAAACGATACATCTCGATTTCAACAATGCAGCAAGATGCATCTCGATTTCAATGTTTTGTTTTATTCTGTCTTCATCGATGTTATAATACGATTTTATGTGGTACCGAAAAAATGATAATGTTTTTATTTTTTGAATAAAATATAAATTTGAAGGTATCATAAAATTTGAAAAAAGATATTAGTATCAAATTAACTATTTAAAAGTTTTTGTTTTTTTTTTAACTTTTTTAATTCAATTTTTTTTAATTATAATTTAATTTAGTTTAATAATAAAATAATTTATTTTTAATTTAATACTATATTTTTTTATAAAATAGTAATTAAATATTATGTCATTATCTTAATCATATTTTAAAATTTTTATATTTAAAAATAAAATATTTATCATGTATTTAATTATGTTTATCTGCAATTTGTTACACAAATTTAGATTTAAAGCCTTAATAAGTTATAATTACGCATAATTTATTTGTAATCTTAAGTTTTAAGTAATATGTATCAATATATAGTATTTAATACATAAAAAATAGTTTTTAAAAGTTTTTATCAAATGTTTTATAATATAGTATAGATTATTAAAAAAATTATTATCTTAATTATTTATTAAAATATTCTATAAAAAAATCAAAAATTTCCCCTTAAAAAATTTTCACAGAATTTTTAAATTGAAGTTTTATTTGATTTCTCTATTTTCATAGAACAATAAAAATAAAAATAAAATAAAATAAAATCCTAATCTTGAATAAAGGAAACAAAGTATGATATGTTTGATTGAGCAAAACAAAAGGCAAGAGCTTATCTTGCAATCTGGCTTCTTCAGGAAACGTATCGAAGTAGGGATCAGGCGACGTATTCGATCGATTGCGCTTTATAAGTTCAGAGAATCTCAGCACCATTCTAGTTCTAGGGTTTTGTTTCTAATCCATGGACAAGATCAGGAGACCATCCCACGCAGGTTCATGGTACACTGATGATCGTAAGTCTCATCTAACCTCTTATTGCAATTCCATTACTCATTTATGATCATCGCCTTTATCTATCTTGTTCGATTCGATGGATGATGAAGTTTTCAATGATTTAAAGCTGTAGTTGCTGCAATTTTTTTAATCAATTTGTCAGTCTTATGATGAAAGATGCAATGAGAGTGTGAGAAATTGATCCAACTCCAGCTATTCAAAGATTCTTCCTTTTCTTGTTTATATGCCACTTCTTTTTGAGGAATTAGAGTGCTTTGCTTAAGAATAATTCAAGAACTGGTTTAGTGTTTGCTGGTTTCTTTCTCATCCTTCCTCAGGTCAAATATGAAGTGTTTTGGAAACTAATGCTTAAACACTTGGTGCGATTTTGATAGTGGTTTCTGTTTGATATATATATATACACACACACACACACACATATAATAGGGTTGGGTTCTGGTGAGGAAGGGATCTCACCCATGGATCAATCCTAATTGAAGATCATCACTACTGTGGTGCACCAAGATGCATAGTATCAATTCCCTTGATAAGCACAATCCATGGAGTGGGGTGAGATTAAAAGTAATCATGAGTCCATATCTCTTCTCAAGTATCTCACCTTTTAACTTCTATTCGCACACAATCCTTTGTCTATACATATCACTTAACACTTGGTGCGATTTCGTAATGTTCTAAAAGGTGGTTTATGTTTGATATTTATATATATATATATATATATATGTACATACATATAGAGGCAGATTCAAACGAGAACTGTGGCCAAATAAGAGAACATGAGAACTGCTAAATGTGAAAGCTGAGATTCATGCCACTTTGGCAGCAAACTGATGTTGCTGGTTGTGTTGACCGTGTTCTCTCTCTCTCTCTCTCTCTCTCTATATATATATATATATATATATCATATATCATATATTTATGTTAAGATTGTGTAAACATAAGAAGGTTAAAAACCGTGTACTATATTATTTTGATACAAATACCCATTGAGCACATAAGAGGTGACACCAGTAGAGGAAAGGTGAATGTGACTTTTACATGTTCAAGTTAGATTAGGAGAGACTTGTGGGAACAATAAGTCATAGAGTTGACCAAGATTGATATGGAGAAGTAATGAAGAGACATTTACGGTGCGTTTCATACATGGACCCGACCGGACTGGATGGACAAGAGTGAGGCAGGCAGGTGAAAAAATGCCGCTGATTTTTGCTCTATCTATTTTGGTGGGAAAAGAATGCATTTTTTCCTATGTCACCAAACATGTGACAAGTATTCTTGTTCTGTCTTGTCCCACGTACCAAATGCACCCTTAAGGACTCCTAATGCTAAGCAATGCTTTACATTTGGTGTCAAAACTTACATAGTATTATTTTGAGCATATACCTAATAAAATGGTGTTATTGAACGAAGAAACTATTGGCTATACACTAATATGATGTAGTTTTCATCAAGTTTGTGCTAAATAAGATATTTTTGTTACTTTGTTCTTCTGTTCTTTCGACACTTGTCTAAAAGGGCTAATTTGACCACAATCCCAATTTTTACCAATTATTCACACATGAATAATTTATTCCTACATTCTTAAGGTTTTGTTGTTTCTTATTTGTTCCCCCTGTGTATATATACACCAAACACACACACACTAGAAGTGTACACGTGCAATGCAGTATGATCCTGTTCCAATCTGAAGTCACATTTTATTCCCTTATTTTGGTTCATCAGCTCAAAAGTTGGAGGAAGAACTTGAAGGATGGCTCGTGGAATGTGGTTTGACTAAGTCTCCGGATGTACGAGGTGTAATTGCTCCGTAAGTGAATGTACACTTTCAATCTTGCCCGTCGTTCCTAATAAGTTTCTAATCAACTTATCATCTTGTGGTGGTATTGAACCCAACCCACTAGACATGCAGGTTATTCTTATTCTGGCCGTGCAGCGGCCTTTGCATTTGGAAACATCGACCCAACCAACATGTAAGTTTTCCCCCCAAAAAGTATACATTTATGCAACACATCCATATTTAGGTCTTCATAGAAGCAACCTCTCTACTCGGGTAGAGGTGAGGTCTACGTGAATCCTACTCTCCCTGAACCCCACACTGTGGGATTCGCAGGGAACGTCTGGTTTGGTTACATACATATAGAGTCAGGTTCCATTAGGAAACTAAAGTTAATTAGGGACCCGGGAACCGCCCATGGTGCAACATGTGACATATTCATCAGGATTATGGACGTGTTATTTATCATGAATATTGTAGCACATTCATCAGGAATGTGTTATTCATGATGAATAATACTTTCATATTCATCATGAATGCATTATTCACGACGAATATTCATCCCGAGTAGAGACATGTGGCACGTTGTGGGCGGTTCCCGGGTTCCCAATCAATTTTGGGTTTCTAATGGAACTTCCCTCCATATATATGAACTTATTCATTCATTTTGTTTCATCATCTTCGTTTAATGACATATTTGTTTCTAATTCTGAGGACGTTTACTTATTTCAGTACTAGGATATTTCTTCTTGGTCCATCTCATCATCATTACACCCCTAAATGTGCTCTTTCAAGAGCAACGGTTTACAGGACACCAATAGGCGACCTTCCTATAGATCTCGAAGGTATTGTTGCGTCATCTTCATTTACATACTTCTATTGATAGTTTCTTGAGGTCGCCCGTTAGATTTTGTTCAATTTAAAATTTTATATTATTTGTTAATAATAGTCATAGAAGAGCTAAAAGCCACCGGAAAGTTTGACATGATGGATCTTCAAGTTGACGAGGCTGAACATAGCATGGAAATGCACTTACCATATCTCGCCAAAGTATTTCGTGGGTGAGTCGAATTTGCACCTCTTTCTTTCACACACTTTTCACGAGCCATGGTTCTTCACAGAAGCAACTGCTCTACTATTCATATACTGGGTTTGCTTGGTCTGGTTTGATTTTATTCGAGTTTTCACTTTTACAGGTATACAGTAAAAGTTGTTCCTATTTTGGTGGGGGCTGTAACCGCTGAAAATGAAGCGATGTATGGACGGTTGCTCGCCAAATATATCGACGACCCCACAAATTTTTTTTCAGTGTCCTCCGATTTTTGTCACTGGGGTTCTCGGTATGTTTCACTTGTTAATTAAGTTCTTTTTCAGCAATTTTTATCCTTTTTTTGCTAACTTTGCACAACTCCTCATGGAAAATCACTCTACTCTTCAGGGGTAGAGGTCAAGTTTGCGTAATCTCCCAAACCCCACTTCCGGGTGGGATATACCGGTTTGGTTTGGTTCTGTTTTTAGTTCATGTCCGGCACATAACTCGTTTATCGTTTATAGGTTTAACTACATGCACTACGACAAAAAACATGGAGCGATCCATAAATCTATTGAGGTTTTGGACAAGATGGGAATGGAGATTATAGAGACCGGAGATCCAGATGAATTTAAAAAGTACTTGTCGGAGACCGACAATACCATTTGTGGACGCCATCCCATCAGCGTATTTCTACATGTAAGTAAACATCATTCCCTTCCATTTCCGATTACGCCTACTAACGTCACCTAATTTGAAAACCCAAAGTCCATTTTCAAACAGTCATGAAGAGTGTATTTTTAACTTTTGACATAGGCCATATTTGGCGACTATAAGTTAGCTTATTTAAAAAGCCCCTTTCCGTGAGCAATAAACTAGCTTAAAAGCTAATTTTTTGCAATCTAGCTTATCAACCAACAACTAGCTTATCTTATCAGCCAATTTGCCGAACATAGGCTTATAGATGAATGCTTGAGGTCACTTGGTAGTGTAACCTATTCTCTTTGTCTAATAAATTTATGGAATTATGAGCAGATGTCAAGGAACTGCTCAACGAAGATAAAAATAAAATTTCTTCGATACGAGCAGTCGAGTCGATGCAAAAGCATGAGAGACAGCAGTGTGAGCTATGCTTCAGCGGCGGCAAAGTTGGATCGCTGAGTCCAGCCCTGGGTTTATAACACTTGTATGTTCTAACCTTATTTTCAAATCCGTCTCTTCCATTTGTTTACCGTCAATAAGATTACATCTCCGATTCCGTGTGATGGGAGCCACCATTAGCTCCCAATAACCACCACCACCACCACCACCTGCCGCCATCGTAATCTTCCATCTTCAAGTTTGTGTTTTTATTTATGTACAAATAATAACTTTTCCATGTTTATTAGTCGATCTTCCTGTCATTTGTTGATCTCTGGAAACACCGGTGGTCGTATAAAAAGATCGGTCTTTTGCAAGTTTATGTCTTGATAATTTAAAAAAAACAGAGTATAAGATTCACATTGTGTTATCGAATTCGGGAAGAAAAGAATCGAAAGAAAACGAATTTTCATGTTATTGAGTCGGAGATAAATTGGAGAGAATGGAAAGAAAATATGTTAATTTTACAAATTTACCCTTTATATGTTTTTAAAGTAAAATACATTTTGGTCCCTGTGTTTTTTCTCCAATGGTGTTCGTCCCTTTAGTTTGACCATCGTGTTTGTACAAATGCTATAATGATAGAAGACAACAATAATTAATAAAATAAATAGCAAAAAAAAAATTAAAACAATTGAAAAAAAAAAAATTCAAACTAATTTTTGTGAAGGGTATTTTTGTCATAAAATATTATCGACTTCTCTCGGATCTTATTTCTTTCCTTTTCTTTTCTTTTCTTTCCATCCTAAAAAAGTTCGACTTTTTTTTTATCCTGCTTTTGCTTTTCCTTGAAAGAGTTTCGAAAACACAATGTCAGCGTACTATGATACAACAAACTAATTTCTCGCATGAAATGAATTTCTTCGATAACAACGAACTTAAACCGTTACAGATATCGACATAAAGATACATTTTGTTATGATTTTTGGATCATAACTTGTTAAGTTTGGCGAGAAGGAATACAGAGGCGGATGTAACAGCTGGAATGAAAATGTCGTTGGGAACGGCATTCGGGGCTGCCCGTTGCTTGATAAACGTTGTTACGACCGGGATTCCGAAGATGAAGAGGAATATGTCTTTGATTCCTTGCCCGGTAACTCCGGAATCAAGGATTATGTCCTGCAAAATCCTCTTAAACTCTTCCTTGCTCAATGACTTCTCTTTTCCTTTGTGGTGATTCTGCAATTCATTCCCATGATTCCATTCCATACATTTCATCAAGCTTTCAATCACATTTATTTGCCCAAAATAACATATATGGATTGGATTCTTGTAATCCATTAGAACCAGTGTTTAATAACCAGACCCGACTGTTTTAGACCCGTTAAATCACCACAACAAAATCGATTTTATATATGACGTCGGATATGTATAAATGTCTTAATAAACTACTTTATAAAATGTGTTATAGTTGGATGTTAAGATATATTTGGTATCCTAACAAGTTTTTCTAGGCATTTTTAAAATAAAGTATTCTATTAGTTTCTATTTGTATTATAATGTCATAAAAAAAAATACTAATATGACATTTTATTTTTTATATAATTCACAATTATTTTGATCCTATAAACTTAAGTCTTATTAAACAGTCTATCAAAACATTTAGATATAATACAACTTCGTCGTTTTGTCCTAGGGAGTCTTAATAAGAATTGACCCATTTTCGGGCATGGAAATGAAAATAAGGATTTTGGGAAATAGAAATTGGAATGACTTTCATTACCCTCAAATGGTTAATTTGCCTTGCATATGGCAATGACGCATTTCATTGTATCAACTCAGACATCAGTAATGATTTCTATTTTCATTTTCAGATATTACCGGTGGCCAAACACCTTGGTTTGTAAAAAAACGAGTCAGGTTGATTCGAAGACCGATATTTAGAATCACCCATTTAAAACCGATATCTTATAGATTCGATTGCTTAAATATGACCCCAAGAAAAAGATTATGAAAACTTACATGGTATGCTTGTTCAAGGGTAGAAGTCTTTGGTACACGAAATTGGGTGCAACCAATCAATTTGTTCATTTCTCTGAAACCACACACAAAATTTCTTCTATTTATTTTGAATTTAATTTATCAAAAACCCTGTAAATTAAAGAAGATGAAACATACTCAACCGTCTCACAGACTGCATGATAAAATTCTGCCGAGTTCCATTTCTTGTTAGGGTCCGCGAAATATTGATCGTAGCATTTCTCAATGATAGGTTCCAGATCCTTATTTTCCTCTTTTCCTGTTCGTCCGAAAAATCCATCAAGAAAAAAACGTAAATCATGTTCTACATAAACACTACAGAATACTCATTAAACTTGTGGCTAATTTCGACGAATTTGTATGATGAAAAATAGTAGAAACCATCCATTTAATGGGAATAACGTGCTAAAACCAACACGTTGACCATTGGTTTTTGCCAGGAATCGTACACAACCGGATGATAACAACCCGTTGATTTCAGCATTTTTCGTCGATCAATATTTGTAACGAAACTTCAAAGTAAATATATGAGAAAGAGAATTATACCAAAAGTTTGTCCCATATTTTTGGGGTTGTTGCAAATGTGTAACGATGTTTGAATGACTTCGTTCTTGAGTATTATATACGAACAACATTAGATTTTATGAATGATTCTTGTGAAGGAGGAAGGGTATATTTGCATTTGTAACCTTTGTGGTCAAGAAAAGAATACTAAGGTTTGGCCCATGTTCATTTTAGATGTATTATAGGAAAAATTGTATAAAAGGAAACGTATTTATATAAAAAAATATACTTTAAAAGTCATATTTAAAGATTTATTGTTCGAAAGTTGATGTGACACTGATGAAATTTAATTTATTTGTGAAGTACGTTGTTTTTTTGTAAGGGTGTTCGGGCCAAAGCCCGACTAATCCCCGGCAAATTTGGAGGCTAAACATGGCCTCACTTAAATGTCGCCAACACTCCCCTCCCAGGGCTCGAACTCGGGTTCATGACTATGTCATGCCCAAGCCTTTACCACTAGGCTGGAAGGTCTTTGACGTGAAGTACGTCGTTATAGTAGACATTTTTAAATTATGGATCTTTAAACGCGGTTTATAAAAAAAATGTTTTGTTAAAACAAAAAATGAAAATATGTTATTTTTGTGTACAGTTTGTCATGAGCATTAACCCCTTTAATGAAGTTAGATAAATAATGAGACTTTGTAATTTGATGGGGTTGGATTTCGGTGAGAATGAAAGTTATGGTGAGAAATGTAAGAATAGATCTCCATCTTAGATCAATTCTAATTGAATGTCAATATTTATAAGGTGCATCGAAATGCACCGGATCAATTCAAATTCAAAGCGTAGTTTATGGTTAAACATGAGATTAAAAATGATCAATAGTTCAAATCTCTTCTTACGCTTCTCACATGATCCTTCACCTGTTTGATTTGAGTTTACATATACTATATTAGAATACATGGGTTTGGTTCCGGTAAAAATGAAAGTTATGGTGAGAATGATAAGAAATGATCTCAACCTTGTATCAATCCTAATTGAAGAGAACAATTAGATCAGTACTAATGGGATAAACTAAACCAATTGTCTTCTGAAGTGTAATTCATTGGTTGTTTTGGGATTAAAATTGATCAAAGGTCCAAATCATTTCTTACACTTATCATCTTTAACTTCTATTCTCACACGATCCTTCGTCTAAAACATTTGGAAGAACTCTTAAAAATGTCTTACTAAACATTATGTACAGATTGTTAATCCATAAATTCTTAAAAGTTCAAGTTTACAAAGTATTATTGTTTAGGTCAACTTTTTATAGCTTCATGTCTGAATTCCATAGAATCAACCCATAAACAAGTTCATATACAGAACAAACGTTGAGCTTTATGAATACAACAACGTACATCACAAATTTTGTATTGTATTTTCTGATGAGTTATATTAATTAATTTTCTATTTTTGATTTACCATGAAATCTTATATCTTAGTGTATCTCACACACGCACATGCGTGCGCGCACACACACACATGAGCTAATCCTTAACCTTAGCAACCAGACCAACAATCACAACGGAGCGAATCAAATGTGCAAAATATGTGGAAAGTCGATGGATTCAAAGCACTAGTCATACGAGTGTCTCATTTGCGCAAACTACAAAGTTCACACATTATGTGCAACGACCGAGATGAAAATGGGTCTGTACCAAATAGATGATGGGTCAGATGGTAGTGACCATGTTACACCAATGGTTCAACAGGGTGCACCAATGGCTCAACGGGCTCCAAGTGATGGTCAGGTGCAGGTGGAACTAACACCAGAGGAAGCTCTTGCACTTCTTCATATAATGGGACTCTCAAATGCAAATGCTACTTCTTATGTTTAATCAGTTTTCTACAACATAACTCATAACAAGTTTCTAGAACAAATGATTGTGGATTCAACCCTCAGGGATGTATCGAAGGCGTTTTCGCAAAAAAGATGCTACAAGTTCACCTTGTAACTCCGTTCGTATTTTTTTGTACGGATGTGCAAAAAGTGATCTGATCTAATTAAAACTGACTGATCAGAATTGAGATGCCCAATTGTAAATTTGATCAGATCCAAAAATTAAATATCAAAATTAAAATTTTATTTGATATTTTGAATTTAGTATTCCAAGTTGTTTTTTCTCTCATGATTTGTGTTATAAATCATGTTGGTCCATCAATTTATATGAATATCTATTTATTCATTGTATTTTCCATGTTTATTAGTCGATCTTCCTGTCATTTGTTGATCTCTGGAAACACCGGTGGTCGGTGGCATCGATTAATGGCTAAAAGTTAACGTATGGTCAAAAGAGGGATTGAATCCAAGCGTTTTCCAAACCACGATGTCAAGATTGTAGTTTCCAAACAAACGAAAACTGTTAAAATAAATAACCAAAGGGACCGAAATTGTTTTTTGTGAAGGGTATTTTTGTCATAAAATATTATTGACTTCTCTCGGATCTTAATCCTTTCCTCTCTTTTTCTTTCCATCCTAAAAAGGTTCGACTTTTTTTTTTATCCTGCTTTTGCTTTTCCTTGAAAGAGTTTCGAGAACACAATGACAGCGTACTATGATACAACAAACTAATTTCTCGCATGAAATGAATTTCTTCGATAACAACGAACTTAGACCGATATAGATATCAACATAAAGATACATTTTGTTGTGAGTTTTGGATCATAACTTGTTAAGTTTGGTGAGAAGGAATACAGTGGCGGATGTAACAGCTGGAATGAAAATGTTGCTGGGAACGACATTCGGCGCTGCCCGTTGCTTGATAAACGTTGATACGATAGGGATTCCGAAGATGAAAGGGAATATGTCTTTGATTGCTTTTCCGGTAACTCCGGAATCAAGGATTATGTCCTGCAAGATCCTCATAAACTCTTCCTTGCTCAATGACTTCTCTTTCCCTTCATGGTGATTCTGCAATTCATTCCCATGATTCCATTCCATACATTTCATCAAGCTTTCAATCACATTTATTTGCCCAAAATAACATATCTTGATTGGACTCTTGTAATCCTCTAGAACCGGTGATTAATAACCAGACCCGACTGTTTTAAACTCGTTAAATCACCACAACAAAATCGATTTTATATATGACGTCAGAGATGTATAAGTGTCTTAATAGACTGCTTTATTAAAAAATTAGTTTATAAAAGGTGTTACAATTAAATGTTAAGATGTATTTTGGTATCCTAACAAGTTTTTCTGAACATTCTTAAAATAAAGTATTCTATTAGTTTCTTTTTATATTATAATGTCATAAAAAATACTAATATGGCATTTTATTTTTTATATAAATCATAATTATTTTGATTCTATAAACGTAAGTCTTATTAAGCGGTCTATTAAGACATTAGATATGATATAACGCCCTAACAGATTTTGTCCTAGTACGCCTTAAGAAGGATTGGCCCACTTTAAGGCAAGGAAATGAAAATAAGGATATATGGCAATGACTTTCATTGTATCAAATTAGACATCAGTAAAGATTTCTATTTTCATTTACAGGTATTATCGGTGGCCAAACACCTTTTTGGTTTGTAAAAAAAAGGAGCCTCGTTGATTAGAAAACCGATATTCAGAATCACCCATTTAAAACCGATATCATATAGATTCTACTGCTTAATTATTAGACATGGGAATGGGGCGGGGACCTCAATCCCCGTTCCCGTTCCCGTTCCCGACTACTTATCTCTATCCCTGTCCTTGTCTCCATCCCCGTCGGGGAATAAAATCACATCCCCATCCCAACCGGGAACGGGGATCCCCAACGGGGAAAGGGGAATTTTTTTTTCGCGTTTATATAAGTTATTTTAAATTAAATATGTGAGAAACCATACATGTTTAAATTTCAAACATTTTCAATAAACCTAAAACCAAAATGATATTAATTTAATACAAAAAAAAACCACAACATCATATAAGAACTATTAACCTAAAACCAAAATGAATTTAATTTAATACAAAAAAACCACAACATCATATAAGAACTATTAACCTAAAACCAAAAAAAAATTCAATTAAATCCAAGAAAACTTAAAGTTTTGTGTACGAAAAGATATTGAATAATATAAAACCATATCGAGTTCGAGTAATATACAAAACTTATCGAGTAATTGTATTTTGACTTGACATCCAAAATATTACATATTAACATACAAAAAAACAATTTAAATTATAAACCTAGTTAGAAAATAAGAAATTATGAACTACCGCTTTGGTTGAAATAAATAATATACATATATATATATATATATATATATATAATTTATTAATTAATATATTTAACAGGTACGTGGCGGGGAGTACCATACCCATCCCCGTCCGCATCCCCGATTAGCGGGGAATCCCCGTCCCCGACCGAGTGGGCGGACCGGGGTCCCCGACAGGTTAGGACCCATTCCCATGCCTATTAATTATGAACCAAAAAAAAAAGACATATCATTGATTTTTATCTATTTTTTGAAGGAAAAAAAGAGAAATGATTATGAAAACTTGCATGGTATGGTTGTTCAAGGGTAGAAGTCTTTGGTACACAAAATTGGGTGCAACCAAGCAATTTGTTCATTTCTCTGAAACCACACACACAAAAATTATTTTATTTATTTTGAATTTAATTTATAAAAAAACCCTGTAAATTAAAGAAGATGAAACATACTCAACCGTCTCACAGACTGCATGATAAAATTCTACCAAGTTCCATTTCTTGTTAGGATCCGCAAAATATTGATCGTAGCATTTCTCAATGATAGGTTCCAGATCCTTATTTTCCTCTTTTCCTGTTCGTCCGAAAAATCCATCAAGAAAAGAACATAGATTATGTTGTACATAAACACTACGAAATACGCATCAATAATGTGGCTAATTTCGACGAATTTGTTTGATGAAAAATAGTAGAAATCATCCATTTAATGGGAATAACGTGCTAAAACCAACACGTTGACCATTGGATTTAGCCAGGAATCGTACACAACCGATGATAACAACCCGTTGATTTCAGCATTTTTCGTCAATCAGTATTTGTAGCGAAACTTCAAAATAAATATATGAGAGAGAATCATACCAACAGTTTGAACCATATTTTTGGGGTTGTTGCAAATGTGTAACAATGTTTGAATGACTTCGTTCTTGAGTATTATATATGAACAACATTAGATTTTATGAATGATTCTTGTGAAGCAGGAAGGGTTTATTTGCATTTGTAACCTTTGTGGTTAAGAAAAGAATACTGAGATTTGGTCCATGTTCGTTTTAGATGTATCATAGGGAAAATTATATAAAAAGAAACGAATTTATATTCTATTTTTATTTAAAAAAATATATTTTAAAAGTCATATTTAAAGTTCTGCTGTTCAAAAGTTGTTTTAATATCCAGTTTATGTGACACTGATGAAATTTAATTTATTTTTGAAGAACATTTTTATAGTAGACATTTTTAAACTATGGATCTTTAAATACGGTTTATAAATTAGAACAGAAAATGAAAATACATTATTTTTGTGTACAGTTTGTCATGAGAATTAACCCCTTTAATTAAGTTGGATAAATAATGAGGGACTGCTTGATTTAGACAGATAAGTGAAAATGAAAATGAAAATAACAGGGAATAAAGACGGAAATGATTTTACATTCACTCCTGTTTAATCTGAAATAAATATTTGGATTTTATAAAACTATTTCTTTTATTTTTAATTCCATAAAATGTTGATTAGACCTAACATGAATAGATTAGGGTTGAATGAAGCAGCCTAGTACCATTTAATGGCTTAGTTAAACATGTAACATGAATCAAGTTGGTTATAAGGGTCAACAACTGCATTTAATGGGACCAATAATGACAACCAACTATGCTCATATTACTTTAAATGAGACTGTCTTAGAAATTCGGGTTTTCGATTGTTTGGATTTTACTGAGAGTCGTGTAACATTTTCATATTGCAGTATTTCGATGGTACAATCTAAATTTCAATCGGATAAAATCAGTGGTTTTCGAACAACGAATCGATTGTTATGAATCTGTGTACCTCTTCCAAATCAAAAAGACCAATTCGAAATTGAATATGCGAAAACTGTCAAAATGACAGTTTTTTTAACCCTATACCGGGTTTAGAAAACCGGGCCAAAACTGGGTTTTAAATTTAAAATTCGGATTTTTGAAACATTTTTCACAAAGCAATATTACCCGAATAAAAAATCTAAACCGGATTTTTGAAGCATTTTTCACAAAGCTCGACCCCAGCCAGGGGCTCTGCCCCTTAGACCCCGCCACCAGGGGCGCTGCCCCCCTGTCGTTTAGGGGTTTCGCCCCTAAATCAAAATAAACTCAAACAAGTGTGCACTCCGCACCTTCCTTACTTGTTCGATATTTATCATGATTACATTGGTCAACAAATTAATCCCATTACACTTAAATGATATTAGTGATACAAATCACCAACACTTTGTAATTTGATGGGATTGGATTTCGGTGAGAATGAAAGTTATAGTAAGAAATGTAAGAATATATCTCCACTCTTAGATCAATTTTAGTTGAATGCCAACATTAATAAGATGCATCGAAATGCATCAGATGAATTCTAATCTAAAGCGCAATTCATGGATGAGATTAAAAGTGATCAAAAATTCAAATTTCTTCTTACGCTTCTCACATGATCCTTCACCTGTTTGATCTGAGTTTATATATACTATATTAGAATACATGGGTTTGGTTCCAGTAAGAATGAAAGTTATGATGAGAATGATAAGAAATGATCTCAACCTTGTATCAATCCTAGTTGAAGAGAACCACTAGATCAATACTAATGGGATAAACTAAATCAATTGCTTTCTAAAGTGTAATTCATTGGTTGTTTTGGGATTAAAAGTGATCAAAGGTCCAAATCCTTTCTTACACTTCTCACCTTAACTTCTATTCTCACACGATCCTTCGTCTAACACATTTGGTAAAACTCTTAAAAATGTCTTACTAAACAATATGTACAAATTATTAATCCATAAATTTTTTTTTTGATTAACCTGGATATCCAACCCGTAATGCAGACCGACTAATCTCAGGGCAACCACATGCTTTACAGATAGCCCGGAGTCACCGCATTTAAACCTCCGTGACCACAAGCGGATTTTTATTCCTCCTTGGATTTGAACCTGGACCTCCTGGTACTTTTGACCTTTGGAGTCAAGCTCAAACCAATAGACACCACCCTTGTGGTTTAATCCATAATTTCTTAGAAGTTCAAGTTTACAAAGTGAATCAACCAACAAACAAATTCATATACAGAACAAACGTTGAGCTTTATGAATACAACAACGTACATCACAAGTTTTGTATTGTATTTTCTAATGAGTTATATTAGTTAATTTTATATTTTTGATTTACCATGAATTCTTATATTTTACGTTATTACATGTATACACAACTAGCTATTATTAATGGATCAAATCACAAAGCTCGGATAGATTAAAAGAGTCTTGGGTGGGCCAAAGATTATTATTTTTATAGTAAATTTTATAATAATATTAGTTATTTATAGCATTTAGTAAAAAAAAACTGTTAGACGGGTCAACTTACCTGACTCGACTCGTTTTTGAGACCCATAAATAATTGTAATCACCCTTTCGGTTATTCATTTGAAGTCAAATGGATGCTTCAAACACACTAAGCTACCATTTTCCGAAAGCTCCATGGAGACCGGTTTTGAGACTAGACCCCTTCTCTCTTAGATAGGGCCTCGTTCCATTTTAGCTCATCTCCAACCGGAAAGCTTTTGCGAATGACGTTTTCCGAGAATACATCCTTCAAAAATGAGATTTGGGTCTAAAGTAAGGTAGAATGTATTCCGTTGTTCCCATTTTTATAGGAACTTCTGTATCAGAAACAATAATTGTGCTCAATTTCATATGTGGCAATTCTGTCAAGATCTCTTCATCCGAATTTATTTATTTTAATAAATTATTCGTTATAAAAGGATTTTTTTAGTGAACGTGTCACATCAAAAGTGATCCAGCATCTTCAAATAAAAAATTCAAAATCTTTAAAAAGAACTTATATTTAATTTTAAAAAATTGTCTATTTTAAAGATTATAACATTAATTATATTATTAAAATATTTTACACATATAGTAAAATATTATTTCACTCTCGTAAACATTTAAGATCAAAGTTTCTTATTGGTTGTAATATAATAAAAATCGTCTTTCTGATGGTAACCATTTTTTGAGAGTTCTCTTAATTTAGATAATTTCACATTCACTCTCGTGCTTTCTCTATTTTAAAAAAACGTCTTGGAGAATTTGTTGAGTAAAAATTTATTCAAAATCTGCCCTGTTCTTCATTTTAGAGAATCTATTATAATTTTTTTTAATTGTATTTAATTCACCGACCCGACCTTTCTAACCTGACCCAATCCAACCCTTTTCGACCCGTATTTGATAACCTAAAAGTCAAAAAAGGAATCCATAGGGGGACTTCATTAACATAATATCTACTTGCCAACAGTTGACTTTGAATTGGTCTTATTCCATATAACAAAACCATATATATATATATATATATATATACATATATATATATATATATATATATAATATTCACAAAAGCAAAGAGATCTAAGAGCAATGGAATACAAACATTTCAGCCATGAACACAATCTGTCCATATACCAGGTGCAGCTTGGCCAACAGTTTCGTTGCTCGGGTTGCGACAAGTTTTGCGACAGAACAATTTATGCTTGTTGGCAGTGCAAATTCTTTCTTCATGAGCACTGTGGGAACGCCACTCGATATATACGACACCCTTTTCACGCCGCCCATCATCTCATTCTTAGCCCGTATCCGACTTACCCCTCCAACTGTTTTTTGTGCAACGCATGTGGTACCACCGGGACTAGGTTTTCGTATTGTTGTGCATTGTGTGAAGTCGATCTCCATGTCAACTGTGCTTTCCTCCCCCCAAAGGTATCATCGCCCTTTCCGTCAGTTACATTTCTTTTGACCATCGTCAAATCCGTTATTTAAATTCAATTAACATGTTTTTCTGTATCATTTTACATTGTTATATAGCTTATGGGATAGCTTTTACCAAACATAACTAATTTATCAGTCAACAGCTACTAAAGCTAGCTTAGTAACCAACAACTTGCTTTTTAACTAATTGGTAGTTGATCTTATATTTTGTCAAAGAGAGTCTAAACTTTGTATATATATTAAGCTATTTGTATGGAGTTAGATAAATTGTCATAATTTTTTTGTGTCGAGCAATGATCTAAATGACAAAAATGACCATTTCATCCTATGGTCAAAATTAAAATAACTGTTTGATGAATGTGTTGAATCTGTTTATGCAAATAGGTAAGCCATAAGGCTCATCCACATGAGCTAATCCTTAACCTTAGCAACCGGACCAGCAATCACAACGGAGCGAATCAAATGTGCAAAATATGTAGAAAGTCGATGGATTCAAAGCACTGGTCATACGAGTGTCTCATTTGCGCAAACTACAAAGTTCACACATTATGTGCAACGACCGAGATGAAAATGGGTCTGTACCAAATGGATGATGGGTCAGATGGCAGTGACCAGGGTGCACCGATGGTTCAACAGGGTGCACCAATGGCTCAGCAGGCTCCTAGTGATGGTCAGGTGCAGGTGGAACTAACACCAGAAGAAGCTCTTGCACTTCTTCATATCATGGGACTCTCAAATGCAAATGCTGCTTCTTATGTTTGATTAGTTTTCTACAACATAACTCATAACAAGTTTCTAGAACAAATGATTGTGGATTCAACCCTCATGGATGAATCAAAGGCGTTTTCGCAAAAAAGATGCTACAAGTTCACCTTGTAACTCTGTTCGTAGTTTTTTGTACGAATGTGCAAAAAAGTGATCTGATCTAATTAAAACTGACTGATCAGAATTGAGATACCCAATTGTAAATTGGATTGGATCCAAAATTTAAATATCAAAAATAAAGTTTTATTTTGTATTTGGTATTCCAAGTTGTTTTTTCTTTCATGATTTGTGTTACAGATCATGTTGGTCCATCAATTTATATGAATATCTCATAATACATTGTATTTTTAAGGGGCTGTTTGTTTGACATTAAGAGGGAGCCTCTTAATCGCTAAGAGACAGAAGCTGTTTGGCAAAAAAATAACCTCTTAATGGTTACAATATCCTCTTAACCATTTTGCACCTAGAGCTCCACTCAACCATTCAGATGTTGGTTTTTCCAACTTTACCCTCTCAACCCGTCTTCCGCCCTTCCTTCGTCGCATCCCCCTCCATGGTCGCATCCCCCTCCATGTTCGTTCTTCACATCGCATCCCCCTCCATGTTCGTTCTTCACATCGCATCCCCCTCCATGGTCGCCGTCTTCCCCCCCTCCTTCGTCGGTTCCATGGTCGCCGTCTTCCCCCTCCCATCGTCGGTCTTCCATTCGCCGGCCGTCTCCCCACCCCCCACGATCGTCGCCACCCCTACTGCTTCCCGCCGTTCTCTCCTCCCACGCGAGATCCTCGTTCCTCGCTCTCTCCGCCTCTGCTCAGGTCATCGATTTTGTGATTCAGATATAAACCCTAATGATTTTGTGCCTTCAACTTCGAAGCCTTCAAAGTAGTTTGTAGTTTGCTAGATTTGCCCTAATTTTAGTGTTAGTTTTCAGTTTGTAGTTTGCTTGATTTGCCCTAATTTTACTGTTTTACTGATTTTGAGGTTTTGCCCTTGTCAGGGTTAAAATGGTAATTTATTGTCATTCAGATAACAGTTACCAAACAACATTATTTCATTCAGTACTTAACCATTCTGGCTCTCTTAACCATTCTGACCACTTAACCATTCTATACCAAATCATTCAGCAACCGCCAAACAGCCCCTAAGTCAAATGTATAGATAACTGATTTAGAACATCGTATGGATCCAATCTTATTCAATGAATGGAAGCAAACCAATTTAATCAACCATTCGATTTGATTGGATTCATTGTCAAAATGCAAATCCAACGGATAATTGAGTTGAATCAATACCGGTAAAATCCATTGGATGTGAACCGAATAACAAATAAGAGATAAAATTGCCAACGACAACTTGCAATGAATATGACCCAAATCAATGGCAACCCTCTATCATGTTACATAACTAAACCAAACCAAACAAACCCAATATATCACTCATTATCTTCTTGTTTTTTCCCTTTTGTTCTCCCTTTTGTTCTGCAATCTACGGGTGTTTACGAGAACAGCCTTACTAATACTATTGGCATAGTCTGCATACATCTTACCCCTCGTAACATAAAAGAAACCAAAAAAGAGGTTGAAAGAGGAGCATTTGATTTATGTTGTTAATTAGATGCCTTGGGCATATTATAAGTCATAACCGTATGTATCTTAGAGTAGACCACAAAGGACACCATCAGATAAAGGATTACAATACATATAACACTACTAATCTTACTCTATCTACAAAACTTCTATAGAACCCCTTCATGCTGTTACCAGATGACCAGCTCCCTTCAATGGAAGCATGCAAGAATAGGTAACATACTTAACACTATCTAAAAGAACCACCACAAATATCCTAGAGAATGACTTACCCCCCATCATTCCTTCCACATCGCCACCACCGTCCCCCGCCTCCCTAGGATCAACAAGCACCGAAACCACCATTGATGAAACCGAATTGTTTTTGTGATGCTCCTCGTGCTTTGACTCATGACCAGCCACGTGTTCTTTTGTAATGTTAGAAATGGGTATTGGAAGACCGTGGAGGATCCTTCTGTTCTTCACGGTTGTCGTAGTGATGTATGTAGAATTCTCGCGGTGGTCTTCGGCAGTGATGTTGCCGACTGATGTGGCAGGAACTATGGCTCCTGAAGCCGAAGCAACTGATACATCAAACTGAAATACTTCGGTGCACATACCTGAACTCAACATGGGTCCTGTGTAATGAAAACAAACATAACTTTAGTACAACCACCACATTGTTTCAAAACAAACATAACTTAGACACACCACCACAAATAAAGTGATCGTGTTACCAAATCTTGAAACAAGAAGGCTATGTCTAGATGGTATCGCCCCGCCACCCTTGTAGAAAGTCAACACTTTCGGTTGCGGGACAGGACAATACAAGAACTTGTCCCAAGTTTGGTGCATCACGAGGAAGATGGGACAAAATTAGTAAATTACTAAACTACCCATGTCAAATTAAAACCCTTTAACCTTCCATGGTTCTTTCACCCACCTATCTCACTCTCCCTTGTCTTAGTCCCATCCGCATATTAAACGCACCCTTACACCTTCCATGGTTTCTCTGGTGTTACCCTTTTAAAGAAATCTATCTACAGGCCGTAGCTATGGCAATGGAGGTAATCTAATCCAGATTAAGGTTAAACGTAACAAGCATATGCAAAAAGCGGTTAATTATATATCTTCCCCTTCTTGTTCCTAATTATATTCCAGAATGCCAACATTTACCACAATAACATACAAGAAAGTCACTTCATCTGTAGCAGCTCTAGACCATTGCGTTTTAAAGATATTACCAAGATCTTTCACTCTACTATGTCCTCTTGAAATAATGGAAAGCTACTACAATATCAAAGAGATGTAAGCATGTAGTACGGTTTATAAGGTGCAATTCAGAATAACAGAAAGAATAAGAAATCAACAGAGAAAAGAAAGACAGTAAACAGGAAAAAGATTTGCAGAAAGCACGGGCGAAACCAGCAAGGTTACAAGATCAGAGCAAGTGCTCAAACTTCACCCATCAATCCAAAGAACCCAAAAGAAGATCAAGTTGCGAATTGCCATCAACACTAGCAACCATGAGATGAATGCATGGAAATTGAAAGCCAACTATATATCACTTAATAAGCCCTCTTCCCAGAAGCTCATTGAGCACAAAACCAATGGGCAATATTGTTTTTCTAGTCAGAAAGCAATTATTATAATCTTAAAGGAGCTAAATCCATAAAATAACAAAACAAAAGAAATCCATGTGCTAATGAAAACACAATTAACCTACACATGCAGTTAGCCCACCGATTTATGATTATGATTGAATGTAAAACATATGGCAGATATGTAAACAGCTAAAACTGTAGATTGAGCAAGATTTACCAGCAAGACCTTCGCGGAACCATTGTTGCAGTTTACCGTCAGCAGGCTTGGACTTCAAGTTCTCATTGTCTGATGAAAGAGCCCTTTGACGATCACTTGAAGTCCTATACATATGTGGCTGTCTTCCACCATTCCTTCCCACTGCTGGAATGGAGATAGCAGGGACCAAATCTAGAGCAACTGCCAAACCGGTATCCTCCTTTTTGGTCATTCCTTGTTCTTCCTGAGAAGCCATGGCTTTCTCACTTGCAAGAACAGAATGGATTATCAGATTACCATCAATTTTCACAAGCTTATCATTCCTTGGAACATATAGAGACGCTACCAGAGGCTCACTAGCGTTATGCTCATTAGCTCTTCCACTACCTACACCTGTTCTATGGTTAGTCCCATTGACATGATCACCACCCATCAACACCCTCCCAGGGTGCTGCTGTTCGTAAAACCTATAATCATTAGATCCACCGGAATACCCACCATTTGTTGCTCCACCAAATTTGACATTCATAGTTGGAACTAACCCACCAAAAAGCACGATAAATAGCAAGAACCCAAGAAAACTAATACTAGCAACCTTCTTGGTTTTGGTTTTGGTTTTGGATTTGGTTTTAGTTGTACCCTCAGTTTTCTTAACCTCAACCTTCTTCACCTTTTGTGAGGATGGAGGTTGTTGAGGTTTCAATCTGGGAATAGGAACCAATGGCACCTGAGAGCCCTGTGATTTGACAACATATGGTGGACATGGCATCCATGGATATCCCATGGGCGCCATTGCAGGGTGTGGTGGGTACATTACAGGAGGCGAGCACACAGGTCCACCACCAGCAACCATTTGCTGCTTCAAGGTTGCATTTTCTGCTGCGAAGTAAGTTATTCTAGCATTCAAATCCTGAATAGTTGAATGCATTGCTCTGACCTTATCCTCTAACTCCTCCACATAATGCTTTTTTCTCTGTCTCGAAAGCTGCGCGCTCTCCCGGTTCCTTATCAGCCTCGCCTTCTTCTTCTCATCTTTTTCGTTAACTTGATCTGAATTCTCAGTGGTTGTTGAAGTTTCATTGGACCTTCTAAACTTCATTGTCCTTGATTCAGGACTGCCATCAGAACTCTCTTTCTTCCTCTTCAACACAAAATTACTCCCGGATTCCCGCTTCACCTTCTGATCAACAACGGAATTTCCAGAATCAGGCGAAGGACAATTCATAGCAGCATCCGATCCAGCAGAGCCGCAATTCCCGGAACCCTGAGACGAAACAGGATTCTCGTGTCTCGACTCCGGTGACGAATCATCCAAAACCCTGACAGATTCGTGAACAAACCCCTTACCGGAATCATCCGGAGACAGAATGTTAAGAAAGCCAGAAACGTCCGATCCATGATGCCCCGAGTCCGCAACAATGGTTTCGGGATCAGACACAAAGTCATTGAATTCGGGATCAGAGGATGAGAGATCAATCGGATTGGAAGACTTGAAGGCGGAGTTGAAAAAGTCTTCGGTATCAGAGGGGAGATGGATATCATCAAATGTGATGTCGAAGTCTTCGTCGTCAAAGGAGAGGAAATCATCAGGTAATGTGAGATCGTCGGAGAATATAGGTGGAATTGGGAGAGAATCAGGCATGGCCTGGGCGTCGGCCATTGTTAGGGTTTTTGGTAAGGGTCGTCGGAGACGAAGACTCTAGAGAGAGGAGTTTAAATACAACAAGGCATCAAAAGCATTCCGTTTAAATGACGTTTCTAGGCACCACGCCTTCACGAGAGCGTCGCACGCACTAACACGCTTTAACGTATTTTATGTGTCTCTCTCTCTCTCTCTCTCTCTCTCTATATATATATATAGATATATATATATATATATATATAGGGATGTTATTCTACACCATTTGCCATTCCTACACCTTATACAACCCTCATCTCAACCATTCAATTTTTAATCAATTAATTGTTTCCTAATATAAAGTATTAATCATAATTAATAAACTCTATTCATATTCCATAAATATTCAAATCATAATAAATGAACTTCAATCATTTCTATAAATATATCAATTAATTAGGTTGCAAAGGTTGTACAAATGTACAAGGTTGTAAAAGAAATATACCATATATGGTATATTTCTTTTACAACCTTGTACATTTGTACAACCTTTGCAACCTAATTAATTGATATATTTATAGAAATGATTGAAGTTCATTTATTATGATTTGAATATTTATGGAATATGAATAGAGTTTATTAATTATGATTAATACTTTATATTAGGAAACAATTAATTGATTAAAAATTGAATGGTTGAGATGAGGGTTGTATGGGATCATGTGAGACCAGCCTGTTTTCGTGAGACCCGTGAGACCAGCATTTTACACTTGAAACTTCACAGCAAAAATGCTGTGAAGGTGACTTTTTAAAACCTTCACAGTGTTTTTGCTGTGAAGGTTCGACTTTTTTAAACCTTCACAGTGTTTTTGCTGTGAAGTTTACGTGTAAAAATGTGGTCTCACGGGTCTCACGAAAACAGGCTGGTCTCACGTGAACCCAACCCTATATATATATATATATATATATATATGAGGTGGGTTATTATACAACCCTTTATATTTGTACAACCAATACAACTCAATCTCAACCGTCCATTTAATTTGATGAATATGTGATTTCATAGAAGTTTTGATTATTTCCTAATATAAAATATTAATCATAATTAATGAACTCTATTCATATTCTATAAATATTCAAATCATAATAAATGAACTCTCATCATTTCTATAAATATCTCAATTAATTGGGTTGCAAGGGTTGTACAAATACACAAGTTTATAAAAGAAATATACCATATATATATATATATATATATATATATAAAATAGAGTTTGTTTCAAATACAACCCGTTGCATTTGTACAACCAATGCAACCCAATAAATTGAGATATTTATGGAAATGATGAGAGTTCATTTATTATGATTTGAATATTTATGGAAGATGAATATGGTTAATTAATTATGATCAATACTTTATATTATGAAACAATTAAAACTTATATGAAATCATATATTAATCAAATGAAATGGACGGTTGAGATTGGGTTGCACAAATGTCAAGGGTTGTATAATAATCAACCCCTCTCTCTCTCTCTCTATATATATATATATAGTGAGAAAGAGAATGCAAGTTATATCATTTGTATAATCATCCATTTTATTTTAATGAAATTTTTTTAGGAAATTATTTTAAAAAATTTATTTATCATGAAAATATTTTATATATTTTTGTTTTTATGTAAAATTAAATTGTTTCATGTATTTCTCGTTTTGATAAATTTTGTTTACTAAAATTATTAGAATAAAGATGATGATGTCCATAATTATTTGAAACAATTTCATCATATTAAACAATTTCATTAAAAATTTCACTAAAATAGATAATGAAAAATCAACAGTTTTCACGATTTATAATGGCTTATTTTGTAAAATATTCATCCTCTATATATATATATATATATATATATATATATATGTGTGTATATATATATATAGAGAGAGAGAGAGAGATTGTTTCAAATATAATCCATCGCATTTGTACAACCAATGCAACCCAAAAAATTGAGATATTTATGAAAATGATAAGAGTTCATTTATTATGATTTGAATATTATGGAAGATGAATATGGTTAATTAATTATGATCAATACTTTATACTATAAAACAATCAAAACTTCTATGAAATCACATATTAATCAAATGAAATGGACAATTGAGATTGGGTTGTATTGGTTGTACAAATGTCAAGGGTTGTATAATAACCAACATATATATATATATATATAGAGAGAGAGAGAGAGAGAGATGAGTTATTATGCAACCATTTACATTTGTACAACCAATACAACTCAATCTCAACCGTCTATTTAATTTGATGAATATGTGATTTCATAAAAGTTTTGACTGTTTTCTAATATAAAGTATTGATCATAATTAATTAACTCTAGTCATCTTTCATAAATATTCAAATCATAATAAATGAAATCTCATCATTTCCATAAATATCTAAATTGATTGGGTTGCATTGGTTGTACAAATGGGTATGGTTGCATTTGAAATATACCATATATATATATATATATATATATATATTAATCAATTTCATGAAAAAGAAATTCACTAAAATAAACAATGAAATCAACGGTTTTCATATTTTATACAAATGGCTTTGTTTGCAAAATTTACCAAAATGATTAACTTCCTAATTTAAAATTTTGTGGTTTATGTTGGATCTTAGGATCTCATAAATTGTAAAGTTCTAAATTAGAAAATTAATAATTTTAGTAATTTTAATTAGAAATTGAAGTAAAATTATTATGGATATTTTATAAATAATCTTTTCTCTCTCCTCTTTCTCTCTTCTCTTGTTAACAAAATAATCTAAAAAATAAAACTAAACCTAATAAGTATCTAACACATTGTGAACACTAGATAACTTAACAAGTATGACCAAATAATCCATTGTCATCACAAGTGAACACAAAAACACCAAAAATAAAAAATAAAAACCTACAAAACACTAAAAACATTTTGTAAGGACTTGATAAACATCGTGAACAAAATCAATAATCAAGTTCGAAGTCCGACAAGCATCTCTGGTGAACCCAAAACCAAAAATCTGTAGTATCACGATGTGAACCACTATCAAATATATTGTTTCACTTAAACATTATGACCACCAATTTTCTTACACATTATGATTACTATTTCTTACACACTTTGATCACCTATTTCTTTTACACATTGTAATAATCTTGTGAACATTATGCGACACAATGATACTAAAAACAAAAAATGAAAAAAAACACACACAAAAGATCCCTAAAAGTATTATGTAAAGTCTAAAGACCGGATACACATCGTAAACAATCAATTAATGTTGTATCTTAGGGGTTATGGATTTCTTATTATTGGAAGCTATAGATTTCTTATTTATGAGAATAATAAATTAATTAGATGTATTTATGAGTTGACTAAATTATCTTTCTTATTTAGTTAATAAATTATATAATTATTTCAAATTATTGATTCATAATGGATCTCACAAATTCTAGGGTTCTCATTTGATTAAACATCTATATATGTGTGTGTGTGTGTGTGTGTGTATGTGTGAGAATTCCGGTGAAAATGGAAATTATAGTAAGAAGCGGAAGAAGAGCTTTCCATTATTTGATCAATCATAATTGAATGTCAACACTAATGAGATGCACTTGATCAATTCTCTTTTAAAGCGCAATTCATGAGTAAGCATGAGATTAAAAGTGATCAAAGATTTAGATCTCTTCTTACGCTTCTCATTATAACTTCTTTTTTCACACGATCATTCGCCTATATATATGTATACACACACACACACACACACACACACACACACACACATATATATATATATATGAAAGATCAAATGCAAACCATCCATATTTGTAGGAACCGTGCAAACTATTCTCATCAGTCGATTTCATTATTTAATCTTATAAAAAAATTTCATGAAATTTTTTCATAGAATACTTTTTTTGATGAAATTGTTTCATATAATACTTATGAAATTTTAATAAAACTGTTTCATGTATTTCTCTAAAATTTCTATGATGAAAATGATAATATCCATGATTAACATCCTCCATAATAAAAATGATTAATCAATCTCTCATAATTACAAAAACAAATTGAACAAAATATAAAATTATAATTGGTTGAATGAGATTTGTACGATTTGTACAAATAAATGGTTTGCAAAGTAAACTTCATCCTCCTCTCTCTCTCTCTCTCTCTCTATATATATATATATATAGGTTGGTTATTATACAACCCTTGACATTTGTGCAACCAATACAACCCAATMTCAACCGTCAATTTCATTTGATTAATATGTGATTTCATAGAATTTTGATTGTTTTCTAATATAAAGTATTGATCATAATTAATGAACCATATTCATCTTCCATAAATATTCAAATCATAATAAATGAACTCTCATCATGTTCATAAATATCTCAATTTATTGGGTTGTATTGGTTGTATAAATGCGACAAGTTGTATTTGAAACAAACTCTCTCTCTCTCTCTATATATATATATATATATCATGAAAGTATAAAAATATATCTAAATGTTAGAAAAAATTATGTACCATCGATTAGGGTTGGATTCCGGTGAAAACAAGGGTCAAGATGAGAAACGTAAGAAAGAATCTCCACCTTTAGATGTACATTAGGATGACATACATCAAGATAAGATACACCGAATCAATCCTCGTGTCAAGCGCGACTCATTGATGAATTTAAGATTAAAAATGATCAATGGTCGAAATATTTTCTTACACTTCTCATTTGAACTCTCATTCTTACTTTGACGTACTTACAATTAATAAGAATCATAGATTTTTCATTTTCCACTACTCTTGTTATGTTTTGTTTTCCTTACATCATTAAACAAATTCTTTTATATTCTTTAAAATAAGAAATAAATGTTAGATTATCAAAAACAATTATACTTTTTAAAATTTCTATTTTCCTGTTTAAAAAACTATCACATATACCCTATAATATTTATCTCATGTTTTTTAAATGTATAATTTATGATTTATTACAATAACTGACAAATAATTATCCTGAATAAGACATATTTGACCTTGTTCGAACATTAATGATGATTTATAATAATACTAAT